TATTACACTTTTATTTCTGACTTCAATAATAGTTTTGCTTAAATTTCACTTATCTGAAAAGTGCTGAAGTTGATTCCCCCCCATGAAATGTTTAAATATTTTTAAATGTATTGTTCTTGGTAGGAATGGGGTTCCATATATGCACCCAGACAATACTCATCTCTGACTGGGTTGCAGCAGTGACATAAGCAGTTTGGTTGGAGGAGGCGAGCACAAAACAGGCTGGAAAGAATGCAGTGCACAGTGAAGTAATGAATCTCTCCAAACTCCCATCTGCATCTGCAGCTACAACAATCTTTTTAAGCCTTTCTAACTACTGAAGTTTTCTCTTGACAAAAAGAGTTTAACAATCACCCTCCTATGGAACAAACAATGCTGTTTTTCACCAGACTACAAATGAGGAAGTGGTGTGACAGCTGCCTTACACCATGAACAAAGGCATCTACAGTATGTGTGGCAATTTATCAGAAAACTTATCAATTTAAAAGCGACCTATAAAATATGACTGATAGTTTCCTCTGATGTGAACAAGTTATTTGCTAGGAGAAGCAGAAAAAGTTCACAACTGTGTAGTTAGTGGGTTCGATAATCACATGTAGGTCATTGGTTATGGGGGTAGCACATGGCTAAGATGGGGATTACATAAGACATGAGGAGGAGTGGAGTGTGGTCACGTGACTGCATAAACCCCCATGTCTGGACACATCCTGTTTCTGCATGGTAGGGTAGAGGGGCATCTTCCCTCTCAGAAATGCTTACAGTTCTGTGGATAGCTATGAAGTGTATGCTGCCACCTGCTGTTCTGACCTGCAACTTCAAGTAGAAAGCCTGACCCAATATCTCCCCTCCTTAAAAAACGACCAGAAAAAATTTGAATAATTGAGTTGTAATGAGTAATTTCTGGTGTTTGCATGTTTTTAAGGAGAGGGAGTTTTTTTTCCAGAGGGATCTTTCAATCTCCCTTTTTAAATATCTAAACAAAAGTCGTACAATAAAATATTCTATTGCAGGAGCAACATATTAATTGCAGGTTAATTTTAGTACATTTGTGGGGTAAAGAAGAAGCAACTTTGTCTTCTACACATACAAGTTGGAGACATTTTTTGACTATTTCCACAATTTCTCTAGATCTGGGGTGTCCACAGCTAGAGCCCCGTGGCCCTCTAAGGATTTTGTGCGGCCTGGACTACAACAGATTAACTAGAAAAGTCCTGAAGAAATTTAACTGGGGCCTCCCAAAGTATTCCCGTCGGTTTCAACCCAGCATTCTGATGGTAAAAATGAGCATCAATGCTAAGCTTAGCTAAAAACTTGCAAAGTAGCCCATGTAGAGTCAAAAGCATGTTGACTGATGTGGACTTGCACCATTCAGTATGTTAAAATTGATAAGTCCCTAAAGCTGTGGCCATTGCTTCCCAAGCTCACAAAGACAATGAAGGAGGCCCTGCAACAACGCTTTGAGGAATTAATGGTGGCCCACTTCCATATGAATGTGATGCCCACTAGTGTATTCCCACAATAGCATAAAACAGGAACATTCATTGATTTAAATGTTTATGGGGTTATGTAGCTATTTTATTTGTTAATAGGGGTTAATGACAATGGGTGTATTAATGGTGCTTCACCAGTAGGTGGCGCATGGAGACTGCCGTTTCTCATAAACCGAGTAACATACTGCGTCTCCATTTATATGCTGTAATAATAGTCCCTCAAGTTCATTTTAACAAAGTCCTTTTTGGTTATTTGGTTCTGTTCGAGAGATGTTTAACGAAATGCGTCGATGTGGGAAATGTGGGAAAGATATTGGTTGACTTTTGTTGTGTTTCGGAGCCAGTAACGGTTAGAGTAGCTAACATGATGCTAGTTGGTTAGCACACTGTAGCGGCGGATAATGGCGGGTTACTGAGTTACTGCCACTGTTATCAACCGCCACGGTTTATTTGTGTTCTAAACAGTGATAGAAGGTTAAACTGTGATTTAATACAAAGCAGCTCGAATTCTAAGATAGTTGACAATAAGTGTAAGATACATAAAATATGTCACTTTATGTGATTAAATATGCATATGAAGTGCAGTGAATTGAAGGTACCTGTTACCTGAGAGAAGTGTGACAAGATAGGATGTGATGGGATTATTTCTGGTTAGGTCAATGATGGGATTATAGATACAGTAATACATAGATTATATATATAGTAAATTACTGAACTATAAATTGGGACTGTATTGACAGTTAAATGAGCTGGTTTGTTCAATAAGTAAGCTGAGAGAAACTGGAGTAAGAGCTTGGGTCTCCGGTGTGGTCATTTGTGTGCTGTGTGCTTAGTCATGTTGCTGACGGGTCCAGAACTATGGTACCCGTTACATGAAGCAGACGTTGCTCTGGTGAGGCAGGAGGACACAAACGTTTAATGAAGCGAGGCTGAGTGAAGAACGGTTCCTGGATTATCTTGGAGCAGAGAAGGATGATATGACTCCTGCAAGACAACGAGAAGCTTTTGCAAGAAAAACTGAATCAGATCAAATGTTCATACAATGAACTGCAACTATGAAAGCGAGGTTTCTGAACTAAAACAAGATGTAGAAAGATATCGGCAGGAAGTGAACCGTGAGAAAGGCCAGCTTAGAAAAACTCAAGAGTCAGCAGTTCATCAACAATCTGAGAGCTGAGAAGGAGGAGAAACAATATCAACAGAAACCACAATTCTGCAAGAGGGAAAAGCAGATGCTAAATGAACTCGAGCAGGTTCACGCTTCATGTGAGCAGCTAAAAAGAAGGTATGAAACAGACATTAAGAATTTACAGCAGCAGGCTAATGTAACAGAGAACAAAGTGTGTGTATATGTATATATGAATTTTACCCAAAATAATAAAAATTTGATTTCTAATGGGATTTTTAAGTGATGTGGAGTGATGACAGACTGCATGCGACGGGTTCTTCTGTTCTTCATTGCTTTTTTTACTTGGGGTCATATTTTTCTTGTTCAATAATTAACAAAATACTATAATAACATTTAACATCTACAAATATAATTTATAAAGCTTTATCGTGGTTGGGCTGGAAAAATATGACCCTATGACTGACAACTCAGTCATGACGCTGTGTCTTTTGTCTTTCAGCTGAGGGGCCACTCGCAGGCAGTCACATTTTGAAGAATTGTCTTTCTTTGTCGTTCTAATGACAAGCAAACAAACGGGGAAGGTTACACTAAAATATAAAGCAGGAGGAAACCGCTCTTTCCAATTTGAGAAACTACAGCTGCAGATAATTCAGAAAAGAAAAACTCATCTGGAGAAATCAGAGGAGGACAAGGCACTTCTGGACAACATGAGAGTAGAGAATGCTGTTCTCCATGAAAAAACAGGAAGAGATTCAGTTCCTGCAAGAAAAGTTAAGCAGTGCCCAGGCTGAGTTAGAGAAGGTCAATGGTTTGTACCAGGAGCTCAACTGTCGGTATGAAAGCGATGTAACTGCACTGAAACAGGAAGCAGAACAATACTGGCAGGAGATAAATGTGCAAAAAATGATTTCGAAAGAGCAAAAGAAGATCTACTTGCTGTCGAAAACAACCTGAGAGCTGAGGAAGAAGATTCCCAACAAAAACCCATAACGGTTTTCAAAGAGAAGGAGGAAAACTCAGAGCCAAGTCGACCTGGTGAAAGATTTAAATCAAGAGGTTTCTTCAGAGAACAAACTCCCAGGAGAAACCATGGAAGAGAATGTCATCACTGGAGAAACCATCCTGGAGGATTTGGACCATCCAGTTATTAAAACCGTGCAGAATGGTAAAAAGAAAAAAATCAAAATTTTCAATTTGGAAAAGATTGTGAAACCTGCTGGGATTGAAGAAATCAAAAAAGAAAGCAAAAGAGTGCCAACAATAAAGAACATGTCTAATGTTCCTGATTTTGATATTTAGAGGGAAAAGATGTGCAAGAGAGGAACCGAGGACCGGAGTCAAACACGTCGAGTTTGTAGCCTCTGTGTACGGGGCGCCATGCGACCCGCCGTCAAGAGGAAATTTAAAAAGGCAAAGTTTTTTCTTCCATTGACAAATTTGACAATAGATCCCTTCCCAACCCAACTGGAAAAAACGTGGGCAGCACGGTGGTGCAGCGGTTCGCGCTGCGTCTTCACAGAGACGATCTGTGTGGCGTTTGCGCGTTCTTCCTGTGTTTGAGTGGGTTTTCTCCAGGTGCTCCGGTTCCCAACATCTTCTAAAACATGTAGGTCAGGTCAGTTGGTCACTGTAAATCGCCCCCAGAAGAGTTTAAGAAACTCCAAACACATGTGCAGTTTTATTGTTAAACTTGTAAAATTAATTGAATTAGCCGAACATTAAACATTTTCACTTCGCTGGTTCAGGGGTAGATGGCACAGAGCCACAACACTCAGCTCAGTTTTTATTGCAACGTATTGATTTAAGAATTAAAATTTCTTCTTTTAATAGAGATTATTTCCGTTTATTTTTCTCACTGTACTTTTGCTTTTATGGTGTGTCCTTTAGTGTGTGTGGGTGAATGTGACTGCAGTGTGAAGTGCTTTGAGTGGTCATATGGCTAGCAAGGCACTACATAGGTTCAGTCCATTTACCTTTTTTTCTTTGATAAATCCTATATTATTTTCATAAAAAAGATATAAAACATATTAAAGAAAGATGATTTAATGCATTTGGACTTCTTCAGCTTCCAGGGTGTTAAATTGAGAATAGAATTAAATCTGCATAATATTAAATGATAATTGTAATTATAATTTAATACTCCGGACCGTGAAGAAGCCCATAGTTGTTATATCTGGTTTGTTTGTTATAAGAGAAAAACAGGTTTTATCAAGAATAAAAGTTATTTTTATAATTCTAAAAGTGAGTCCAGTTCATAGCTTTGACAAAAACAAAACTTTCATTTTACTAGGTTTAAATGAGGAACTGCAGAATCCAAAATTATACATACCGACCGCGAAATAATACTGGGAATCAAGACGATCGAGATTCCTTTTGTTTTATTTTTTCTGCTGCAGTGTTGCTGTATCTCTACACAATAATAACAACACAAACAACACAGATCATAGTAATGCAACACTCTGCATCAAACACGTCTCTCCTTTTTCAATAACAGTTTGTAGGTTTTGACAAGAGGAAAAGAGAAACAAAAAAATTACATATGGGGAAGAAATAAAAGCATCAATTTAATGAAAATATGAAGGCAGATGTAAATTATGTACATCAGCTGATGGAGTTATTCTAAGTCGGTGGAAAACGTCTTGAATTCACTGAAACATACAGAGGTCAACAAAGGTCAGCAAAGGGCAAAAACAACAATGCAACAACAAAAGCCACAACAGAAGTTATGCTTAACCTGGCAGCATAACTTTCAATGCGGCTTTTTGCTGTTGTGTTGTGACTTTTGCTTTTTGTTGACCTTTCTGGTTTTCCGTAAAAGCTGAATTAAAGCCTCTCAAGAGAAATACTTTTAAAAAATTTAAAATTGTGTGCACAAAATAATCAGCAAAAGTAAATAAACGTTCCATAACATACAAATTATACTAGCACTTTTATTTGATAACTTGTCATTTTTGGGCATTTCCCCTAAGTATAACAAAGTAATTGCAATTGACTATTTAGCAGGAACACCTTCTTCTATGTACTGAGTACACAATCACTATTACTGTAAAATAAAACAGAACCCTACCAAGGTCATATGACTTACCATGTTGAGCTCATAAAAAACTAATATTAAAAAGACAAAGCTAAAGTTCAAGCTCCCAGTTGTCAAACTCTACTTGGTCTTGCATCATGAGCTTGTCCCAGTACAAATCCATCAGAGCATTTGGAATCATCTCCTCAGGGGTCACCAAACGGATGATACGAATTCTTCTTAAGAGCTGATATGGGTCCACTGATTCTGCAGAGAATTAAAACATAAAATGAACCAAATAAGAAAGGCAGGTGATCGTCAGCATACAGTTAGCTTACTGGACCTTATTTGGAGCTATTAAAGGGTTAATTTACTTACAAAATAGCAATAAATAACTTAAAATGAAAAAGCAATCTAAAATATAAAGAAACTAAAGACTATACAGTGTAAAAAATAAAAAAAGACATCCTAATTATTGCTATTTCCTCTGCTTGTTCCCATACACTTTTAGCCACATTACGTCTTTGCATTTTGTGCTATTTCAACCTTTCAACTTTCCCCATATCCTGCTTATGCAGGACATTGCAGCTATGTCTTTTGGTAATGACATCTTCTACGGTTTATTAAATATTCAGCTTTTTCAATCATCTTGTACCCCACTGAAATTAACGGAAACAAGAATTTCTGAAAAATTTGGCTAAAAACTGCACTCTTTCTCAGCAAACTATTTTCATGTACTTTGAGGTAAAAACATCATTCAAACTTTAAAATGTAGTCATGTCCTTCAACTTTCTTTGTTTATTTCAGCTTTTTAATTTCTCTGTCTGAACTCATTTTAGCTGGACATAAATTTCACCCCTATTCACCATAAAGTTACACAAGATTGGTTATTTTACAAACAAAAAATAAAGGGAATTGCTATGTTTCATTTCAATTCAATTCAAAAGTACTGCATTTCTCCCAAAAGGAAATTAAATGTAACTCAGACTGGCACAAAAATATCCGCTATTGACCCAAAACTCACTGAATTTAGAGGTAGTTTGGCAATCTAAAGCAAATTGAGAAAAGTCTTTCAAAAACAAATGTTATTTTTCATCTGTGTTTTCAGTTCATCCAAAAAAAGGTTTGAGGAAATCTAAAGAGGGGATTTTCATCTGAATGTTTCTGCTGTATGTAGACACATGACCGACTCACCTAAACTCGGCTCCAGTTCAGTAGAATCGTCTTTGTCGGCAGGAAGACGGATGTCGGACAGATTTTGTTCAGTCTCTGAGTTCAACAGGTAGTAAGACAAAGGTTTGTCTCTGAAAGTCACCTTTAAGACAGAGGAGGGAAAATACCATGTTTGAGTCAATTACAATTAACCTCCCAGTTTCTTTCTTTATTACGAAACAATGTGTTGACCAATCTGTGAACTTCAGCCTCTCAGTGCCAAAAAATATTAGATGGGAGCAGTAAATGTATTTAGTTTTCATGCAAAATCAATAAACAATTGATTTCTTCAAAAAAAGATATTGTACCAAATATTGTGTCCAATCGGTTTGCAGCAACAGCAACACGTGATGAAGATTCCAGTTTGATATTTTGTGCAGCTCTAGCTTTCATACATCTTGATTTGATTTTGCTGTTTTGTCAAGTTTCGGCCACATGCTTCCATTTATTTTATTGTGATTTTATGCAACATGTATATATCAATAGAAAAGGTGCCTAATAAAGAAAAACAACTTCACTTACACTTTTGAAAAACTCAAATGTTTCAAGAACCGGGGCTATTTTTCTGAAACTGTAAGGTGGCATTTCAGTGATACGATGAAGACTAACCTTGTTCAGAGCATACATGGAGGTGACAGGGATGTTATTACCAAGAATGGATTCCAGCCAGAACTCTGGAGCCCGATACGACTTCCCTTTGCTCATTATTACACCACCAGAGAGAACCTGCGCAACATGCTGCTTATTCTGCAACAGAAAAGAAGACATAATTCATTTAAGAGTAGCGATACTTCATAATAAAATTACTCAAGTAAAAGTAAAAATACTCCTACAAGTACATTTTTTCCAAAAAGTTGCTCCAGTAAATGTAACTAAGTACATCTAACTAGCTACTATCAAACTCTGATTGTCGTATATTTAGATTCATCACAATTAAACGTTTCAGCTCTAGTTAATGATAACTCTTAAGAGATGAATGTCACCTTTAATGTCAGATGTAAATCGCTGCCCTTGGGCAACACTCCGCTCTGTACGAGCTGACGCAGACCTCCACCATCATCGTTAGCCCGTCTTTGTATCAACGCATTCTTTCCTTTCATCTTAGAGAAAAACTGCAAAGCGGCTCTGGTTTGTGGACCGTTTCTGCAGCTACCGGCTTCCTCACTCTGCAGGTCAGGGAGAGTGGGAACAGCAAGGCTGACTTGATGATTCAAGAACTGAACTGAAATTTTAGCTTTTGCTGTAGTGAAAGCTGCTTCCAGTTGCATTTGTTTTTGTAGAAGTTGCACCAAATGTCTCTGATTTGAAGCCAGAGACAAGAACTGACTTTTCAGGACTCGGTGGCAAAGGTGGTGAGACACAACCCTGGAAAAAGAGATAACCATGTTGTTAAAAGTAAATGTGCAAACAAATCAGCAACATAACTGCACGTGTGCATCTCAAGAAATTAAAATATTAAAGATAATTCATTTATGGAAGAATAATAACATTTTTTAGTAACAACGCAAAAACAAGAAATTTTGACACCACTGGCTTTCCATACCGGCTACCATTAAAATATCTGGTTTCAACTGTAAATAAGGCTTTTACTTAAGCATTGGACTGCACTTTATTACCAGACTGCAAAATTTGAATATCAAACACTTTCAAGGACTTTATATAAAAATGAAGCACTTTCCAAACCATAAAATTAAAGTATTTCCAAGGACTTCAAGCACCAATACAAACTCTAATGAAAGTAGTGATCCACTTTGAAACCTGGGAGTAGTGATGGACTCTAACCTGAACCTTAGAGCCACATAAAGACAGTTAGAAAGTCGGGCTTCTATCACCTGAAGAACATTTCCAGGAATACAGGACCAAAGTCTCAGCAAGATCCAGAGAATCTCATCCATGCATTTATCTTTATTTGCATTGATTACTGCAACAGTGTCTTTATAGGTCTGACTAAAAAAACAATCAGATCCAGAAAGCTGCTGCTGCTGTTCTGACTAAAACCAGGAAGATAGAGTTCATCACCCACATGGAGAAGCAGAATTTGCATTTTTCTCAAATTAGTAGAGGAATTAAAAAGAAAAAGCTAATTTTGTGGTATTTGCCAATCTGAAAATGCTTTAGCTTAATTGATGATATTCCTGAACTGACCTGAATTTGTGGGTCAGATTGTTCTTCTCTAAACGCTGCTTGGTGAGAATGTCCATCAGAAGGTTTTGGATCTGCAACAAAACTTCTTTGCATCTCCCTGAAAATCAGAACTGCAGTTAGATTGGAGAGCATGTTAAAGGTGATAATGTTCAATATTTTTTACAAAACTGCTGATGAAAACTGAAAGAGATCTCACCAACATTCTTGAGATCTTTCAGACGCAGAGTTGACATTTCAGCTTGTTTCCTCCTGGCATCCTCCAGAAGCGCTGAAACCACCTCTGAACTGCTCTGAACTGTGAAGAACTGAATGAAATCAAAGCAGGTTTCAGTAAAATGATGCAACATTTATCCAAGAATAGCCAAGTTTCCATTCAACGTATAACAGCACACTTTGACATTTTGAAAATATATATAATAAATATTTCCTAATGGAAATCATTTTGGTGCAAACCATAAAGACGAAGACAGAAAGTGGTTGTAAGATGATGGAGAGGCAGGGTTTTTAATAACTTATTACGTGAATAAGCGTGATTTACATGTGATTTTATTTGCGTTTTTTATTTGACAGAAACACAACACATGCAAAATTATGTTTTTCCAACATTAGTGGAATATTGACAAAGTTTTGCTCACATTTCTAATAAAAACGCAGAAAGTGTAATATGTGAAAAAGTCTCACATTATTTATCCGTTTCAGCTGAACATCAGTAGATTCTCTGCCTGTGTCACCCGATTCTCTTGGATGAACGTCTGAAACACTCACAACTTTAAATAAATTTAAATAATTCAGGATTTTAAACCTTTATCATATGTCTAATTAAATCTCCTCTTCTTTAGATGCTCACCTGGTTCTTCGCATCGTGTTGGCCCTTTGCTAGACTTCCTCTGGCCTTCACAGGATGCTTGGAAACTCATGAGCAGCTCTTTCATACTCGTGTCCTTGGCCGTGTCCAACAAACTTTTTCCACCAACGTTCTGGTCAGCAGGGATTGATCCGTTCTCAAGAAGGAGCTTCACAACCTACACAGAAGAAAAACAACATTTCAAACATTCTGTTAGAATAGAAAGAAACTCTTTTCCAGACGAGGCAGCCGTTTATTATAAAAAAAATTTAGATAGTATTTGCAGGACTGTGAAAAACTGTTAAAAGGTTGCTTTGTCTTATTTCAAAGTGTACACTAGAAATTAGATTAAAAATACTCTGTAAGACTTTGTGTTTTTACAGTGTGTGCCCTGTATTGACTTGACATTGGATCAAAAACAAAACATGCAGTAATTATGCATATTTTGTTAAAACCGAATAAAGAAATATTTTACTTTTCATTTTCACAACAAGAGAGGAAGCCGTTGATTTTTTTGACGTTAAAGTAAAACAATCAGCAAATAAACTATACTTTGCTATGCATATTCTGAGAGTAAACTGAGCTTTTTTTTCATCTCGTGCATGTTTTCTGTATCTAGATGATGTGCTTTTTCTTTCTTTTTAGATACCAAAACTTCACCTGGTGGTTTCCAGCATAAACAGCATCATGCAGCGGCGTGACGCCCTCACAGCTCCGAGCGTTAACGTTAGCTCCAGCCCTCAGCAGCTCCTCCACCACAGACTTGTCTCCAGAAATGCAGGCCTCATGCAGAGGTGTCCATCCTGACCAATGAAAAAATGCTTCAGCTAACACAATAGTTCCCAAAGTGAGGGGCGCTTCCCCTAGAGGCGGCACAGTGCCATTGCAGGAGGGAACAGGAAGCGGTATGGATGAAAAAAAAAAAAGTTACACAAAAGTGTTTTACTGTAAAGGTGGTTTGTAGTGTGTCTGATTGCAACCTGAAGAGTGAAATAAACTTCAGTGGAGTTTGAAAACAAAATATGTGTATAGGTTTATGTCTGGTTGAACGATGTGTGTGCCCAGTTTATTTTTTTTTTCTTTTTGGGGGGGATTTTATTGTAATCCATCGGGGGAACCAGAAAATCTTTGGGAACCACTGAGCTAACATACAGAGGAGTAAATGGCTGAAATGTTTCAGCCGTAACAAACCTGCATAATCCTCCATGTTGACGCTGATTCCAGCCTGAAGGAGCATCCTGACTTGAGGCAGATCTTTCCTCCGGCAAGCTTTGTGAAGAAGTGTTTCTCCCTTCTCATTTCTCTTGTGAAGCATCTTTTTAGTTGGAACTTTTGCTTTGAGCAAATAGAACCAACAAATGAAAAATCTCCAATTTAATCCCAATAAACATGAAGCTTTAATGTTTTTCCAGCTCACCTGATCGTGATGAAGACACAGACTTTTCACCTGTGCAGGACTTCAGTTTCCCTCTTTTCTGCTGATTCAACTCCAGTTTGTTTTTAATCTCATGAGAACCTGAAGCAGCAGATGATCTGCTTTGGAAAGCAGGAAGATCCTGCAGTAAACTGACAGATTCCTGGTCTGAAAGCGTCGCCTCTTCATCCATCTCAGCTTCATTGGAAATGTAACTGAATGCAGAAACACATAAACACAAGTCACGGTCTATAACAACTTTCTGAAAATACTTCCTATTTATTTACAGACCTTTCACTTCAAATACATCAGACAACTAAGAGTTCCAACTATTTTAGCAGCTTATAATTTTAAAAAATGCAGAAAGCTGTTTGCTCTGTACAATAATCTATCATGATGGCACAAAAACTGACACTGTAAAGTTATTATATAATATGAATTTTACAAGTAAAGGTATTAAACAGATGGATCAAACCTACCAAACGCTGCTGCTTTCATTCATTCTCCGTATCTGATGAATCGCTGAGTCTCAGCAGTAGCAGTTTCACTTGAGTATTGATAATACGTTAAACATTGGCCTCTGGTTAAAAATAATCGTCCTTCCTTTGAGATTCAGCTGATCCTGCTTCCCATCATTTCATGTAAAAACTCTCTAGAAATTCACCTTCAACAGGGAAATAATATCCAAGTAAATAACTTTCTAAAAAAATAAGAATCATGAGATGATAAGGTCTAAAAATATTTCCACCCACCCACAAGGTGGCAGTACAAGCTAAAGAAACAAACAGCTACACGGAGTTTGTATTATTTATACTTTTAATATAATTTGTGAAAAACTTAATTTCTCAGGTTCAGTCCTCCAGGGCTGCAATTTTTAACCATTGATTTCATTCATGACATGACATTGAGAACAACTGATATGCAAACTATAAATGATGGCTTTACTATTCCTGATGGTTTGGGTCGGATAACATTAAAAAGAAAAGCAAATCCAAGAACAAAAAACTAAACTGACCCATAAATCGTGTGAATTGTTTCATCACTGGTAGGTTAATTTTATACAGAGTATTAAATGATAGAGCTGTCGGGTCTTTTTTCTGTTTTCATTTCAATTTAAAAACGTATTCACTCTGAAAGTGTCTCAGCTCTGAACATGGAGCAGATGTTGTCAAAAAGACATAAAAACTGGTTCAGGAAGTCTCAACATTGCCGTTCCTGTTTTGTCTCTTCAGCTGTGAAAATGCTGAGTTTCATAAAGCGCTGTGTTTTTTTTACTGTTACACAATGTCAAATCTCATGAACAAATATGGCCTAAATGACTATTACAAGTAAAACAAAGATCAACCAAGAACACCAAGAAAAATCATATTTTTTTCCTTTTTTTTCAAAGTTTTGTCAGCCATGTTATCCTTTAATATTGAATTGTATAAAAATATGTATTACTTGTTTTTCTGCTGTCAATCAGATGCTTAATTAATTTGAGATTATTAATTTGAACATTGCAACTATTTCAAATTTTTATTAGATACACCAGGCATTTAATGAACGATTTAACAAATGTCGATTATTTTAAGAAGATACTAATATTCAAAACAAGACTTTGAAATTGAGTCAACATACATTTAACAATCATTATTTTTCATCCCGCAGTCTTTTAAATACAGCTAAATATTGAAAGATATCTTTATTGTCCTGGAAACTTCAAAGATGAAAACAAAAAATGTATTGTACTTATTAAAATAATTATTCAACATCACTTTAAACATTTTTATAATCTAAATAATCATATGGTTCTAAGTTGTGTAATCAAAAATAATGAATTTACAATTTCTACAATTGCACCTAAATTCCGTTTGCTGCCATTCACGCCTATTTTGATATAATGTATGGAGAATACATTAGAAAGCCTAAATACATAACGTCACAATTGCTAATATAACTTCTTAAATATTTATCATTAGATAGGCACCAAAAAACGCTCGTAGCTTTGGCTAACCCTAACACGTTCATAGCTTTGGCTAACCCTAACACGTTCATAGCTTTGGCTAACCGAAACATTTATAAACAGAACTTACCACGAAAATACTCGCAAACATTCCTTAACATTGGTTTATTTTCAAACTGTGTTCGACATTTCATAAAAATACCTTTAAGTAATTGTAAATATTTTACATGAAACGTAACAGAGAGCAAATAAATAGAAATTTTAGTAAACGACCGCAAATACGTCCGAGCGAGAGACCTGCAGCGCGAGATGTGATGCATTCAATGGTCGTCGGAAAACGGAGCTGAAATGCAAATTTTGTGTTGGAATGACGAAAATTGCGGATTTCTAAAATCCATTCTTTGGTGGAGAACTGTGTCTGCGAATAAATGTGTTCTTCCCGAATAGACTATGAGTCACCTTAAATTAAAGACCCAGCTTTAAATTCGCTCCACTGTTTTAGAGCATTATACATTTGTACTGAAAGTAGAGGCCATTTTGGATAATGTAAACACAGCACTGAACTCTGACTTCCATCCATATCACAAAACTTGGTCTACACAAAAAAAAAAAAAAAAAAACAATGAGGTATTTTGAAATGTATATTTTTAATTTAAAGAAAAAAAACTATAGTTTATTAATAATAATAATAATAATAATAATAATAATAATAATAATAATAATAATAATAATAATAATAATGTTGTGGCTTAGCAAGGCTCACATTTCTTGTACATTAAAACTGCACATGGATTTTCAATTCAATGTTCAATGGGTTAAAAAAAAAGATAATTTATTTTCCAGAAATTATTTTCAGATATTTGGATAAAAGGTTGAATCCTTAATGAACATTACTGGTGGTTCATGCTATCAATAATATACTATTTTAATTTTTTGCTTTATTAGATTTGATTAAAGTAACGACTGGTTTTTCTGATTTGTAATTTCAGGTGACACTTGGAAGTAGTTAATGTTGCCTGCTAAAGATGTAAAACTTCAGAAGTAGAAGCCCAGGAGGATCAGGGTAAAGTAAAGTTTTTGTATGGCAGTAATTATAATTATTAGCTCATGGTTTCCTCCAATTGGATCTCTTTATATTGCTTCAATGTGATTGGGAGTTCTAAAAACCACCTGTATTGCAATCCACTTACATGACAATCAAGTATTAATGGACAAAACGTTCCTTAATTAAATAAATTGAAAGGTGGATCTGGACCTGATCTGCAACATTTCATCCAAAATCTTCTGAAACCACCAAACAGAGCAGTAGAGTGAATGGGGTGGAGAGAAAAGTCCTTCTGCTTACTAACACTTAGTGACTAAAATATTTACCAACTAAATGTACATTTTCCTTTCAGTCTAAAATTGCCTGAATTGATTGATTAATTGACTGACTGGTTGGTAGACAGTAGCAACAAATAGGTTCTCTCTGGGTACTCCTCCTACAGTACAAACAGTCCTAAAGATTGGAGATTAGTTAACTAATCTCTAAGTTATCCACGGTGTGGGTGTGCATTGTTGTTTGTCCTATGTTTCTACCAGTAGTACAGCTCAAGAAGACCAAAAAAACAACATTTAATTGTTTCTATGTATTTGTAATATGTTTTTAAAATGCATAATGTTAGTAATGTATCTAAGAAGATTTTTAATTAAAATCTTAAGTATATTCACTTGATAACATACAAATATAGTATTTAAAAAAAACACAGCATATTTAAAACAATACTTTGTTATTTTTTTCACCAGGCTGACATACACTTGTCTTTAGATCACAGCCAACTACTTTCTGCAGAAGAAATCAAACACATTTACTGACTTCCTCTGCCTTATTATTAAACACGTTCTATCAGCGATAACTGTTTTTCATTAAAATTATTTACCGTTTCATTATGTTTCAGGTGAATTGCACAACCTAACGACTTCATGTCCAGCAGGTGACTGAAGAAGTTTTTTTAATCTCCTGGGTGTGATAATTACCTTTGCTAGTATCTAAAGAAATGTATTTTTCTTCAAGCTGATGTTCAGTTTTCATGTCATATCTTGTCCACAGATGTCACAGAAAGCAAAGACAAAATTCATAACTTCAGTTTCTGACATCAAGAATATTATGTAGGCAGAAAATGTATTTCATATTAATCAGTAAAATACTCAGGATCTGTGTAGTTCATGCCAGAATAAAGTCGGAACAGGTTATGTTACTTTTTGCTTTCTTATTTTTGAGCCACACCTGCATTTAGTGGAAAGGCTTTCAGATTTAGTCTCTGTTGTGATTATCTCAGGGTGAGACGAAGACACAGACCTGGACAGGTGAGCAAAACGTCACTCTGAACTTCTTATTAAATAAATTTAATGCTGGCAGAGTTAGAAAAGTGATCTTTTGCATTTTAGATTTTACAGATTCAGTGAAGTAAAGAAACTCGAAGTTCCCATCTGTTTCTTTTTAAAAACTGTGAATGAGGACAAGTATGCTCTTGTAAATCTCAGATTTTCTTTTCTTTTTCTCCTCAGTTTGACGCCACAGATTATGGACTCTACGGGAAGCCGTGAGTTTTATTGAAATATTCTGGTTTGTTTTGTTTCTCTTATGTAAAACTTAGAAGCTGGTCTAAACATGTTTAATGTAAAGGTTTGTTCAGAAGGTCTGAAGTTACATAATATTTGTTCTATAGTAGTAAACAGCAGTGTTACACCTCCCTCATTCTGCTAATATACATTTATTTTTTTTTATCTAAGATTCAGTATAATGCAATGCTTAACTTGGACATTTTCTTTTAAAATGTTAAATTCTTCTACAGAAGAACCTGCAAAGGAGCCCATCACTGACAAGGTGAGAAAAATTATTTCCTGCTTTGATTTTTCAGTTTATAATTTCTTACATGTTCCGTGTTTCGCGACAGCAGCTGGTTGGGGTGAACAGTTTTAAAAGCAGAAATCATCTGAGTTTAATCCAGGATAATTTATTGTTGCGGTCAGACAAAAGATTGAAATCTTATTTACTTCATTTTTTATATGAATTTATGCTATGTGCTTTTCTGATTGTTTTCACTCTGTGTTTACTAGAGGAGAGACAGATGTGAAGACTAATCTTTAATATAGTTTTGACTAGAAGGCAAAGATAAAGAGGAGGTAGAAAGTTTTTCTCTGACAGAATCACAGAAACAAGATCAACTAGTTTTTTCAGCTTTACTATTCCCTTTCCCTTCTCAGTGTGCAGAGCAATTGTGATGGCTGGTAGCGATAATCACATATTAGTGCCACATATCTGTATATTTTTAAAAATAATCCTGTTTACCTGCATATCCTTAGATTATTATATAAAACAATCTTGTTTATACATACTTTCAATATTTTAGTATTTTGTGTGAACTTCGTTTTACATCTGAATTTCTCTTCTGTTGGATAATAAAGGTAATTTCCTTTTCTGTTGATTTCTATGGTGAGCTTAACCAGAGAAACGACAAATATAAGACAAATATCAGAACTTCAGTGAAGGAGACATTCTGATCACGGATTAGTTTTTATTTCTAGTGAAGAAAGAAAATATGCAAACTGCAAATGAAACTGGAGCTAAACTACTAGCAGCCTGACAGATGAAGGTTAAAAGGAAAATAAAAGAATAATAGAAATTATTCTTTTTGCCGTTTTCTTCCTTTAAATCTCAGAACGGAAATGAGCCAAAGCCTGGAGACCTGATTGAGATTTTCCGTAACGTTTATGAACACTGGGCAGTGTACGTTGGTGACGGCTACGTTGTCCATCTGCTGGGACCGGACGGTGAGTCCAGTCCAAACTGGTGCTACCAGAACAGAAACCAGTTTGTTTCAAGGCCAAATTCACTAAAACACTCTTCTGTTCACTGAGAAGAAGCGTTTATATGAATCTTTTTGCAGCTTAAAACATTACACTGCAGCCCAGAAAATATCAGAACGTCCTTAAACTAAACCCAAGTCAAACTACCATCAGAACCAGAACCATTCTCATTCCATAAACATTTCCTGCCATTTGGTTTCGGTTTAAAGGAAATTTCTCGTCGTTCAGCACCGTCAACCTTCCAGTGGGGAAGAATAACATTCTGAAGCAGAAACTGGTGGAGGTGGTTTCCTCAGACGAGTGGCTCATCAACAACATCCTGGACCAGGAGAAGAAGCCGCGCCCCGCCCACGTCATCGTGGACCAAGCCAACAGCCTCGTCGGCACAACTCGATCGTACAATGTCGCCAACTACAACTGTGAACATTTTGCCACTGAGCTGCGCTACGGAGACGCAGAGTCCCAGCAGGTACATTTGATGGAGACCAAATCGGAGAAGGACAAACAGAGTTTCTGAGCAGGAGGAAAACTACTTCCTGGAGCCGAAACCTCTGAAAAAAAGCTTCACCAGTCAGTTTTAAGGAACATTTCATTGTTTCAGCCTCTAAATCACATGTATCAAATTCAAGGCCTGGGGGCCAAATTTGGCCCCCCAAATGTGGCCCTGTAGGCTCCAAATTACATTAATAGGTCCCTGATAGATTCAGGGACTTATTGACTTATAAAATCTATGGTTCCCAACATTTTTCTGATTTTACCGCAATTTCGTCTCAAAAATTGCTGTAAATGCTTGGAGAAATTTGACTAAGCCTAAGCAGTCACTTAAACTCAAAGACATTCAGTTTAAGTGACTGAATAAAAAGTCACGTTTAATATCATACAGTAATGCAAGTATTGTAAAAATTCCTTACAAGTATTTCTAAATTAGCGCCACAAAAATCTGTGATTCTGATTGCACAAAAACAATCACAAAGTCCTTGATGGACCGAGCAATGTAAATATTATTTATGACTGAAACAAACACCTAGTTAGTGATATTTTAACAGTTCAATGGGTTTTATCAATACATTCTGGCACAACCGGCCCTTTGAGAACATTCCGAATTTTGATCACGATGTCCATGATGTCTTCACTTCAAAAACACAAAATCTTGGCCAAACTTCCAGTGCAAATATCTTAGAACACTTGAAATTAGATAAAACTAATATACAAGCGACTTTCAACAAAATATAGGAGCTTGTCAATAATTTCTTGATGAAAAAGTATTAGCTCCGTTTCACTGACGATGTAGTGAAAATGTCTGCCGGTTGAACTAACACATAAAACAAACTCCCATATCTTGCTGAAAAGTTACTTGTAAGTTATTTTAGTCTGATTTAAACTGTAACAACATGTTTAGAAAGTAGACAAAAAAAACTTTGTAAAATTGTGTTTTTGCAGTGCAGGATGTCTTAAACGTCTCCTCAGCGTTCTCCCTGACCTGCTGCTCTGTATCTGTGTTGTTTCTTCTTCTCTGATTCTCTAAGGAATCTCTAAAACCAGAGCATCTGCAGTCATACTGAGATGAAATCTGGATTCTGGTTACTAACCAAGAGACTTCTGAAATGGTTTTATTGTGGGTTACAAGAGTAAAGGGGTAAATACAAATACATCACAGTTTTCCGAATTTTTTGTTAAATACCTTAAGCACCAGGTATTACTGTCCTCCACTCAGTGTCGGTTTAAATCACATAAAATAAATAGAATACACTGAAGTCTCCATAAGGTGATTAAACATCAAACTGTTAGAAGGAAGTGAAAAGTTTCTCTGTAGGATTAATCTGTTCCTCTCTCCTCATTTCCAGGTAGAAGATGCTCTGAAGATCGGACTTGGTGTGACTGGAGCCTCTTTGGCTTTGGGAGTCGTGGTCGTAGCTTTTCTAATCTGGAAGACTAACAAGTCAACCAGTAACTGACAGTGAGAATCTATTCTGAATATTTTAGGTTATCAAGCTGTTTCAGTTTCATCCTGACAATGGAAACAACAAATTTCAGATTTGTTATGGTCTATTTGTTACCGCTGATTCACAAGCGATCAATCATAGTTGTGATAATAAAAATGAAGTACGTTAAACATTAAACATTTATTTTATGTTCATATTTTAATTTTGAGGAGTGACTCTGGCTCTTTCTTATTCAACTCAACTCTCATTAAAAAATCTAAACATGCTGCTACTACTGCACTGACCAGTTTTAACCTGCAGGGGGAGCTTAACCTCATCAGTAAGGTGTAAAGCAATTTGTGCTAAACAACTGTCCACATGTTATTCAGACATAAGCTGAGATGAGGTGTACTATTAACTGTACAACAATTATATAGTCATATTAATAAATCAATCAATTAATCCATCACTGAACAAAACACATTAACTTTGTAGCTAAATAAACATGACATTTAAAATTGAAATACTACATGAGAGAAATAAAACTTATTTTAGTTGAGAAATATTGGATAAATGAAAAGTTTCTTTAATAATTTGACAAATTAGCCTAAATGGAAACATATTCTTATTGACTGACTATGACCATAAAACTTAGGAATGTTTTATGAAATATTAACTCTATTTAATTTAAATTAAATTGACTCCTATTGATTTGGGGATAATACAAATGAGTTACATTAATGCTCCATGACAAGAATCAAGCATAATTAAAAGAAGATTAAAAGAAGAAATCCAGCACCAAATCCATTTTAGACTGACTTATTTTCTCTGAAGTAATATTTTATTTGCAAAACCTTTTTATTTACATTTATGAAACTCTAAAACCTGGAGATATTTAAATATTAACATTTCTTTTTTAATGGTACTGAATTCATTCTTACTCTTACATTTTCTGATCTTTAAATTATTCTTCTATCACCTGAAGAACATCTCCAGGATTAGAGGACTAATGTCTCAGCCAGATCTAGAGAAACTCATTCATGCGTTTGTCTTTAGTCGCATTGATTATTGCAACAGCATCTTCACAGGCCTGTCCAACAAATCAATCAAACAGCTGCAACTGATCCAGAATGCTGCTGCTCGCGTTCTCACTAGAACCAGGAAAATAGAGCACATAACACCAGTTTTAAAGTCCCTCCACTGGCTCCCTGTAGTTCAAAGAATAGATTTTAAAATACTGTTGTTAGTTTACAAATCACTGAATGGTTTAGCACCACAATACATCAAAGATCTGCTGTTGTTGTATCAACCTTCCAGACCTCTCAGGTCTTCTGGTTCTGGTCTGCTCTGCATCCCCAGAACCAGAACCAAAAGAGGAGAAGCAGCTTTCAGCATCTATGGACCAAAAATTTGGAACAAACTTCCAGAAAACTGTAAAACAGCGGAAACTCTGACTTCCTTCAAATCTCAAGTAAAAACGCACCTGTTTAGAGTTGCATTTGAAATGTAATATGTATGGATTTGATTTTGTGGATATGTATGTAATAATTATTATTATTATTTTTATTATTTTTTTATTTTTTCTTTCCCTGTTGTGGGCAACGGGGCCTGGCGAATACCCGTGGTTAAACGGACGGCTGAGTCTGGCGGTAACAGGCGCTTAAATTCCGTGTCAAAGGGAAGGAGGAAGAAAGGGAAAAAAGAGGAAAAGGGGAAGGGGAAGAAGGGAAAAAAAAAAAAAAAAAAAAAACCTTGGTATTTTATTCTATGTTGCATGCCTTTGTGTTTTGTGTTTATGATGTAAAGCACTTTGAAATGCCTTGTAGCTGAAATGTGCTATACAAATAAAATTTGATTATTTTTTATTAGTCTACAAAAGCAAAATTTCAGTGGTTTAGTCCATTATCCAGGTTACAACAACATGAAGTACTGTAAATGTATGCTTTTTGATCACAAAACAGCCATTTAATGCATGTTCTCCCTGTGCATGAGTGGGTTCTCTCTGGGTACTCCGGCTTCCTCCCAGACAAAAAACATGACTAAATATGACTGTCAGGTTAATTGGTCTTTCTAAATTCTCCCTATATGTGAGTGTGTGTGTGTGTGTGCATGGTTGTTTGTCCTTTCTGTCTCTGTTGCCCAGCGACAAACTGGCGACCTTCAGGGTGACCCCGCCTCTCGCCTGGAACGTTAGCTGGAGATCAGCACCAGCACCTTCCGACCATACTAGGCACAAGGGCGTTAGGAAATGGATGGACCAAATACAACAGAACACTGAGCAGCTATTAAAATACATTAACTGTATCTATGCAGCTTAATAATTTAAAGATAATTTATCTGTTTCTTTTGAAATGTGCAGCCATTTAGATAGGTGTGATTATATGTTGATCTGTCAGTGGGCTTCACTGGTCAGGCCCATTATATCCTCTATTCAACATATACAAATGTTTCTATTTCACACATGAAAGTTCTGGACAAAAGGCTGAATTCGGATGACAGTTGATTAAATCCTTAAGGAACGAAAAACTCTCTTGACTTTGATTTAAATGGGAATAAAAAATTATTTAATTTCACAACAGCAGAACATATAACAGGCAGATAAACACTTAAAGGAGTAACAAAATACGAAATGGTTGTCACATGACAAACTCAGAAATACATCAGTAAATCAGTTAGAAATAATCTGAGGAGATAAAAGTGCAAAGAAATTACATTAAGAAGTTTTCTTGTTACTGTATCATCGGACAATTCTGAATTACAGAATCAAATTCAAGTCAAACATGACAGACAAAAATCTGAGAAGAGTAAAGATATTTAGAGAAATGAAATACAAATCATTAAAAATCACCAAAGCAAAGAAAAGGCAGTGATTTTTAATACCTGCCCGTCACAGACAACTTCAACGGTAAAATTTTAGTGCCCTGGTCAAACAATGGAAACATCTTATTTGTAAAAGTGTGTGTGAAGGTGTGTATGACGGTTCTTCTTAAAGGGTCAGAAAAAGCCAACTTTCCTGCTTCCCAGTCCAGTTTGACTTGGATTCTCCGTATTTTCTTAGTCACTTTGGGCTCAACGCGGTCGGTTCTTTGCGACCACGCTGAATATTTGCCACGACCGAAACGAAGAACCCAATAGTCCTGCTTTACATCACTGGGGCCGCCAGCTGACTCTGCCACCATGCCGACCTTCCAGGATTCACCTCTGACCTCTACATCCCAGCTGTGGATTCCTGAGTTAAAGCCCCTGGAGCTGATGACGGAGCGGCACAGCAAAGCGGACCTCTCCGGATTGTAGGGAGCGCCGGTCCACTTCACCCGCCTCACAGATGTCAGGTCATCAGACAACAGCAGGTCTGCGGCTGCTGTGTTCGGGTCCAAAACCAGAGGCGTGTACGTGACCATGTCCTCCATCTTGAGCCAGATGTTGAAGCTGAGGTTCCCCACATGTTTGGCCTCATCCAGGAGAACTCCAGAGGGAAAATCTGGCGGCTCCAATCTGAGCTGGTTCTGGATTTTCTCTGTTGCCGCTTTAAAGTTTCGCAGGAGTGAGAGGTCTTCACCTTCCAGCTCATCCTCCGTGGTTCTGATCGTTTCAGACAGACCTGATATATTTTTCTTCACAGTCTCTATCAGCTCCACCATTTTGCCAATCTTCAGCTCTGCTTCTTTCCGCACAGCAGTTAGCCTCGCTTCCTCTTCATCTGCTAAAAACTGAAAAAAATTTCTAAACTGCTTCTTAATGATCTCCTCTGAGTTTCGGGTTTGACTTTTTAAGTGCTCCACTCCATCATGAAAGATCTCTTTGCAACATTTTAAACCAGCGATGCGGTTTTGTAAACACTTCAGGTTTTGCTCAAGTTCAAGCTTCATCTCCGACACTGCTTCACTGACTGGTCTGAATCTGTGTCCAGCGTGTTTCACTGAATCCCTGCAGATCAGGCACACCGGCTGCTCATGGTCCAGACAGAACAGCTTCAGACTTTCAAAGTGCAAAGAGCAGAAACCCTCCGAGGCTCTCCGGCTCCTCTCCTGCAGAAAGGTGTTGCACAGCCTCTTCAAAGCCAGGTTACATGGTGGGCTTCCACCTGCTGACCTTCTCCGACAAACTGGACATGATGGCTCCCGTCTCCCTCTCCTTAAGTGCAGCAGGCAGGCTTTACAGAAACTGTGGCTGCATGGGAGGAAAACAGGATCCTTGTAGATGTCCAGACAGACGGGACAGAGGAGATCCTCTTCTAACATGGAAGACATCATGTTCCTGAGAAGCACAACAGACAAAAAGCTAATTTATCAGGCCACGTTCACTCTGCAGGTTTTAATGTTCAACTCTGATTTTTTGTAAAATCCAAATTTATTTTGTTCATATTTACAAATACTGTATTTTCTGGATTATAGAGCTTCCTGAATACATCTGCTGGATGTATTCGGAACACAGCCCTTCGTTTCCAACGCCAAACCATGGATTGGCTCACGCCGAGGTTTCGTGCAGCGACTCCATTTCCATCCTGTACTGCCAGATCGATGACCTTCAACTTAAAAGCAGCATCTTTTCTGTTCATGTGGTTTCCATGATGAGGGGGTTTGAGTTTGAAAACATTTCTGCTGCTAGCATGTGCTTGTTCTAAATGACAATTAGCACTTTCTTCTTTGATTTCCAATTTTGACCCCCAATTACTCACTTCCTGCTGAAGAGCCCCCTGGTGGTTGAAGAAAAAGCCACACCGGGTCATCAGGGTGGGAAAAACGTAGCGGCTTATAGTCCGAAAAATACGCTATATGGTATGTAACCTCATATGACCTGAAAGTGTCCCACAGACACAGTAGAGGGCGCAATAACGTCACTCAGAGACAATCTGCTCAGTATTTTGGCAACCGCTATACATGTATGTTTTTGTACATTTTTGTTTTGTTCATTTTAGCAAACTGCCTTGTTTTTAAGAGTCTGTATACACCAGTTTATGATTATCCAACAATTAAACAAAAATCACCTGCCAACATTCCCTGGAGGTTTCCTGAAGCTTTCTGACTTCTCTAAAAGTAGATTGGGAGGATCAAGCTCTATTCCAGTGAAGCCACCTCCCAGTTTTTCCCCATAAAAACTGGGAGGTGGTTTATAACTTTCATTTTAATGAACAGGACAGCTAGAGTACATTTTCCTCACTCTGCTAACTTCTCCTACTACTCTCCATACCAAAGAGAAGTTGCCCCACACTCACCTTTCTTCAAACTTAATGAAATTAGTGTCAAACATTTGTGCAGTAGAAATGAGTTTGCTGCTACCATTTTGAAGATGAATGACTGTTTCTGAAAGTAAATGGTCAAACAGCCCCTACAAAAACAATTTCATTTCAATCAACTGTGCAAACAAGCCACATTCAATTTATATCCATTTATATTTAACAACATTTTTTTGTTGTGCCACAAAAAAATGTTGCATAAATGTACAACAGTTGATTAACACCATTAGCAACAATGCGATATCCTGGAATAAGCCCTGAGCAAAATGGCGGCGCGAATAACAAATCTTCCTGACCTCGGATCAGCTGCAGTTGAGACGGGCTTGTGGTTAATTTCTGACGAGTTCCGACCGACCAGCTCCGACGAGACGCCGCTTCTTGAGACGGAAAAAGTTTCCGTTCAACTTCACAGCTGTTTAATTGTCTCCATTAAGGATCTGCGAGTTGCGCATGCGCGGGTTGGTACTTACAGTGCTAGCAGGTCCTTCCTATTGGTCGAAATTATTTTGGCTTCGAAACGAAATTGGTACCAGAACAAAACTAAAACATAAAAAAAGTTAAGATTATTGCAGCCTTGATTAACTGTTTTAATAAGTAATCAACCTAATTATTTTTTTTAAATATTACATTTAAAGATCAACATGTTTTTCTCTGGACTTTTACCTCTAAAAGACGAGGGAAGTCTGGTTTTATAACTGTGAACCTGAAGCTTTCAACTCAGCTTTTAGTTCAATATGGCCAGAAAATGTGGGACTTACAATAAAAAAATAAAAACTTTCTTCATGTCCTTATATTCCTGTTGCTGTCTGAACTGCGCCTCCTGGTGACGAATTTGAGGAATTGCCCCAATAATAAGAACCGGAATCCATTAATTTACATTTTTGGTATATTCCTGCTAAGAAACAAAGTAAGAAAACAAACAAACCTTTCAAGAATTAAGGTTTTTATTTTCTGTAAGCTGAAAAGACAAACAAAAAAAAAAAAAAACTGGGAAAGTTTTAAACCAACTTTAAAAACTCCTCTTAAAGTTAAAGACATCCTTGTCAAAATGTATTTGCTTTCATACAGAAGTTCTCCATAAGTTGATTTGTTTAATTAGAAGAAGTATTGATAAGAAACTTATGTTTTAAAAGTCGTATCAATTTAGAGTAGTTTACAATTTAAATATAAAACTTGAATCCTGATTTGATGTTTGAGTTTTCAGTCTTAATATGACACCTTTTAGAGCTGAAACTAAATTAACTTATTTATAATTAACGGATGAATTAAACATCAGTGAGAAGAGAAGGGCAGAAAGCCAACAGGATGAAAGAAACAGATCTATTTTTGTCTTCAGACGGACGACGTCAGTCGTCTCCTCCACAGATGGCCTTCAGGCAGTCGCCGTACTCGCCCGACACGTCGGACTGCAGAAAACAAAACAACCATTTTAAAGCAAATAAAAAATTTATATTTATAAATCGGATTGACAGATGAATTTTTCTTCCCATTCTTTAACTGAAACAATCTTCTTTGACCTTTAAGTGTCTAAAGGTCAGTCCATCTTCTCTCCATCAGAGAAACTTTTAATCCTTCAGGAAATCGTCTTCATTAGCAGATTAATAATCTCTAATCTCCTGACTTAACAAAATTATTAATCAATAAATATAACACAGAAGTGAATCAAACCCAGAGACTCTTTGAATAACATTTAACTTGACATAAAGTCGATGTCGTGTTTTGAAGATGAACTCCACTATATGAATCAAACACTGAATGAAGTGGTGAAATTCTGGTGAACGTTTGAGTTCTGGTCCGACTCACCTCGATGTCGGACAGCAGAGAGTGTTCGTAGAGTTTCTTGAACTCTGCTCTGATGTCCAGCAGGTCGATCTCAGACCGGCTCACCATGATCCGGGTCAGAGTGGACTCATCGGTGCCACCGCCCTGAACAGAGACAGAACCAGAACTCTGGAGTTTATAGACGACTGACTAAAACTAAAACCATTGTCGAAAGAATCTTTTGGACTTTGTGGGTGATGACAACAAAACATTTTAGTTAACACGCAAAACGTTGAGTCTGATTGGAAAGCCTCAGTAAATGTTCCTGAAACATGGTGGTGGCAGCATCATGGTGCGGGCTTCCTTTTATTCAGTAGGAACAAGGAAGCAAAACAGAGTTTCTACTAACAAATAAACATCAAAGAAAACCAGAGTTTCAAGTTTGTCTTTATTTTAAAACCTAAGCATTGAAATTAAAGTTGTTTTTTTTAAACAAAAACAATACAAAACATGTATTTAGTGGATATAAAAAGCTAAAAACTAAAACTTTATCCTTTCTGAAATGTGCTAACACGTATAAAAACTGGTTTACCTTCATGCTCTCATGCAGAAGTTCTGCAAAATACGCCGGTAAACTCTTTGCACATTTCACTGCAGAAAGAAAGAATTGTTACAAAAGCAGCATTTTAGTATCAGCAGCAAGTTTTAAATAGTGTCTGAGGGCAACAAGTTGAAAATTTGCTGGCTATAATCTACTCTTTTTTTTTCTTTCCCTTTCTCTCTTCAGTAGCCCTCATACGCTGTTGAAGCTTAAACTCCTAGAGTCGGCACAGGAAAATACATTTTGTTTGTGGTTTTGTGGATGGAAACCAGTTTACCAACGGCCACCAGCAGCTCCTCCAGTTCTCCAGACATTTCTCCTTCAATGCTCTGCTGCAGCGTTTTCCCGCTGATGTTCTTGTATTCGACCAGAGCTGCAGAAAAATGTCCGTCACTTTACATTTGTGATGATCCCGGTTTGGGTTTCCAAACAGAGCCGGTCTTACTCTGCCTGAGCTGAGGTATGCTCCTTTTGCAGAGGATCTCAATGAACTTGGACTCGTCTGTGCCCCACTTCTTCTCCCCGGCTTTGTAAAGTGTCTTAGGGGAAAAATACTGAAGTTCAAAGAAAAAATAGAAACAAATCAATTGTATTTTTTTTGGTTACTTCACCTCGGCGTCTTCCTTCGCTTTTCCTACATCTACAGAGCTGCTGTCGTCCCTCTCACCCTGCAAACAGCAGTTTATCAAAATTAACATAAGTTTATCGACATTTGTCTATGTTACATTTTAAATAGAGCTGTAGACATTAACAAATGGATGATAATGAGCGACTGTCGCCTCACGGCTACTTTAGAAATGAATGGAGAAGAACATTTATGAATTAACATTTAAAACAAAATTACTTTCTTTGAACTTTTCTGCTAATTTGACAGTCCCTCCAACAACGGCATCCATGTTTATATTTCAAGCTTCCTTAGGCATTGTGATTAATCGTGAGTAATCTGATTAAAATAATTGATCAACAGCTCTAGTTATGAGTTAAGTGTGTAAGTTTTTCTAGGTAAGTTTCTTTTTTTTGTTCTAGACCTTTGCCAGAAGAAGAAGCGCTCTGGAAAAATCTCCAGAAACTTCACTCTCCAACTTCTTAATCAGGTCCTTCTCTGTTTCTGCAGAGGAAAAAGATGGAGGCCATAAATCTGTTTTCTGCAACAAAACCCATAAACTAAGATGGAAGATGCTTCTTTACCTTTTAGGTAAACGTCTTTGAGAGCTTTGATTTGCTGCTTGGACCTGGAGGCAAAGATTTCAATCAGGACGGAGTCTTTTGTACCAGCTCCCTGCAGTAAGACACATTTTATACAAATGATGTTGTACAGTAATAAACACAGTTTCATTTCATTTTTAAAGTTTTTGAGCGTACTTTCATGGCTCGGGTGACTTCGTGGCAGTCGTACGCTGCAGGGGGAGTGATGAGCGCCAGCAGCAGCTCCTCAAAGTCTCTGCCCGTGTCGCCTTTCAGGTCTTTCTCCAGCGTCTGAAACGTAAATAGAGGCGACAGATCCAGAGGTTTACTCTGCGTGTTCAGAACCGCACCCATGAAAATAAAGCAAATACAGAAAATAAAGCAAACGAAGCAAACGAAGCACCGTAACGACTGAATAATGGCAGAGAACCTGTGTTTCAGCAGGTCAGAGTTCTGTTACTTTTACTTGGTTATACGTAAATCAATTAATAAATTAAAATACTCAATTAACTTGAATTAATTAATTTAATGATTTACTCAATTAAAATACTCTTCCAAAAAGATACTACAATACCTTTTTGGAAAAAATGTACTTTTAGTAGTATTTTTACTACTTCTTACTTCTTACTTGAGTAATTTTATTATGAAGAATCTTTAAAATGTCTGGATTTTCTACCCACTGAATGAAGAACAAACATGTTTTAACCCCAAATTCACTAGACACAGACATATACCTGCAGTTTATGTTAAAGTTTTTCATCAAAAGAAACTTATTTGGAAAAAAATAGATAGAAATATTTTTTTATTTGGGGTTTCTCCACAATCGTTTATTTATTCCAAGTCCTGTCATCACAGCACCATTCACTCTTTAAATAATAAGAAAAACATATAAAAATTATCTGCTGAACAAATACAATAAGGTCTGAATGTTTTTCTTTTATGATTTAGTGATTATAGATCTGATTATGCCTTAAATTAAAATAAAAAAGCAACAAAATAAATCAAAAATAAGTAAACAATCTGTTCAAAGTGAATATATGAAGCATAAATGTGAAAATTTAGGCTAATAACATTAAAGAACACAACTTATTTTATTATCTTTTTGTCTGTTTCTGGTAAAAGTCACTCCTGTTTATTTTTTTAAAATAAAATTATAATGTGTTTCTAATAAGAAAAGTGATTATAGGAGGTCTTAATATTTAAAAAAATCCTCGTTTATTTCACATTTAACGATTAGAAACACTTCAATTCACAACATTTTTATAGTAATATAGTGATAAAGTGAAGAAAATCTTACTCTGCCGGTGTCTTTTTCATACGCTCTGCAGATTAGCTGCCTCTGATCGTTGCTTCTTTGTGTCAAGATTTCAATCAGGACTTTCTCATTTGTCCCTAAAAAATAAAAATGAAACATGAATCTGTGTTTCTGTTGTATATCTGGAGGCAATTTACATTAAAAGAAGCACAAAAAGCTGTAGATTTGTTTCAATTTCAAAACATCGGCCATCAACGTGAAGTTTGTTTTTAACAAAAATGACCATTTAACCTAATTTTTAAAAATTAAACAGTTTTACACCAATATGTCTTATCGATTATGTAAAAGGTTTTGAAGACGAAAAGCAAACACAAGTTTTCTCCAAAGAAAAAATTAAGAACTAAACTTAACAAATATAGTGTGAAGGGATTTAAAACGTGTACCGAGTCCTTCAATGGCGTCCTTCAGAGCTGCAGCGTCTTTTTCTGCATCAAAGTTTGCTTTAGGCTTGATGGTTCCTCTCTGTTTGCTCTAAAGAAAACATTCAGATTTAACAATTAATTGAAACCCTGCGTAATTTCTCATATAGAAAAATCAAGAGTTGGTCTTACTTCTGCAGCAGAAGATGTCGGCGAATCCACAAGACTTTCCAAATCATCCTGGAAATAAACAGATTTAACATGTAAAACTCTAATGAAAACTTAAAAAATATAAAATAAAAACCTTTCTCACCCACAAAGAAGCCATGATGAATGTAGTTCTTCTGTAAGACATTAGAGACAATCTTAATCTCAGCTAGACATTTAAATACTGCAAAAACATCAAATCTCACCAAGTAATTTTGGTTTAGTTTCACTGTAAATTTCTTAGTACACTTGAATTAAGACAAAATTAACTTCCAAGAAACTTCTCAGCCAGATATAAGAGCTTATTCTAAGTAATTAGTTACTTAATGTTGATGAAATAATGCTAGTTAGTTACAGGATATTTTTTCTAGTCCTTTTCATCAACATTAGGAATTATTAAATTAAAACAAGATCTTATATCTTGCTAAAAAGTTACTTCTAGGTTAGTTTGATCTCATTTCAAGTGTACCAAGATATTTTAATTAGAAACTAATACTTGGTAAGATTTTGTGTTTTTACAGTGCACTAAACAAATCATCAAAGGCATCAGTTCCAATCTGTCATAGATAAAAGATGATTAAAATATGAATGAGATGTAGTGAATTGTCGTACTCTATTGTGTTTTAAAAATGTATTTATATGTGGCGACATTTTCTTCTGCTTTCCAGAACTGGGAACATGCAAATACGTTGCTGTGTAAAATGAGACCAGCTTTGCATTGAAGCAGTGAGTAAAGGCAGACTGGTGGAACTGGAAGAGAAAAATCTGCCTTCTGTACAAACCGGGTACATTAAACCTTCTAATTATGCAAAATAAAGTTCTTAGAAACCAGAAACTTACAACTGAATCAAACAAGCAAAGGAGAAAAACTCACCTTTGTCTCTGGAGTGGAATGTTTCTTTCCACCACACCTAGAAACTCTGAATCTACCTGTAGAGAAAACAGTTGGACACACCTGTTTGGCACAGTCAGACGATGCCTTCAGGGACTGCTCGTAAAATCCAGTTACTAACCAGTTTAACTGGCTAGTACAACCAGTTAAACTCATTTTACGAACCATTCTTTCTTTTAGAAAGTTCTGAAAGAACTTTTAGATTTGTAGTGGAACCAAATGTTACTTGGAAACTTTATGACGGCCATAATAGATAAAAACATAAAATAGCAAAGCATTTCCCAAAAAACAAAACAAAAAAAAAACCCTGAGGATTCTCAGAAATTTTCTAGAAAAAGTCAGAATTGTCCAAGTTTGAAAAATAGAATATGTGTTAGAAAAAACTCAGAAATTTCTGATTTTGAAAAATCAAAATTGGTCAGAAAAAAACTTGAAGTTTTGGATTAATTGACGGTATATTAGGGCAACGATATCAATACTGCAGATATTGAAACAGCAAACATTGGTGTCACAACTTTTGCCCATGAGTATTTCAAGCTTTAAAACTACACAAATTTAAAAAGTGCCAAAGCATAAATAACTTAGTAAATGGACAAAAAACAGATTTTTAATTTTACATTTATTTTATTACGAAAAAAGGCACCAAATACAGGCATCATACTGATATTATTGTGTTTTCCAAAAATTATAGCACCAAAAATATATATTTTTTTCTCCCCAAATCCCCCATTTTCATGTTTTTATAGGCACACATTTGAAAAAGAAGTAGCGTTATTAGATAAATACAAACCAGTGTCAAAAACATCATCAGTGGCTGGGCTGCAATGCAACAAATCAGACGAATGAAACGTAAATGAATGAGGAGAAACAGAATGAGATCTGTGAGTCTTTGGGCCGAACAAAGGCAGGCAGACGCATCATTCTTATAAAAACATGTTTCTTAAAAAGTGATCACTTTCACTCTGACAGTAGTAAGGCTGAAGCAGTCATTTGGGTGAACGGGTTTCCTACAGTCACACTCCGACGCTCTTCGATTGAAATACTTTGGACGATCTGTTCTCAGTCTCATGAGCAAAAATACTGCATGGCACTTAGAAATCGGCAGCTGATTGGATTACAGTACAAGCACGGAAATAAAAAGTGTTGAAAAGAAGAAATTGTGTTCAAAATGGCAGTAAGTACAATTCTTTAACCCCCTTTTACAGCGGATAAACACCAAACTAGTTGATAAAATAAATGGCTTTTTAGTGAGAACAGAGAGCGCTTTATATTAAATTACAACATTAAATATCATAAAAATTAGAGTTGATGAAGGAGAGAGTAGAATAGTTTTGTCCAGGCTACAATAACTCAGCAGATTCAACTTTTCTTTACGATATCAACATGTTAGGTAATAATCCAATTTTGGCGTTTCAAATCATGAATAATTGTGTGGATTTCATTGTATGTGCAATAAATCTGTATAATGTTTCACATTCTGAAATGAGAATGAAAATAAAAATATTCAATTTTAACATTTTTGGAGATTAAACTATTTAGTTTTTTCCCTCATTTTTATTTAGCTTACTTTATATTTTCAGTTTATAAAAACTTATAGGGGGGCTTTATTAGTTATTTTATATTATATTTAGAATTAAAACGGCTGGATGTTTTTTTTATTTATTTTTTATTAAGCACTTTGTTTTTAGAAGCCATAGAAACCCAAATGGAAGGTGCAAAATGCATAATTCTGCACAATAGATATAATAAAAAAGAAAATATGTCCTTATTACAGAAATAGATTGTGTTCAAATCATGATAGGTCATACAGGTGAGATATGACCTATCATTAATCCAGTGTAAAACGGGTGTAATCAAGGCTTAAAATGCTTTTTAATTAAAAAAGTCAAAGCTCTTCCATCCTGAAGAAAAGACGAACTGAAGTTGTGACATAATTGCACTTGAAGGCATCATTAAATTTTTATTTGCACTCACTCAGCCTGCAACAAAAGCAGCTTTGTTTGTGCTTTATATTTAAGCAACTTCTGCAGGTGGACAGGTTGTCCAGTTAATTCGCCTGCAGGATGATTGTGTGTGACATACGTGGTAAAGATGCATGAAAGGAGGACATTTTTCCTCGCCTGCCTCTTCGTACAGCAGTGAAATGAAACGATGCAGCAGATAGAAATCGTCAGTGTCTGAGCTACTGTTCACCTTTCGGTGATGAAACCGAGATGAATGTCGATTGAAAAGAGAAATAAAGATGGAAATCAGACGCAGCTGAGCAGTTTGTGGATTCCTGAGGTAGCCCAGTTGGCTGATCGTCACACGTTTCCCTTTTTTTTTTCTCAAAGTGGTATAAAAATACATAAACAAAACATTCCTTTAAGTACAAATTTTCAGTTTAGAAAATACCAATTTTGATGCTGTTTTGTTGTCCTTTGCCAGTAGCTGCGTTTCCATTACAAATGTGTGCAAAACTTTGTCAATATTCTTCTAATTTAAAAAAAAACATTTTGCGATGACAGCGTTTCCATTACATCGAAAACAAAATTAAAATCTCATTTGAGTAAGTTTGTTCACACATGAAGTCATTAAAAACATGCTGCTCAATTATCCTTCAACTACTTCCTGTCATCTTCTTTGTAGTTTTTGCCAGTAGTAACATCTGGCTGTTGATCATATGACTCGCAGTGATGCAAAGAACATGTTTTTGTTATGGTTTTACGAAATACACCGATGTCAATAAGGCTGAAAAAAAAAACCATGAGGAAGACGACGGCAGGATGTAGTTGGGCAGTCATGCGTGGCATGTCTTTTTTCTGATGAATTGTCTCAATAAGAAACTTTTTAATTGCATTTCATATTTAACAGAAACACTGCAACTGCATAATTGTGTTTTTTCGGTATTAGTGGAATATTGACAAAGTTTTGCTCACATTTGTGACAGAAAAGAAGCCAACGGAAACGCAGCGAGTTTTTCAGACCTCGGTGCCGTCGCCGAGGTTGTTGTGGATTTTGACCTCCAGGTTGACCTGCTTCACTTTGCCGTTGGGCTCCTGGTTGCGGTTGATGTTGACGTTCCTCACGATGCAGTGCTTCGTGCCGAAGTTCTTCTCCACGCACTTGTCCATGCACACCTCCACCTTGGTGTTGAGCGGGTACTCCTCGTAGGCCTTCGGAGTCTTCGTCACCTTCTTGACCGACCGCCTGCAGCGGCGGAACAGGAAGCAGGAAGCCAGCAGCGCCAGCACCAGCAGGGTGATGGCGGCCACGCCCCCGCCCACCGAGCTGCCCACGTGGGCGTTGAAGGTGGCGGACGGGCCGGCCTCCAGGCGCAGCGACTTCATGTTGGTGCCGTTCTTCACCTGGTCGCCCTCGTTGTCGTAGATGAGCGACTCGTCGAGCGTCAGACGCCCGCTGCGGTCCACCAGGTCGCGTTTGGAGCGGCTCACCTGATACGTCAGCGAGCGCTGAATCCTGGGGCTGGAGCGCGACTCTGGGCCAATGACGTAGATCACCTGCAGGTACCACTGGTGGCCCGCCTCCACCTGTCAGTCAGACAGGTAATTTATTAATTAGTAATTTACTTATTAGTTTATTTAGCTCTAATAGTATGAGAATAAACTCACACTATTATCAGAATAAAGTAGAAAAATTGAAAGACAGTCACATAACCATAAAAAAGTAAAATAATACAAGAATAAGGTTGTAATATTATCAGAATAAACTCACCAGAGAAAGTAGCAATAATAAAAGAATAAAATCATAATGAAGGACATTAATAATACTCCCAATGCTACTAAATTATAGTAGTATTAATATGATATCGTATAGTTATATAGTAATATTACCAAAATAAAGTAATAAAAACAAGAATAAAGTTGTAAAAAAAAACTTTACTTTGCTATCACTGAGTTTATGCTTGTAATATTATGACTTTATTTTCATATTTTACAACTCTATCCTTACAAAAGTCATAATAATGAAAAAATAAACTAATTTTACCAAAATAAAATTGTAATAATACAACACTATTTTGGTAAAACAAAGTTGTAATATTAAACATGTGATTTTATTCTCATATTTTTCTGACTCTATTTTTTACAAAAGTCATAATATAATGAAAATAAACTTATATTACCAGAATAAAGTAGTAAGATTAAAGTCACTATTAATATTACTAGAATGAAGTGACATTTCTGTGAAAGTGAAAATTTATTTAATTTATTTCAAAGAAAGAATCAAATGGATTTATCAGATCATTTTCTTGTAATTTTACAATTTTCTTCTGCTAATATTATGACTACATTCTCGAATTTTTTCTTATAATAAGAAAATACTCTAAACAAAACAAACTGTTCTGTACAAACAGGAATTCACTCACCTTGTAAAGAGCGTCGACCTTCATGGTGAAGCCGTCGACGCCCGGCATGGCCGCCATGGCCTGCAGCTCTGGGACGTCGGAGGCAAAATCGGCCTCGAACGGAACGTCGTGAAAAAACTTGTGGCATACGTCCGGCTGTTTACGATCCTGAAACACATTCAGAGCAGATCAAAACAGAATAATAAACATTTTAAAACTAAACTGGTCGCTTTGATTTTTAAATCAGTGGCACTCTCAGAAAATGTCAAGAGCCATGGGCACCTTGGTCCCCCCACTTGGGGACGCCAGTGTTTCAAACTCAAACGTAAATACATGGTTTTCATTTAAACTCAAACGTAAATACCTCATTTTCAATATCAAAAACTAAGAGAACTACAGAAGAAAACCTTATGGTAGTTAGAGTCAATGTTCCCTCTAATTGTTCATGTGTCTGGGCGTACACACAAGCTTCCTGGGCACACTGAGGACCACTGTGAGCATCATCAGTGTGCACGGCGTGGCCACGCACAAGTATCATAAATCTGGGATCATAGAAAGTTGCATGGCTTATTAAAAAAATCAAATTACATCAGCAATTGTCTGCTTATCCATAGTCAAAAGTCTGAACTCAACATTTCAATATCAAATGCAGACCATTCCTTTCATTTGATTTGATTCCATTTGGTCTTAGAAGAAGTGCATTTCTTTTTTTTTAAACTTTGGCTTGGTGAGTGAATGTCCCACGTAGACATGATAAGGTGATGGTTTTCACGTTTCTTAACTCTACCGCACTATTCTCACCTGCACGGCGCATATGACCAAGGCACGTAACCCACGTACACACAGCCAATCAGCATTCGCTGATTGGCTGCGTAGCGAAAGTGAACCGTATCGTATCATTGGCTGGATTCCTGTCATTCACTGAGTTCGATTGCAAAGTGGTACGGAAAACATTTTTTATTGGTCCATAGTCAAAACTGATGTCTGAGCTCAATGTCCACTTTACGTTGGACTTTATTTTATGCGCTACATAGATTTTCTTGTGTGCTGAGAATATGTGAGCAGTGCGCGATTGCGCAGGCGCGCAGCTTAGAGGGAACGTTGGTTAGAGTATCACCTGGATGACAAACCAATGTCAAACCCAGTTTGTCCAGTGTGAACTGGTATGGAAAGCTGTTAAACTGGAAAGTTTTCTTTGAGCATTTTGCTGTGAAAGAAAATCAGGATGCCTTGAAATAATATTAGCAGAAGACTTACAGAAAAACAAATTACAAAAAAATATTATGCATGAGAAAAATACCCAGAAAACTAGCACCAGCCTCAGGAAGCTGCCGACCATCATGTTGTTGATTTTTTTTTCTTTGGGCCAAAGCAGATTTTGTTGTACTTCCGTACAATGACAACAAAGGCTGATTCTGAATACTTCAAAGTAATATTGTTATATATTTAAATTGTCAAAGAAGGGCAGAGTTCTCAAAATTGTACTCATGTAAAAGCAATGTAAAAAAATGACATCATGAGATGAAACAACATATAAAGTTAAGCAGCAATTTTGTATTTAAATGACAATAATTCATATAAGTAGCAAAAAATAACAAAAGCAGGGAAAAAAATCTGATTCTTTCATTAAAAAACTTCGGAATATTTAACATAAACTGCAGGTGTGTTTCTGTGTCTGGTGAATTTTTGTTTAAAACATGATTGTTTTTCATTCAGTGAAGGAAATAATCCAGACATTTTACTCCAGTAATAGTGGAGATAATTCATAATAAAATGACTCAAGTAAAATTGAAAAGTACAGCGTAGTAAAAATATTTGTAAAAGTAATTTTTTCCCCCCAAAAGTTACTCAAGTAAATGTAATTGAGTAAATGTAACTAGACACTAAACAATAACTTTCAGAGAGATGTGTCACAGTGAGTCAAGTAGGTGAAAAAAATGTATAAAAAAAAAAATAATAAAAAAACAATAAACCAAAAATATTCATAAAAACCAAACAGATTAAATAAAAGTTTGTTTACCAGCAGCAGGAAGCGATGTTTGAGATGTTTGTTGGGTTGGATGCAGCCGTACTGCGGCCCCTCGTTGTACAGGGTCCCAGTGGGATCGAAGAAGGGAACGTAGCCGTCCCGCCCCGTGCACAGGTAAACCTTCTCCAGCTGCAGCTTGTATGCTGCGTTCAGGTTCTGCTCCGGGTTCCACAGCACTCTGCCGTACAGAGTCTGACCTGCAGGGGGCAGCGAGTGGACCAGAGAGGAGTTAAACGGTTTAAATAAGCTGTGATAAAACAAACACTTCCAGTGAGGAGATTTTTATTTTTTTTGTATTTAATTGGAATTGTAAATAGACTCGTACTTTATTGATTCCAACAGGTTCAATAATATATATGGGTTTAGACATGTGATCAATATTAATATAGAATAGATCTCAATATTGAATGCATGGAATATTCATTGAACTCCGATCCAGAACCGCACAGCATTCTGGGGGATGAAGGCAGAGCAAACCCTTTAGCTAACTGAGCAAAGCTGGTGGAATCAACTAACTCGCTCACTTTTTGGTTACCTAGCAACAACCTGTTGAGTAACTGGCGCAGCAGCAGTTCAATATTTCTCCACCGTGCATCTTAACTTATTTACACTGCTTCTGAGAAGATAAATAAATCTAATGTATGCGCACATCTACAATAACCACATACAGGTAAAAATAGAGTTTCTCATGAAGACGCCATAAGTTTTAACTTCTTATCAGAAAAGAAAAACTTCAGACTTTTTTTATAACTCAATTACTGTCAAATTGACAGCTTTGGCCCAATTAAATAATTTCTGGATGATGTGATTTAAATATTCAGTGACAGCTATAAAATTAAGATATTTATCAGATCCTATTTATATTACAAAATATGAAAAATGTGGAATAGAATGAAGAATAATTTTTGACTCCTACCCATGGAGAAGGCTCCCTTGTAATCCATCTCAGCCATGGAGACGTCGGCGGAGGCCGGATCCAGCAGGAAAACCTTCTCATTGTTGCACAGCTGGAACTCCGTGTTGAGGGAGTAAACAACCGGAACGGGCCGGTTGGTCTGCTGGAAGGCGATCGGAACCAGGAACCTGTTGGGAGTAGAAAAAAGTGTTCAGGATACAACTGAACACAGGGGTTCTGCAGGTTTCACCAGCGCAAATTAAAGGCTTTTTTTTTAAAAAAGACCATTGTGAATTAAATTTAAGACCTGTATCATCAAGAAAATTGTATATTTTACATCAGAATAGTGCCAAGTTTTTTATATGGGTCAACAACAGACCCATATAACAGACAACAGATGTTCGTGGCGAAGACAAACATCTAGCTAACTGGTGACAAATTCACACTTTCACTTGATTTAAAAGATAGCTAGCAAGTACATATTAGTAGCTAGTTAGCGGTAGCCTCAACTGGCTCAATTCACACAATGAAATGGCGATACATTTACACTTTCTCATGACAGACTCATAAAAAGCGAGTTAGCTGTTAACATAAGGGTTTATTATCAGCTAGTCAAGGCTAGCTCAACCACCTCAAGTCACACAAGGATGTGGCAATAAATTTACACTTTCTCAAGATAAGTGCAAAAAAAACTAAGCTACCCGGTTAGTAAGGATATATTAGCAGCTAGTCAGCAGTAACTCAACTGCCTCAAGTCACAGAACAGATTGAAGATGTCTGTGCTTGATATAAAAGTCCAGCAAGAAAAATTAATTACATAGAATATGCAAAATTAAATAACTGACCAAATTTAAGACACACGATTAACGATTTTAAAGACCATCTTACATTCCTTCATGGATTTAAGACATTTTAAGGCCTTCATTTTAGAACCATAAATTTGGGACTTTTAAAGATCTGTGGGCCGTACTTCTCTGGAGCGTGAGCCGTGCAGGACAGAGGTTTATCTCCCGGGTCAATCCAGGGCTGGGTCGGCTGAACGGTGCACGGGATCAAGAAGACGGTGTACTCCCCAGAGTAGTCCTTCCTGCAGAATATGTAAAGAATATTAGATGCTCACAAAGGAATCTATATGAGAAAATCTACAGAGACGAACGTGAAGCTAGTTAAGTCAATCAAAAAATGTTAAAAACATCCTAAGAGAAGATGACAGATATGCTTATCCCACATATACACTGCAAAAATACAAAATCTTACCTAGTATTTGGTCTAGTTTTTAGAGCGAGGACAATAGAAACGAGACAGATTAGGTAAAATGTTCCCACCTGCTGTAGGAGCTGGTGGCCCTCCACAGCTGATACGGCGAGTCGAAGGTCTGTGCGCTCCACAGAAGCTGCATGTCGAACTCGATGCCCCCCAGGTGGTCTGGGGCCATCAGGCGAGATTTGTGACCCGGCAGAGTGTGGTGATCCAGAACAAACTGACCTGAAGGAAAGCAAACGGCAGGAAAAAATGCTTTTAAGACTTTCGCTAAAAAACACCAGCAGCTTTCATTTAATACATGTTTTTAAAATTTCCTTTTAATTACACATTGAAAGAATAAAAGATGAAAGAATTAGAAATCCAGTAATACAAACACATTGTATAATTATGAAATTTGGTACATATCACAACCAACAAAAACGTCTCTTCAAGCCATAGCCCAAAACCAACAGAAAGTCAGCCATTTTGTCTCTTTTACCTACATTGTAACTGCGTGAATTTTTCCTATTTGGACATGGAAACTTCAAAATCACTCAGTATAGTGTTGAGATGTTGGACAGCAAAAGTTATCAAAAGCTTTTTGCTGCACCAAGCCTCAAAATATGACCATTCACCAAAAAAGGTGGAATAAATTCCCCATCTAGTTTCACAGCTGTATGAGACAATCTTTGTGACCCAGAAATGTTTAATGTTTAATATATTTTCATGGTAAATTGGTGACATTACCATTAGCCCGCCCCCTTAAGTCACTTATTTTACTGTTGGTTGTCTTTCTTTTACACTGTGAAGAATTTTGTAGCAAAAGTTGAAAGGTCAAATTTCAGCACACCCTTTAAGATTTCCAGCCCTACTTGTAATAATATGAACTAAAGATGATTTGGAAAATTTGGCAAAAGCGCCACCTAGTGGGAGAACGCAGGAAAGGTGGGAGAGCGATGATGTCAAGGACGGGGTGGCACCGTCCAATGCTGCATGAAAGTTTAACTCATTTCTATGCTCAAAGCATAGAATTAGACGAAACAGATCTGCCCTTATTGATCAGGCACATTGTTACTGATACCAAAGATGAAATTATTTTCAATAACTGAAAATACAGATATTACTATCGGATCGCTGCATCTCTAAACCTGACAATCCCAAAAGACATAAAACATATTTTTACCACTTCATCACATGTTTATGTTTCTCTTAGTTAGGAAGATTTTGTAGGAGAAAATATAGAACGGTAATCTGAGCTGCTTTGCAGAGTGTTTCTCTGTTGCTGTGAACCGACCTCTGAATTTGGCGTGAGTTTTGAACTCAATCACAAGACGGCCGTCCTCTCTGATAAAGATCCTGATGATCTGCAGTCTGGCTGAAAGGACGCTGTCAGTCTGGATCCCTGCAGACAGGAAAACAACAGAAGTTAAGAACCAAGGTCCAACCCTTATCACAGTAACTTCTCTCTCAGTTATCTGTCCTTAAATGGTTTCATTTCCATTCCGGAGGCTGAGGCATGAAGAGAATTGATCAGGAGTGATTTTTTTTTTGCTGCGTTAAGTCCTGACCTGTCCTCCAGAGCACTGTATCGTAGAAGAAGGAGAACTCCATCTCGGTGTGATGCTCCAGAGAGGCCCAGCCTCTAGGCGCCGTCACGTAGATGTAGGAAACATAGAGAGGAACCTGCACAGTCAGGAAGGATTGAGCCGAGTCCCGAACCTGAAAAAACAAACAAAAAACAGACAAAAAAAAATGTGTCTTTTAATTCTGTTTCTCCACTTCCAGGCTATGAGCTCATGTCCAGGGTTTCTACACTGTCTAAGAAAGTTTGGAATTTGATTTAAAGGTGACCTGTCATGTTTCCTTGAGCATGTAAGGATAGCTCTATAACATTTACAAATTTTTTACAACAAAGTCATTTTTATATAATGGGTCTTTAGTCTGTTTTAGGGAATCTTGTCAGTGCTTGGGCTGTTTTTGGAAACAGAAGAGACACAAATAAAGGTACAGAAATATGTACTTTTGCAAAATTCGTCCCCTTTTGAACACTTTCCCACTCTGAATAAGAAAGGAAGAAGAAAACAGAGTCCACCGTCCTTCCATTTATCCATGAATTGAACTGACTGAGCAAAATGAAGTTGTGTTGTTTTTAGATGTTTGGTGAAGCTGAGAAGCTATTGGTGTATTTTAGTGAGCTGTACTGGTACTGAGTTATCCAATAAATTTGTAATTCAGTACATTTATGTCCAGATTTTAAAAAAGAAATAGAGATTTCAGACCAATTCAGCTATGTTTTCCTTTATTGGGTCGGTAGTAAACCTCAGATATCTGTACCGGTCCATCCCTAACCCTACATCTAGGACAAAGTGAGCCACCTGGAAATCAGCGGTGACGGAGCCGCCGCAGACGTCGATGAGCTCGGTCATGTCGTAGTAGGCGTCAAAGGTCCAGATGCAGCTCTTCAGGTTCAGGTGCTTGTAGAGCTGGATGCTCTTGGCCTCTCGGACGTTGGGGTTAAACTGGTAGGGGCGGTCATAGCCTGGACCGAGAGAGATGCTGTCGTAGGAAACGTCTTCCAGGAAGCCAGACTCTGTGGAAGAACAGCGATTCTGCTTTAAACCACAGAATTAGGAGGGAAGATGGTACATTTTAACAAATTAAACTGCCTCTAAACAGGTTTTGTTTTTTCCACAGTAAAATTCAAGTAAATATTCTTCAAGGAAAGTGAGTAAAAAAAAAATACAAACACTGCAAAGTATTTCTGGCTGTGTCTGCAGTGCATTTATCTTAGTATTAAGACAAAACTAACTTGCAGGTAATTTTTCAGCAAGTTTTAGGTCAATAATTTCTTAAAATTGGGAAAGAAGTACTGGTTCTATTGGCAGACAGTTTTTCCTTGTTTTAAGTGAAATAATCTTCAAATGTAATCCATATTATTTCATCAATATTACAGATTTACTGAAAACAAGTAAATAGATTTTCCAAAAATGTTACTTGTAATTTAGTTTAGTCTTATTTCAAGTGTATTAAGATATTTTTACTGGACATTAAACCACAAATACTTGGTAAGATTTTGTGTTTTTACAGTGAATTAACTAAAGATAGTTTGAAATGATTATTTTATTTAATTTATATAATGATCAACAGCATTCCTTTATTTTTAATAAACAATCTGTTTTTATTTTATTTTTACTTTTCAATTCTTGGATCATAATATCTACATTTATTATAATGAACCACATACATACAACTCAGGTTAAACAAGAATGAATAAATATTTCACGTTCGACAGCCTGTGTGGCTTTTTCTTCTGTCTAAATGTGTTTTGTTTGTGAAAATGAAAATGGAGTATATAAATTCATAAAAAATAAGATGAAGTGGAACTATAACAGGTGTAGCAAAATAATATACTGAGTCAATAAATCTTGGTTACGATATGCAAACTACAGTCAGGCGGCATTCTTTTTTAATGTTTAGAAATCAAGGACTTTCCACACCTTGAAAACACCTGATTAATAATTTTTCTGAAGCGTGTCTGACTGACCAGAAATGCCCTGCAGCTCTTTGATGGTGACCAGGTTGGAGCAGACGTGCTGCTGCCTGTAGATTGACTCCGACAGCAGGAAGTGCAGGTTGTGCAGCGGCATGGTGGACACAAGCGGCAGCATGCCGTCCTGATGTGGGATTTGGACTGAGATGTGGATGCTGAACATGGAGGAAAATCAAGAGAAAACAAAGCAGAACAGTGATTTTCTTTTAGAAAAATCAATCATGGAGAAGCTGAATGCTGGTTCTCCAGAACCAGAAGCTCTGAGAGCTCTGGAAGGTTGATGCAACAACAGCAGAGCCATTCAGTGATTTATAAACTAACAACAGTATTTTAAAGTTTATCCTCTGAGCTACAGAGAGCCCGGGTTGGGACTTTAAAACCAAGAGATGTGCTCCATCTTCCTGGTTTTAGTCCGAACAGCAGCAGCAGCGTTCTGGATCAGCTGCAGCTTTCAGACCTGTGAAGACACTGTTGCAGTAATCAATGAGGCTAAAGAGAAACACATGAATGAGTTTCTCTAGATCTTCCTGGTTTATTAATCTTTTAATTCTGGAAATGTTCTTCAAGTGACAGAAGTCCGATTTTGTAATTGTTTTTATGTGGTGCTGAAAGTTAACACCCAGGTTTTAGGCCTGATCTCCAGTTTTCAACTGTAGTAACTAAAGCTGTGTGTTGACTCTCTGTCGTCAGTTTTGTTTCTGTTCAACTGGAAAAAGATGTGATTGGATGGGTTTGTAGTCACCAGGTGACATTGTAACGTCTTATTAGTGAGTACGAACCGGTTGGGGTGCTCTTTGTGCTTCACATCCAGGTATTTAAGCGTGGCGACGAAGGACTGGGCCTGGAAGCCTCTGGCGGTCCCAGTGGTAACAGGGGTGTGGCAGATGGAGCCGTCTGTGCCGATGGTGATGATGTTGCTCCGCAGCGGCGTTCCCAGGTGGCCGGCTTTATCCCGGGCCTGAGCCACACAGCGGACGTGGAAGCGACGGCTGAAGTAAATGCTGTCCAGAACCTGAGGGGAACAAAACAAAGAAGGTTTAAGAGAAACAATGGAGACCTTCTAGTCCTCCTGATCACTCCAACATCCTCCTAAGTAGCTGTCAAACCAGAGCCTAAATACCTTCGAATGGGATGTTAGCTCTTTAATCCTGAAACTGTTCTTCAGGTAATAGAAGGCTGACTTTGTTATGTCTGTGGAAGTTGTTTGTTCCATAAAAACTGAACAATAAATAAGACATCTGAAGCTCTATTATGATTTCAGAAACTGACCTGGATCGAAACCTTATTTTTGACTAAGCGCAGTAAACCATCCGGCCTCACCTTGTGGTTGACGCTGGTGTACGGCGTTGTGTCCGTCACCGTCTCAAATGGAGAGCGCGCTCCGCTGGAGTCGGTGGGAGCCGCCACCTCCCAGGAGAAGTGAACCTGTGTCTGGTTGATTCCCGCCTCCTCACAGTGCTCCTTCATCACGGAGTACTTCGGGTAGTGTGGGTCACAGGGGGTCACACAGACCAGAGGGTAGCCAGGAGAGGGAGTTTTCTTGCTGCCTTCTTTGGTCACTTCCTGGACGTGATTATAGTCGGCCAGTGAAACCACCTGAGGAGGCGGGAAGACTCGTTTTAATGCTGCGACATTGGAAATGTGTTAAAGAGCTTACGCTAAAAATTCACATTTTTATGTTTTTGTACCTCCATTGGGTCTTGAATTATTAAAACAACCCAAGCACTTAAAAAAAACACCCTGCCTTTTTCTTGGCAATAAGTGAATGTTTTTTGGTGTCTGTTTCTTTCATTAGATCGTTAGCAGCACTAAGTGCCTGGGGGTTCACATTAAAACAACCTCAGCTGGACACCTCATATCACTTCACTGGTAAAAAAGGCACAGCAGCGCCTGCACTTTCTGAGATGAATGAGAAGGGCTACTCTCCCACCTCCCATCCTCTCCACCTCCTACAGAGGAACCATTGAGAGCCTGCTGACCAGCAGCATCTCCATCTGTTCTGGGAGCTGCAAGGCCTCAGACTGGAAGTCTCTGGGAAGAGAGGTGAAGGCAGCGGAGGGGGATCATTGGGCCTCCACTCCCCCCAATCCATCCTCTCTGACTCCACCCATCCCCTCCATGGTCTGTTCATCCGGTTGGCAGGAGATTTCGTAGCATCCGCTGCAGAACAGCCAGACTCAGAAATAGCTGTCTCCCACAGGCCATCAGACTGCTCAACAATCCCATCACTAAAACCGTCTAAGGCTGCTTGAAAATATTAAGTTATATATATTTAGCAACACATCACTATTTGTTTATTTTGTAATTAATGGCACACTTGTGTTTCCATGTGTGCTCCGGTAACCAAGTGATATTTCATTACTAAATTTACTTATGTTTCTTTGAGCAATGACAATAAAGTAAGTCTAAGTCTGTTTCAAAAACTACCAGACTTCCAGTTACCTATCAAATCAATCAAATTTTATTTGTATAGCACATTTCAGCAAGGCATTTCAAAGTGCTTCACATCGCTTACAGCAATCCCAGAAGCCCAGCCCTGTGACCGAGCAACCCATGCAGCGATCCAGCGCATTTGGTTTTACCGCTGTATGCGCTGTACAATGGCTGCTGGAAGAGATGCTTCTAAGAGGTTTTTCTTACTATAGGCGGGGCGGGGAGGATGAGGCTGCCTGCAGCCTCCTGGTCCAGAATCGTCACCGTCGCTGTGGTGATTTCACCGAGCACGGCCTCCACCGGATCATCAGGACCAAGGACCAGGGAGAAGGATTCATGCCACTCTCGGTCTTCATTAGACAGAATCTCCACCTTGAACATGAGGTGGTCCATTCCTTTAAAGCAACAAATAGCGTCAGCGATATTTAATCACACCCTGGAAGCTACATCAGAGCTTCTCTGCACTCACCAGGCGTGAACTTCAGGACCCGACTGTTGGGATTGTAGTCCACTCCAGACTGGGCCGATCCATCCCTGGTGCTGCAGCGGATCTTGGAGGTTCGGTCCAGGTCTCCGTGGCGGATCACCTTGATGTTGAGCGCCTCCACGCCGTCTGGACCGGGAGGCTCTCTGACCTGGTAGGACGCCTGTTCAAACTCGATGGTGGGAGCTGGAGGAGCAGAAGTCGGTCTAATTTAGTGGTTCACTAATCGATTAATCGTAATTAATTTGATTAATCGTTTGAGTGTATTCAGGGTGCGTTTACCATCCTCATCATTAGTGATGGTGATCGTCACGATGTCATTGGCTCCAATCATTGCACCGCTCCAGTGGTCACCCTGCGGCGTTCCAAGATGGAGCTGGAATTCCTCCTCAGGCTCGAAAACAGAGTCGTCGTTGATGTGAACCGTGCAGTTCTTCACCTGATGGACCAATGAAGAGTTAATCCCACACACACAACAAACAGGATTTGACACGATGTCTGGGTCAACACGTTACCTTCTCTCCTTTGAGGAAAGTGATTCGGGATTCATCAGCGTTCCTCCTCTCCACAAAGTCATCCATCACCATGGCAGACATGGTCCGAGTGAAACACCGCACTGACGACTTGAAGGACAGGTCTCCGGTCCGGATGACGGGGACATGGAGGACGGTGTCTTTCTCCTTCACGGTGTACGAGGTTTTGTCAAACTGCATGGTGGGAACTGAGAGAAGCAGCTGGTTTTAGTGATGAATCAACCCAAAGTAACACGGTGCGGATGCTTCGGTACGTACTGTCCTGGAAGGTGTCGGTGATGACGATGTTGGCTTCGTAGGGTTCCTGAAGCACCGCCCCCTGCGGAGAACTGAGGAAGATAATGAAGGACTCCGGACCTTCAATGGACGGGTTCTGAATGTCGTCCATGATGGTCAAACTGCAGGTCTAAAAAACAAAAACCAGGTTTGGAAATGATTGGAGTTGGGTGGTAACTAGTTACATTTACTTGTTACTTTACTTGAGTAATGTTATTATAAAGTATTTCTACTCTTACTAGAGTAAAACTTCTGGATTTTCTACCCACTGATTGAAGAACAAACAGGTTTTAACCAAAAATTCACCAGATACAGGCACATTTGTTGTTACTTGTATGTATTATTGCCATTCTGGTCTTTAAAATATCAACTTATCAAACTATCATTAAAAATTACATCTTCATGGACCAACATATAAAGTTAAGTGGAAATTTAGGTGTTTTACGGACCACAATGGCAATATTTCATACAATAACAGCAGCAAAATCAGACAAAAGAAAGTTTTTCTAATTCAATTTCTTTCAATAAAACTAGTTACTCCCCAACTCTGACCACCACCAGGAGGTGAGGTGTGTTTTGGTACCTCCTCAGTCTTCCCAGGTTTGAACTCCACCTTCTTGGAGCTGGGGATGTAGTCGACTCCTGGAATGGCTGATGGCGGGTCCAGAGGTCTGGTAGCGCACCACACAGACGTCACAGAGGACAAGTCGCTTCCCTGGCGCAACACCGGTATCTCTATGGTTCCTGGAGAGAAGAGATCCCGGCAAACCCGCGTCAAAAACACAACCAGAGAAACCAATCGGATTCATCCGGATGTGGGAATGAGGTTCACACCAGCATCTTCACTGAACGTAAAGGTCGCATTTCCAAGCGTCACAGTCGACGCATCGTTGGGTCCGTCGATGACGACCTTGGCCGACGACACGTGGCCCGTGCGGGCGTTGTCGGAGGCGTCCGACAGCACCAGCTCGAACTCCTCGGACAGTTCGTACTCGCTGTCATCGATGAGCTTCACGTCGCAGGTGGACATGCTGACGCCGGGACCAAAGATGACGCGGTTGTCGCTGCTCATGCCGCGGCTCTTGTAGTCGGAGCCGGACTCCAGGGCGTGGAGGCTGCTGCCCTTCGCCGACTTGGAGACGGTGTAGCAGAGAGCCGACACGGTGCTGGAGGCGTCGCCTGCATGAAAAGGTCCAAGGCAGATCAAACATGGAGGCGACGGAGGCGACAATCTGACAATATCTGTCACTTTACCAGAAAAGACAGAAGCAGATTTATACTTCCTACATTATGGTAGAATGTTTTTTTATTTGTTACTGTATTTAATTTACAGAAAGAATTAACAAGGAAGACATGCAAATATTAAAAAATTTGGTTTGCAAACCAAGTATTTAGTTCCCGAATATATTTAGCTGTTTGTAAATGAAATATGAGCAAAGAATTAAACGTTTAGATGGGAAGTAAATATTTAGCTGTGCAAACTAAATATTAATTTTCCAATTGGTTCCAACTACGCTAGTTGGGATATTTAGTTTTTATTTATTTTGCAAACTACATATTTATTTCCCAACTAAATGTTTACTTCTGAGCTAAATATTTGGCTCCGAATGAAATATCAATTTAACTAAACATTTAGTTCAAAGTTAAATTTATTTTCCAAACTAAACATTTAATTTTTAAATTAAATATTTATTTTCTAAACTAAATATTCAGCTCCAATATACAAATTTAGCAAGATGAAATATTTAGTTCCAAATAATATTTTCCAAGATATTCGTTTTTGAAGCTAAACATTTCATTTCAAACTAAATATTAATTTTCAAACCAAGTTGTTTAGCCCAAAATTAAATATTTATTTCCAAGCTAAACATTTTCTGTTCAAACTAATTATTAACTTGATATCTAAACATTTGGCAAGCCGGCTACTTATTTAGCTTGTTATTCTCTTCCACCTGCTCCCCAATTTTCAACTAACATTACAATATCATCTGCAAATGTCGTGAGCCAAAGTGATGTCAACGTACAAAAGCAAAACTCAGTATCCAAAGTTTAAACCACTAGAAGGAAAATCTCCCCAGAAATAATGAGTCGACAGATTTAGCTTCCTGTCTAACTCTGTCAGGGCCGATCTCTGTTTACATTCATCACCAAATCATCAAATCAGTCGTTATTCTTTCTTTCTCTACCTTTCCTCTCGATGGGGGCGCTGAAGAAGCCGCTGCTTTCATTGACGTGATAAGTCTTCTTGTCAAACTGGAGAGTTGGCTCGTCCTCCGTGTCGTTGATGTTGACGACGGCGCGCGTGTTTGCCCCGAGCAGCGCGTACACCGGCATGCTGAGCTCCACATGGAAGCTCTCCATCCCCTCAAACACCTTGTCGTCGTTGATTACTATGGTGCAAACCTTGGTGTCTTCGCGTTCGTCAAACTGGACCTGGAGAACCCGGAAGAGGAGGGTTTTTGAAAAAGGGGTGTCTAAAGCACGGCCTGCGGGCCATTTGTGGCTCTTTAAGTGATTTTTTGTGGCCCTCATCTGCCATTTGAGATTGATACAAACTTTTTATTTCTATTTGGGTGAAATTATTACCAATATAATTTTTTTTGCAGTTAAAAATATTTATGCATTTCTCTTTACAGCCAAACTGTTATAATCAGCAGAACTGAGTGTATTTACAGACTTTTTCTGAAAAACCAACTTTGCTGTACATAAGAGAGTTTTTATTTAATTTATTAAACTTGGCTAAACATAACAAGTGTTTTGAAAGAGAGAAGCTCAAATATTTTTCTGATAACACATTTGCTCAATCAAGCCCAAATAAATTAGAAAACTAAATTAAATATTTTTAATACAGAAAATGTGTAAAATCATTTCAAGTTTTCGATGTACAATGAAAAAAATAACTAATTGTTTGATTAAATATTAATATTTCTATTATTTATTTTTTTGGCCTACGAATACTGTTAACCTGTCAATTTGACCCACAAGAACAAAAAGTGTGACGCTCCTGACGTGGATGTAAATCTGTGAGTTTGGTTCGTTCGACAGCGAACCTGTCCAGCGTATTCCACATAGTCCTGCTGTTCGGGTCGAGTTCCGATGCTGCTGGTGGAAACGGCGCTGCCCTGTTCGGTGCGACAGAGGACGATGGCGTACTGGTTGAGGTTCCCGCTTCGCTTCACCGTCACGGCTACGGTTCCGGCTTTCTCGCTCACGTTGTAGCTGAGGGCAAACCAGAGGGACGGAGACAGTATTTTACATTTTCACTGCAAAAACACAAAATCTTACCAAGTAAATTTGGTTCAGTTTCTAGAGCAGATATCTTAGCGCACTTGAAATGAGAGAAAAACGGCTTCCAGGTGACATTTTAGCAAGACACAGGAGCTTGTTTTAAGCACATAATTCCTTAATATTGATTAAAAAGAACTAGTTCCACTGGCAGATTGTGTCACTTATAACGAACTGATTCCCGGCTTCTGAATGGTTTTCATGGTTTCAATCGAGCAGATTAATTTCTGCAGCCATTATTATTGTTGTTTTTATAAAACTCAACTATAATTATTGCACTTGAATGACTTCAACCTTCTCACAAAAGTTTTAAATTGAACATAACATGAGATTCTTCTTTAAGCTGCTGATAAGATCTCTCAGTTGTGAAATTACAATTCTGAACAAAAATATCAGAAGAAAAAACTCATCACTAATAAATAATGTTTTATTGGCACTGCTGCCACTGGATCTAGTACTTTTTAATCAATTTTTTAGAATTATTCACTTGAAACAAAAATCCTGGCACTTCAAATGTTTGGTGATATTTTGTGTTTTTGGAGCATTTTTGCCTCTTCTCAGTGATGCAGTACCTCTTGTGCTCAAAGCTGATCAGAGACCACTGGATGTGGAAGAGGTTGTCGCTGACCACGTTGGGTTTGCTGTCTTTCACCAGAAACTTGAAGGTGTCCATGGTTTCCTGGATGTTCTCCTGACGCAGCACGTAGCGGATCAGACCCAGATTGATATCAGCTGGAACGCAGAAAGATGAGAAAACTAACAGCTGATCAAGATTTTGGAGTATTTTTAGGTTAAAAAGGAGATGGGAGAGCTTTAAATACACAATCCTGCACCGATAAAGAAGATATCAGAATATTTTTAATTTTGTTTGTGTTTTCTGCTTGAACTCTTGGATTATACCAGTGTGGATAACTTTAGGATCAAACTGAATAAATGTGAGAGTTTGACTCTTATGAGAAAAACAAATAGTTTTATGATTATAGGTTTATTTGTGAAACAATAATAAATGAATGGAAGTCCTTAAAGTTTGAGGAGTGACTAATTTCTGAGGTTGTTGCTTTTAATTTCATGCTTTTACTGGACAGAAAAAGAAACAAAAATATTGTGACTGCTTAACTTCCTAAGCAGATGACTCAAATATCATCTGAAAAATCTGGAAATAGCAGCTAATTTGGCTCCATTTCTTTCTTGGCAGGTATTTCTGGCTTCCTGATGAAGATGGAACTAACTTTGCATTTCCTCCAAAATAATCACTTTATCATTTGCCTCCTCTGGCTTTTTTCCATTACTACCAAGTCCAAATGAGTAAGAAGATCAACACTGGCTGATATTTTCTGCTCACTGATTCCTCCCAAAGGAGGCCGGAGAAAATATAAAACCTTAACTAACGGCAAATGAAGATGCATAAACGCTAAAATGACCTTCAGGACGCTGAGGGCAACACAAACACACACACCGGTGTGTAAATACTTTACACCAGAAATCCTTTTCACCTTATTCACTAACATTTATTCTTGCCCAGAGGAGATTATTTACTCATCGGATGTTTCTTATCATCAGGAGAAGTGCTTTTTTATACTCGGAGCTGAACACTGAGCACATTAAAATGAGTGCTTGGAGTTTCTCTCCGGCCTGAAGGATCAACATCTCATAATAAAAAACAGGCTGAAATTGATTCCAGGCTGCAGCCTGCAGCTGAAAATGACACCAACAGGCTCCGAATAAGAACCCTGCTGATTGAAAGTCAAAATTAACAGGCTAAACATGGGAACCTGGAGGAAAGACGCAGTTGAAGATCATCTAAAGTCCTGATGAGAGGGTTAAACCTCTGTTCATGAAGAGTCACACAGTATAGAAACTGTAAAGTATCAGGACGTCAACTCACAACTCAAACTGACGATGAGTTCACTCTGTGACAGGGAGAAAGGGGCAGCAATAAAACATGAAACTGTAGTAAATCAATGGAGCTTTTATTCTGCAAAAAGTCAAAATATTACCAAGTTTGGCCTATTTTCTAGTTCAAATACCTCAGTACGTTTGAAATAAGACAAAACAAACTTATAAGTAACAAATATGATGTTTTTCAAATAATTCCATAATATTGACAGATTATTTCACTTATATAAAAAAATGTCTTGTTATAAGTTAAATAATCTGCCAGTTAAAATCAATATTAAGAAATTATTTACTTAAATCAGCTCTTATATCTCGCTTAGAAAGCTACTTATTACTTTCTTAGCGAGTCTTGCTGCTTACACTTTAAAAATTATGTAGCTTTATGTTACATAAAGTTTAATCAGTAATACTTTTATAACAAAATTATGTCAGATCATGATTTCTTGGTCTCTAACTCACTAAATTTATGTTAGATGGTTACAATACGTATCTGGTTCATTAAAATGGTTAGAATTGCATTTAAATATCTTCTCTGCTGTGATTAAAATGGAAAAAACAAAATTTTTGCTTTATTTTTGATTGTTAGGAGAGAACAGATTTGAGTCAAACTGGAGGTAGAATGGAATATTCATAAATCAATCAAAGTGGAGACATGAAAACCAGACTTCTCTTTACCTTGTGTGAACGTGGTGACAGGGTTGCCAGGTTTGAGCTTGCTCTCCAGGAATCCGTGTTTGGGCTCTGCTGTGATTTCATACACCAGCTGTCCGTCGTCGGTGTCCGGGTCCATCGTCAGCAGCTCTTTCTTTGTGATTAAATTGGTGGCCTGGTGAACAAATAAGCAGGAATGAATCAGTGAAGGACATTCGTGAAGTTATAAAGACAAAATTAGAATAACTACCGAATACGTTGAAGAAAAGGATGAGCAAAAAGCCATAGAAAGCCGAGAGTGTAAGCATTAGTTGAAAAGCATTAGTAGAGCTTCCTGCACAACAAATGATGTAACCAGAGGTTTCTGGATGATAAGCCAAAAACAAAACTCTTTTTTTTCTAGCAACCATTGCACAGCACATACAACAATCAGAAGGTATTTGAAACGGCTCCTTTTCCAGACACCAAAAAACATGAAACCAGGGGCAAAAAATGTCTCCGGTTGTTCTTAGAAGCAGTTGAGACCCACATGGACATACAAATACCAGCAAAATGTGAATTTTGCATAATAGGTCCCTTTTAATGACATTCCATGTTTCCCCACAACTTCAATTGTTGGCCAAGAAATTGTTGATTTCTTCGGTTTCTGTCAAAGTCTGTTGTCGGTGTCTATTGGAAATAGTTAAACTGAGAAAAACGTTGAAGTTTAATACTTTTGGGAAACTGAGTAAATAAATCATGCTGAAAATTTTTTCAGAAATGTCTGAAAATGTCTTAAAGCTATGAAAAAAAATGCAAGCATTAATATTATTTCCCATATTAATGCAGGTTGGATATGAATTTTTTTAAATGCTGGGGGGAAAGTTTGTATTTGATCTTTAATAAACACTTTCTGGATGAATGTTTTGACATATGTATAAGAATATAACGGCACAAAAGAGCAAAAAGTGATTTTAAAAAAAACCTCTTTGTAGATCAGTGCTGTTATTCATGACCTCGGCTACATGCTGCTATTTACTCGCTAGATATGAGCTTCACACTTCAGCAGCAACATCCTGGTGTGTTTGCATGAGCTACAGCTGAAAAAACACCTCATAATGGCACAAATATGTGCTAACAGGATTTGCTTCCTGCTCAAAAACCAATGAGATGAAGCAGAGGTTTAGCATTTTCATAATTTGCCTAAGTGATGAAACACAGAGGACTTAATTAGCAGCAACACAAACAGCGCAGGCGAGGAATAATTTCACAAAATTGACATTTCAACAGTGTTCAAACAAACAAAAAGTAATGCTGCATAATTGGCTTTACTTGGTGATGAGTTTTTGAAAAACACCTGCAGGTGGGGGAATTAAGTTTTGTTTTGCTCCATATTTATGAGTTAGTAAATGAAAAAAAAAACAAGACTATTTAATTAGTGAGAAATTATTCACACAAAGCTTTGGAGTTGCTCTTTCAGTGATTGTTAGAAACTTTCCTTCCTCATAAAAACATTTCAGTTTTTAAACATTTCAAGGGTGAAACTCACTCTTTGCATCGAAAGCGGTTTTAAAACTTTGTTTTTAGTTTGTTGTACCTTGTTGTTCATGTATTCCAGCCACTGCAATCCCAAGTTGGTGACGATCCGCGGCGTTCCATCGTCAACCGGAAGAATGTCGATTTTAAACTTCTGAGGAGCAGCTGTCACAATCTGGAAAACATAAAAAAAGAAAATACTTTTAAGTATTCGGAAAATATAAAGATATCAAGATGCACAGAATAGAAATGACCCTAATTGTCCCTCATTGGGGAAATTACACAATATTTAAGAAAGTATTTTTATTTCTTTTTCTCATTAAAAGTGTTTAAGAAGCTGTGATTGGGCAGCTGAGCTGCTGAGGAGGCGTTATGCAAATATGCTTCATGTTTGTGTCGTAAAGGAAAAGGAGAAGAAAAAAGAGACAAACCCGTGTTGCTGTAAATAAACGAGTTAAACAGACTTCAAGATTTATAAAGTCTCCTTCAGGTGCAGAGAATCAAAGAGTTTTGATCTTAATCTAATGATTAGTTCCTGAGCTGAGATGAATTTACACACCAGGATTAAAAAAATGCACTGGACACAAAATGAAATTTAATCATTTCATATTTTTACTGTCCTAGAAGTTACTCAAGTAAGAGTAAAGTATTTGACAAAAAGTCCACTCAAGTAACTGATTAAATTAGCAATTATTTGGTAAATATTACATAATCAGAAGGACCAAAATATAAAGTGTAAATTTTTGTATTTTAAGTATAAAACTCATGAAATTTAATCACAAATTGCAGGTTTGTGTTTGGTGAATTTCTGGTTAAAACATGTTTGTTTTTCATTCAGTGGGTAAAAAAATACACAAATTTTACTCACGTAAGAGTAGAAATACCTCAAAATAAAATTACTCAAGTAAAACTAGAAAGTACAGCTTAGTAAAAATACTTCTAAACTTTTCCAAACAAGTTACTCAAGTAAATGTAACTAATTCCTGCCCAACTCTGCTGACACGTGGCGATCGGCAGATCTGGGTAATCCTCACATGAATCACTTGTTATTCAGTTGTGTCTCAGAAGAACAAGAGATTTTACAGCCTGTCATCACGCCAGCATCGACACACGCCACTGAAGGATCCATTCATCCACTTTATACATTATTCATATCATATTTAATAACAAGGCAGCACCGGCGGGAGAGAATCCACCTCGAACATCAGCAGCAGTATCACCAGAAACCAAACGGAGGAGACGCGTGGATGTGGAGGTGAGCGCCGCCCAGGCGATGGAGAGGTAATAAATAAAGCCTGAGAGGTGTTTGTTTGCGTGTGATTGGATGAGGGCAGTACCTGCTGGCTGTCCTTCAGTTTAATCACACACAGACTATTAGTGATGACAGATGGAGCTGGGGCGCGGAGCGAGAGGGACAAGCAGGGGAGTGGATCCCTCCCAGGCTGGCTCATAACTACAACCATAAAGCCGACGTCAACAGCGGCGAATGTTTCCGTCAGAGGTGAGGAATGAAGCGGTGGGAAGAACGGAAGACAAGTGCGATGCTATGTCCGCTTATCAAAGACCTCGGCCATGTTATCGTTTACATCTGGAAACTTTGAGCATGCGCACGAGGCTGGAGGGAAGAAGAAATGAAACCTGGAGATGTAGGTACTAACAATTTAGTACAGTGTGGGAAAAATAATGCAGAAAAACCAATAAAGGAACAACTCAAAACCACCGCTTTTTCTTCCTTTTGTTGCCGTAACAATTGACATATATGTTCAGGATTCAACACACAGAAGAAAAAAAAACTGTTTCAATCAGTTGCAGTTTTATGTTTTTAGGCTTGATGTTTATTTTGCAATTATTAATAATCGATAACATGCCTGAATTATGGTGCCTTAAGCATAAGCTAATTTTCTGCACATGTCCCTAGATGAGCTTCTCTAAACAATACAAGTAAAACCTATAAAGAAGCCAAATGGTAATACTAATTTAAAATAATAAATCATTCTTCTGCTTCTGATTGCAGTCGCATTATGAACAGCCATGTAAAAAAAATTAGAATCAAAACCTGCTGTGAACTTAAGTTCAGAAGATAACTAAAAAAATCTACCTTGGGGTTTCATAGACTTTTAAAATTTTAACAATTTAAAAAGATTCAACGTTTTGTTATATGTTGACTCATACGACAATAGTTCTGATGAAGAATCATGAACGTATGATATGCTAAGAGGAGTTTGAAATTCAGTCAAAACGGTTAAAAATAACTGTGTTTAAAACACTTCCTGCTGAGACGAACATCCACACGTGGAAACTGGCACCGATACAACGAGACGATTAACGGCCTCTTTATGTTGCACTTATTCATGACAAATCTGCATTCGGCTCCGTTTCCCCGAGGCGTCTCTCTGCGTTTATCACATAAATCGACTCTCATCTCGCTTCATGTTTTTAATCTGCTGGTGAATCACACAAGGAAAACTTCTCACTCTGACCTAAATTGTCTCTTTTTTAACATTCAGTTGTGAATCCTTATAGAAAATTTAAAGACTGAAAAACGGAAAAAACATGAAAAGCAACCACTTCACGTAATGGTAGAAAAAAAATCAGAAATTTAGATTGAATTTGTAAAAATTTTTGTTAAAAGCATGTGATTCTTTTCTTTTTTTGACTTTAAATTTGACAGCAAACAAGCCAAAAATAATCAGCAATAAATTGAGCCAATCAAATCACACTTCTTTAATCATTCAAGTGGTGTTGAGTCAAACCATTTTTTTCCTGCAGGTAAAATTTTTCTGATGAATTTTAATACATAAAAATGAATTTAGATAATACCACGGGATAAAACTTGAGGGGTTTTAAAATCTAAAAAAGGTCTGATTCTGACTAAATTTCTTCAATGTTAAATCTAAAAAACCAGTTGAATTTTTTTCACTTCAAAATTAAATAAAAAAATATTTTCAGGTTTTTCTTCCAGCTGAAAAAAAAAACATTTTATGGAGAAAAAACTTTATGGCACCAATTTAGCTCCATAGTCTTTGCATTCCAAGAATATTCCTTAAACAAAGAGTCACAGTTTAGGAAAGCTGCTCCTCTTGGAAAACCCATAAAAAGTTTACAACTACACCGGAACTTTGGAGCCACATAGAGACAGTTACAAAGTCGGCCTTCTGTCACCTGAAGAACATTTCCAGGATTAAAGGATTAATGAACCAGCAAGATCCAGAGAAACTCGTCCATGCTTTTATCTCACATTGATTACACCAACAGTGCCTTCCCTAAAAAAAAGAAATCAATCAGATCCAGAACGCTGCTGCTGGTGTTCTGACTAAAACCAGGAAGACAGAGCACACCAGCTCAGTGTTAAAGTCCTTCCATTGAGAGAATAGACTTGTGTTTTCATGAAGCACTTTGAGCTACCTTGTTGCTGAAATGTGCTATGCAAATAAACTTGATTGGCTGAAACTAGACAAACCAACGAGCCTTCAGACACAAAAACACAACTTTTCAATCATCCAACTCAAATAAAAACACCACACAGAAACACACACCTCCTTGTTGGCCTCCTCCACCATGAAGAAGACGTTGGTGCCGTCGGCCACGGTGAAGGTGAAGCGGTCTTTGAGCGAGTTGGAGCCGTCGTGGTTGTAGCTGATGCGGTTCTGGTAGATGTCATCCATGGTGAAGGTGCCGGTCTGCCGGTAGTGCTGGCCGTTGCTGCTGCGCTCGATGGTCCCGTGGCGGGGAGGCTGGACGACGGTGAAGACGACGAACTCCGCCTCGAGGAGAAAACAGATGTCAACCACTTTGTATTTTTGATTTTCCAGTAGAAAAATTACACCAGGAAGTAGAAGGAACTCCACCAATTCTTGATTTGTTGATATAAAGGGCCACAAATGAGCCTCACTTTGGACACCTCTGATCTAAGCTAAATTAAACTAAATGTTGAAGCAACATAGAGTTTGTAACATTTTAATCCCAAACCATCTGCGTCTGACCTAAAGTAGCCCTGAATTTTGTGAATAGGATTTAGTTTTAATCTGGCTTGGATAGATTTCATTAAAGGAGATTCACTGGTTAATCCCAAAGTCCTCCACAGACACAAAAAAGCTGAATCACATTACTGGTGAGACGTCAAATCACACAAAATCCTCAGCTGACCCCAATAGAGGGTGAGTAAAATAATCACATTAGCAGGGTGTGTAAATAGCGTTAAATGTTAATTATTTTACCTCAGTGTCTGCATCTGTGGCTTTCAGCTCAAACTCGGTGATGGTTTTCCTCACGCCCTCCTGGACTCTCATGCCAGGAACCTGCAGCAGCGGCAGCGAGTCGTCCACCGGCTTTATGGAGATGTAGAAAGTCTGAGCAACCTGCAGGAGAGCAACGCTTTACTAACATCGGACTGCTCCAAACCAGAAGAAGACAAAAACTCTTCTCAGGCAAGAGCAACAAAACGTCAACATATTTTTACTCAAGTGGAAGTAAAAAGTAGCTGCCGAGAAATGAATAAGAGTAAAAAAAGTATTTGGTAAAGAGTCTACCGGATTTCAGACTGTTTGTTGTTGGCCAAAATAAGTTTGCATTTATATTCATTCATCTATTTTACATTTTATTTGACATGCTAAACATATTGTGTATATTTGTATATGAATATATTTTTCATTCCAGTGACTGTTTAAAAAAAACTTGTTTTGTTTATACATATTTGTTTGGACAAATTTTTTAAAAAGTACAAAATATTTAATATGGTTTTTGATATTGTTGTTGAGGTATTTAAAAAATATATCGTGACATAATTTTTTGGTGATATCCAACCCTAGATGGTATTTCCTCTTATCCATTTGGGAGCAAAATTCCAACATTTGTTACATTTTCTGTACTGAGGAGGGGAAAAAACTGTTCCCCTCCTCGCCTGTGGGGGCGCTGAACCAAAAACCGAAAGGAAAACTTTTGAAAAAGACACTGAACAATTACACTAGTCAAAAATCTCCCACACACTGTTAGCTCTAAAGGGCAAACGACGTTCCTCACGTTCTCTTTTCTCCTCATGATTTCCATGAATTTGAATTAACAAGGAAAATTTATGCATGAGGTGAATGTGGATTGAGAAGCTAATGCGCTAATTTATTACCCCTGAGCAGCTTCTGCGGAGTTATATTTGCTGCAGGTCAAGTGAATGACAGGATTAGTGAAACACTGACCATTGCGTTCAGCATGAAAGAGCATTCGATGGAAGAAAATGAGAAAGTTATAGTCGCTGTGATGAAATAGAGCCCAGAAAGAGGCAAAAAGAAAGAGCTGAGTGCGTAGATCAGTGTGTATCCTGCAAAATGGAATTGGCGTTTCTCAAATCAGGCATGTTGCACAAGGAAATACATTTTGGCTAACAATGAATGCATTTGCAGATCAATGAGTTGTAAAAAAAATCTAAATTAAAACCAAAATAGGGAGATCTATTTTATAATAAAATATATGTTCAAACTTGAGACAGAAAGTTGCCTCAATTTAAGATTGATTTTTAAGTTATGAATGTTAACGTGAAATGTTTTATTTTTCATCTGTTTTATCATGTTCCAAAAATTGTCTTTTAAACTTCAAACTAAAAATAATGTGTGAATCACACTGTATTTTAAACAATAAACAAGTTTTTTTTTTACTTAAGCAAAAAACTGAATTGTTTCTACAATCGTTTTCTCTTCCAAATATTATTTTACTTGCACTGTAAAAAAAACAATGTCTCTTAATTAAAGTAAAATACCAGCAGCTGTCGGTATTTCATCGCAAATTAGAGATGTGTTTTTTTTACAGCATTGCTTTAGTAGCTGATAAAGAAAGGACTAGTTTTTATTCGATTAATCATCAGAGTAACTGATAGATTAATTGATTAATAAAATAATTGTTTACAGCCCTAGATGACATAAAAGCAGAACTTTTTCTAAGGTGTGCATTTGTTACATTTGACACATTATGCAAGAAAAAGATACTATAGTCAAACACGGTGGAGGCAGAGTGATGGTTTCAGAGGAAAGAACCTTTTCTCGTCAGCACCTTCCCCTCTTTTACCTCGTTTGTCCCGTCGGACACGGTGAAGGAGAACTGGTCGGCGTGCTTTTCTTCTTCGCTGGTATGGACGTACTGGATGCTGCGAGACGCCAGATCAGCCTGAGTGAAGGAACTGATTCTGGTTCCTGGAGAATAGAAACATTAAAACATCATTAGCGGATTTATTAATTCATGCAAATTGTGTTTGTTTAAACTTACAAGTTTTTCTTCTTCAGATCTACTGATGGTTAATCTCTTTGTCTGCAGAAATCAGACTTTTTAATACAAATATTTTAAGTTTTGTTGATGGTTGTGCAGATAAAAATAAGTTTTTTTTCACAAAACTATTTTACAATTAAAAAGAAAATATAGTATTTCGTAGCCAACAATTACAGAAAACTGTGATTAAAGTCAGAATGTGAGGAAGCATGTATGGAGCCTCTGTTTACAAACAAACCAGATCTGACATTTTTAGTTGATGAATTTGTCTTTTGACGTCTCTGGCTGCAGGACGGATTCACTGACAGAGATCGTTTGGTTATCCTGACATTTCTCATGCACTGAGGCGTCATTCCACTGCAGCCGTCAGCTAGCTGTGCATGTTAGCATGAACATGACAGATTGGCGAGCAGCGATTATCTGGGGGAGCTTGGTGGCTCTGAGGCGAAGTGAAGCTCGGAGAACGGAGGGATCATCATCATGCTGCGGCTGCATCCATTGAGCTCCTGCTGAGAGCTGCAGCTGCACTGAGGCTGAATCTACAAACTCCTCCGATGTGTTAACAACAAATACTTAGATTTTTCTCTTGTAATTTGTGAAAACAGAAGTATTTCTGGTCTGGTTTCACATGCGGATACAATAAGAAAAAAAAAGTACAAATAACTTTTCAGCAAGATGTAAGAGCTTGTCTTAAGTAAATAAATCCTTAATATTGATTGAAAAAAATTGATTGATTTTATGGTGTCAAGTGTCAATATTTGATAGGCACTGTACCCTTGCAACCAAAGGTGAGCTCCGGCACGGACAGCAAGACGAGCGTTTTGCTGTCGACTTACTATTTGGAAACCACTTGCTACTATTTTGTTGGTTGTGCAGGAGACTCCACTTTTGCTTTTCAAAGATGCACGGTTGTATAATTATGCCTCTGTTAGCAGCTATTTTCATGTGTGAGAGTGTGGGGGGATGGTAAGGCAGCTTATTTGGATTTAAATTAACAAGACACAAATAATCAAATTTTCCAAGAAGGATTTTGTGCAAAAAATGTCAAATATTCCTCTCCAAGCCTGTTGTAGGAAGCATAACAGGTCACCTCTAAGTATCCCTCTGCACCTACCGGGGTTGGTAACATGCTCCAGCTGCCCCAGGCTCGTCTGCTTGGTGATCCGGTAGACGAGTTCGCCCGGTTCGCTGTCCTGGTCGCTGGCTGACAGCTGCAGCGTTGTCAGCTTCTTCACCGAGTTTTCATCCAGCACCAAGCCTTTGTTGGCCACCACAGAGGGAGGAAGATGATCCTCTGGAGAGGAAGACAAATGCATGAAAAACATCTCACTGGAGAAAAGTAGTAACCGATCAAGAAGGTAGTTTTAATTTTCTTTTTTATTACTGTTTTTAAATAATGTCTTGCATTTTATTACAAAACTGCATTTTGAAAATTTCCAAACCTTTAAAACACCTCATTTAAATTCAACCATTTTCAAGGACCAGTTTGAACAGAGAACTTTAACAGCAGAAGGAGCAACAAACCCGTTATTAATGTGGAAAAAGGGTAAAAAGTCAAAACAGGTAAAGTGAAAAGGAGAGAGGTGAACAGAAACCCTGCTGACATAAAAAATATAACGGAACAGCGCAGAAAGCTGGCAGAAAATAACAAATGGTGAGGCTGTTGAGCTGCGAGGAAGAGAAAATCTGTGAGGATTCACCGGAAACACAGCAGGTTTCACCCTCAGGAGGAAGAGCTGAAACTCGAGTTTGGAGACCAGGAAGATGAAATCTGAAATATTCAAGTAACTACACTGTAAAAAAGGTATTGTTCGTCGACTTTTAAATGCAAATGTCTTCGTAGTCTTGAAATAAGACAAAACTAACTTACAAGTAACTTTTCAGCAGCTTAAATTATCAGAACTAGTTCCACTGCCAGATTATTTCATTATAACTAGTATTTTTTCATTAATATTAATGAATTATTTACTTTAAAAAAGCTCCTATTTCTATCTTGCAAAATTACTTTGCAAGATTTTGTGTTTTTGCAGTGTACTGCATTGAATTCAATGCAATCCCCAAGTTGCTGTCAAACAACTAACTACAAACAGAAAAGCCAAAGCACAACACAAAAATCAACTCATACTCCTTACAAATGAACACAATAAAATAATTTGCGGCGTTAATTAAATGCATCAGCAGCTCCCAAGTTTAAAAAAAAAGTCCTCTGAGGACGTTTTGTATTCGGTTTGTGTTCCGTGTTGAGCGCAGGACAAAGGCATAAATCTGTAGTAATTGCCCTGTCTTCTCCAACAAATGAAAGAACAGTTCAGCTCTTTCTCGTTTTAGCTGCAGGTGGCGGCGAGCGGAGGAAACCTCACCGAGAACGCTGATGAAGAACGACTGGTCGATCAGTTTGTTGCCCTCGGGATCGACCAGGTTGAACTTGAAAGACAAGCTGCCTCCTTTCTCGCCTTTCTCATGGCTGTACCGCAGCAGGCCTGCAAGAGACGAGAAACAAAATGCGCCCCACCATTGTCATGACAAATCAAAGCATGGCGCTAACTGCTGTGACCACGACACATCATTAAATCACATCTGATTACAGCAAATTCAGCTCGAGCGAGACGAATCAGGAGCGCCGGCTTTACCTGCATCCAACAACTTTGTTTGTTTTTCTGTGTAAACACGAATGAGTGCTGATCATTTTTTACATGCTTTTATTTTGATAACAACAACAAAACAGTTGTATTTCCCAACAGCCATTGTACTGCAGTAAAGCCAGCTGACCAAACATGCTGGAGCTCAGCAGTTAAAGAAATACATCATTTTAAAAATGTATTATTTTACATGCATACTGCTGGTTTTCAGGAGGTGTATTTAATTTTTCCATTCATTCATATTGGCTTCAAGTTTGTTCACTAAATTACAATATTTTGGAAAATGTCACTTTTTTCCACCATTTAGTTTCATTAAACATAGGAAAAAACAAGTTGTTTGTGTCTTTTTAGTAAACTTCTGGTGGCAACAAGTTTACAAAAGCAGAGTGAAAAGTCAAAGCGATTCATTTCTACCACGACTGAATTAAAAATCTTTTTTATTATCTTCAAGATCTTTTCTTTCTACATATTGCATAACTATGATAAAATGAAAAAATTGAACTAAAAAGCAGCATAAAACAGGCTACAGGTGAGGAAACAGAAAACAGTAAAAAGAGACAAATCAGACAGAAAATAAAACTTAAATCTGGCACCTTTGTTGACGTCGTCCTGAGTGAAGCTCTGAACCGGACCTTTGACAGAAACCTTCTCCACGTGGCCGCCGCGGTACAGCTGCAGTTTCCCCGCCGGCGGGTCTTTGGTCAGGATGTAACGCAGCTTCAGGTTGTCCGAGTCGATGTCTGAGCCCTTCAGGTTCTGCTCTGAGAGTTTAGACGAAGTTCCTGCAAAAAAACAGAGCATTCATCAATTTAATCAATTTTTCTCAATGATTAATCGGATAAAAAAATCAACACATTCTGCAGATTTTTAGGAGGTTGAAATATAATCAAAAATACCAAAAAAATTTCTCTTTATAAAATAAGAAAATTAATATTTTATGGCATAAAATACAGAAACCTAGCATTCCTTTAGTGCACGCTTGATTATTTGTAGCAAAGAATGTTTTTGCAGCTAAAAATACTTTAAAAAATTAGTTCAGTTTGTCTTTTTCATGTGTGCAAACATATTTACACTAAAAGCTAGAGAAACAAAAGTTGTGTTTTTGCAGTGTAGTCCTAATGTCTCCCCTCTCACCTGCAGGAAGCTGCAGGCCTCTGTTGACGGTCATTCGCGGCCCCTCGTTCTTCCTGACGTCCATGGTGAACCGCAGCAGGCCCGTCTGGGTCTGCGTGCCGTCGGTGAGGGTGAAGCCCATTTCATCGGCTCCACCGCTGACGGTTTCGGGCATGTAGACCAGCAGCCGGTCCAGAACGTCCTGGTAGGTGAAGGTGGATCCCTGCGTGAGGACGCGCCCGTTTTCCAGTGGCTGAGAGTAGAACTGCCGCCGGCGAAGTTTCCCTGCGGAAACACAGGATTACACAGTTAAAATGTGGAATAATTTCAGTATTGAACTCAGACAATGTCCAAAAACAAACTTAGAATGATTTTTTTTTTTCATTTAGGCCTGGCACATTTGTACGTGCAAGCCTAGCGTTAGCAGGAGAAACGGCTGATTTTTCTTTACCAACAAAACTAAAACAATCTTACAGCTGCTAAAATCTGACACTAATTTGTGAAGAAGAAAGTTGTGCTCAGCGTTGGCTTTATTGATTATTTTTGTCAGTAGTAATTGATGTAGCGCCCCCACAGGTGAGGAGGGGAACAGGTTTTTCAAAAGATTTGTGCCGTTTGACACCATAGAGCTGAAAACGTGACAAATGTTGCAATTTTATTCCCAAATCAAACCAAGACTTTAGCTCATTTTTAACAGGCGAAATAGTAATTTTTCTTTGATCTTTTATTTTATTTAATTCGGCTGCACAGTGGCGCAGTTGGTAGCACTGTTGCCTTGCAGCAAGAAGGTTCTGGGTTCGATTCCCGGCTTGGGGTCTTCCCTGTGCACCATGGGTTCTCTCCTGGTACTCCGGCTTCCTCCCACAGCCCAAAAACATGACTGTCAGGTTAATTGAGTTCTCTAAATTCTCCCTAGGTATGAGTGTGTGTTGTTTGTCCTGTCTGTCTCCGTGTTGCCCTGCGACAGACTGCCGACCTGTCCAGGTGACCCCGCCTGGGTGTAAAGAAAATGGATGGATGGAAATTTCTAATTCTCCACATCATTCATAGAAAAGATCCGTCTTCAAGTCAATAGGCGCACCCTTGCAGCCGGAGAGCGTTCCCCTCTGATAAATCCGTTTGTTTGAGCGGCTCGCTGGAGTGAGGACAATAAAGAGTTAGCCTGTTAAAAAGACAAACTGCCTGGGTTTCGTCATCTTGTATGAAGTCACCGATTCCGGCTCGGTCCCATCAGTCGTCCTCAGCGTCGGTTTTACAGCGCCGTCACACTCGACTTCACGGGCTGTTTTACGGTGCTTTAACTGCAGGCGGGGTGTTATTACAAAATGTTCACACCGGGGTGTGTGTGTGCGTGTGTGTGTGGAGTTTAAGAGAGAGATGGAAGGTGAAACCAGGAAGGCGGCAAATTGAGAAGTTTTTGGTGGAATAATCCAGGAGACGACCGCCATGTATAGATAAGACACTTGAGGATTGACAGGAAAAAACAACAACTCGTCAGTTTCCCACCCAGTTCCAGGATTTTAGGCACTAAAGTTGGTCTGGATGATAAATTGCTGAGTATGTCATCGGTGTCTTGTCTTATGAAGCAATTTCTTTGAGCCCACCAGGCTTTGGCATTGTGGAAAGAAGGAAAACTCATTTTCGGGCGGTGAGAAGAGTCTGCAGAGGTCAGCCAGTTTGAGAGTGTGTGAGGAATGGCTGCAGACGTCGCCGTGTTTGTCTTGTTTTAGGCGATCTGTGTGTCGGAAGCGAGAGTAATGTGTTTATCCCTCTGTGTGCGCGATCTTCTCCATCACATTCAGAATAATTTACAGTAGAAATACCTCGACATAACTGCTGAACTGGTTGTTCAAATGGGACAAACTCCATTTGTATGCTGACTTTTCTTAAAGTCTATTAAGATATTTGCAGTAGAAACGTGACAAAAGTATTTTCTAAAACCTGCCACAGCATTTAAATCCTTTTATATTTTTACGGTTTTCTATGTTGAAATGAAGAAGCGTATTAATAATCTATGTTGTTTATGTCTGCGCTCACCGTAGGTTGGGATCCTGACGACGGTGAAGACGAGTTCGTTTTCCGGCGTGTCGCCGTCGTGAACGCTGAGAGACGAGTTGGTGACGACGACGCCGGAGTTTTCCTCAATGTGGACGCTGCTGACGGAAACCGTCAACTCAGAGTCGATTTTACTCTGCAGGAGAGAAAACATGAGGAGATAAAACCCGGCAGGAAGGAGGGAGAGACGGAGATGAACACACCAGAATCTGAATCATGAATCTGAATCGAAATTCAGATTCAACAATCAGTTTGAGGCTTCCAGATTTTTCACCGTGATTAATTCTGTTTGATTTTAACAGAATTTTACAGGTTATTTTTTGCTCTAAAGATGAAAAAAAAAGCTTTAAAATATTTCCAAATGCTCAAATTTTGTTTTTCCCCTGCAGAAACCGTTTATTGCTGCAAACGTTCACACTGCAGAGTCTAGAAACAGGATTAACCGACTGATTAGGAAGCAGATTAGGTTTCTATGGAAGACGGCAGCGATAGTTAATTTACATTAAGTGTTTCTCAGATTACATTAGATGCATTATAGATTACAATAACTTCCAACATTTCAAGATGTGCAGGTTTGTAGACGATAGCAAGATCTATGATAAAGTGAAAAAGCTTAAAAGATCGGCTAACGCTGCAAAACATTAAACTTTACAAAGTACTTCCATGTAGTTTCTAGTGCAAACACTTGAACTAAGACGAAAATTAACTTGCAAGTAATTTTTCAGCAAAAATTAGGAGCTTCTTTTAAGCAAAATATTTCTTAATGTTGATTTTAAAAAAATTTATAGTTCAATTGGCAGGTTACTAGGCAACGGGCGGAACTCCACAGGCGTTGTAATTTGGGAGCATCAAGTTGATTAGAGAAAGTATTTTTTTCCCCAAAAAAAAAAAAAATAACAATTTTCTTATGTTGTTTACAACCAAAAGCAACATTTTCCTGTAAGTTTGTCTCAGTTGTTGCACTGTGGAAGTTTTCACCTGGATGTCGATCTCCACAGTGAACGTCTCCGTCTGGCTGTATCCGTCGCTGATGTAGAAGCTGAAGAAATCCTGGCTGGCCATTTGCTGGCTGTCCTGGACGTAGAAGACGTGATCAGAAACCAAATCCTCCACAGAGAAAGGAACATCTGGAGTCAAGGCGCGCGCGACGCCCACTGAGCCACCTGCAGCGGCACAAAGCAGAGGCGCAGCTGTCACAGCTGAACTGTAATAACAAGAATTACCGACTGGGAAGCACTTCAACAATACGGTCACCATGTTTACAGGAAGTCCTTATAAGGTCCATCAACACTGCAAAAACATTAAATCTTACCCAGTACTTTTGGTCTAGTTTCTAGTACAAACATCTTAATGCACATGAATTAAGACAAAACTAACTTACAAGTAACTGTTCAGCAAGAAATATTAAATTACTTTAATTTAATAATTTGTTTATATTGAGGAAAAAGCTCTACTGCCATTGGCTGATTATTTCACTTATGATAAAGTATGGTTCCCATGTTATGAATGAATGAATGGATGGATGAATAAAATGAAGGATGAGTGGTTTAACTTTCACTGCACCAGTTTCATCTTTTTGCCCCTCCCCCACCGTTTGCTGATGCCTGCAGGTCTTGAATTAATCTCCATTTCTGTTCCTCTGTTTTCTGTCGTTTTTTTTCTTACTACTCCTCCACAGAGGTCAGAGTGCAAAGCTAATAGCTGTTCAATAATCAAGCATGGCTGCCTCTGTTAAAGCTTCCCTTCCCCTTTGTGGAGCCTTTATCTTGAGCTCCGATACATCCAATGAGTTTCGGGATTTGATTTCATTTCCTCTTCCTTCTCTTACAGAGGTACACTTCTCAGGTCTGTTTTTATCTGAAATCAGCTGTTTAATTCTCTCCTACCTGCTCTTCTCCTGAACAGAGGATAAAACATCAGAACATTTGGTCTACAGCTCTTTTTTCCCCCAGGACATTTAGTCGGGATTGTTTGAATGAGACACAAACATAAACGTGGAAATTATCGTGAGCGACTGGATTTGTTGCTTTGTGCAGCCGGTGAACTGAACTCGCCTCTTTGTGTATTTTCGATGAAGCCGTATTTGGGAGGGCTGGCGAGCCAAACCTGCAGCTCGCTGGACGGCGTTTCCACGTCCGATACTGTGATGTGATTGGTTGACAGCAGAACCCGGCCGCCTTCCTGGACCTGCGGATTCCAGGAAACGAGTCATTCTGACAGAGTCACTTCAGTTACAATGGTGGGAACATTTATGCTAATCCAAAACAGCTTTAGCATTTTGCTAACATTTAGCTTCTCCTAAATGAATGTGTTTTAATAAATTCTAATTTAAGTTTTGTGAACTTTCAGTTGAATAAAATTCTATTTGGGTTATTCTTCAAGTGGAGATTTATATTCATGCTCTTATTTTGAAGTGGGCAAAGTTTGTTTACACGGCAGTTCCACTTCCTCTCCTTTTTCCCCACTAATTACTTTATTTAAAACCAGAAACAGAGGAAGAAAATAAAACATGGACAGAGGAGAACAAGGCATAAACATAAACACATTTATAAAGCATGTAAAATACAATATCAAAACTAAATCCTACAGTTGCGCTCCTTCAAGGTCATATATAATTTAATTCAAGTTAGCGCATTAGCTACAGCTGACTTGTCAATTAATCGTTTAATTTGTGATTTAAATTACAATTTTATTGAAACATTTATAATGTTTTTATCAGTAAAATAGTGACTGGACGATGGAACCGATAGTGAAAACAGTTTGTGGTAAGTTTTAGAGAATAAAGCAAAAAAAGATCCTGCAAAGTCAGGAAACATGCAACTGGAAGTAACAGGAAGACAACAGCAGCTGCTTGCACAGTCCAGTCCTGGTGTGATGCAAAGGCGGGCTGGCAGTCAGAAGGTCGCAGGATCACAAAACAGAAACTCCAGTCGGGAAGCAAATAAAGTTTTCCGACAGCAGACATTAAGTTAAAGGTCAGGGCTTTTAATGAAGACGCAAAGTAAACAGGAATCTACTCACAAAGACCAAGAATGAGTTCAGATTCAGGCAGAAGCAGCAAACAGCCAAATCGTGTTAGACTCAGAGAGTAAATAAGAACGGAAGGAAATGTTCAAGGTTCTGCAGCAGAGAGTTGAGTTAATGTCGCAGACAGAGAGAGTGAAAGGAAGAGCACAGCAAAGCTTTGAGAGATAAAAGTCTCAACTTGAGACCAAAGTTTCTCAGTGAATGATTCGAGTATCAGTGATGATTATTTTCAGTCACTATAAGTAGTACAACTAGATGATAAAACTCTTCAGTCTTAACCAGCCCTTTTTTGAAGGATTATTTTGTTTATAATTAATTATATTTATTGTTTCTGTTGTTTTGTTTATTTATTTTGGATATTTGAAATATATTCTGGTTCTAGTGTTAAATGTTAATTAGAATTTACTGATCTGTGAGTGTTTATTTGTTTAGGGTTGGGTAATAATGCACTGCAAAAACACTAAACATTACCAATTAATTTTGGTCTAGTTCCTGGTGTAAATATCTCAGTACACTTTAAATAAGAATAAAATTAAAAGTTTTTTTTTTTTTTACAAAATATAAGTGCTTGTTTTAAGTCAACAATTTATTGACAATGATGTTAAAGTACTAGTACTATTTGCAAATTATTTCACCTGTAACAAGACATTTTTCCCACATTATAAATCAATATAGCCATGTTTTTTTAATGATTTATCACATGAAGAAGCTCATTCACATCTAATTTTAAAGTAATTTCTTATTTAATGAAAACACAGCAATTGTAAAATTGTGTTTTTGTCAACATTGTCAGAATATTGACACAGATTTTTGCACATTTGTAATGGAAATGCAGTCAGAGTTTCGCTGTCACGCTCTCTGGGAAGCATCTTTGTAAACTAAACAGACGTTTCATTACTTTCCAACTGAGAGTTTACTTCTCAATTAATTGTTGCAGCAATATTTCTTATTTCATCACCTCACCTTGAGGATTAATATAATATTCATGAATGCACTCAGATGTGTTTTCCTCTCCCTCAGGCTGATAACTTTGGTATTACTCACATTTTAAAATAAAAACAATAGCAACAAATTATTTACTTCCCTTCAGAAATCCTGAAAAACTACCAACTGAGATGCTTGTTCTGCTAAAAATGTGAGCAGGTTTTATGACTCAACATTTAATTCTAGTGATACAAACTAAAGTGAATTAAAAAGGAAAAGGGAAAAGAATAAAACAGGAAGCGAGCGCGCCTACCTTGATGCCGCCTTGCACAGTGACCACCGGCGGCTGTCTGGGTGTGGCGGTGATGGTGATTGTGCACATCTGGTTGTCAAGGCGATTGCTGTCTTTGTCGTGAACAACAAAATGGAAGACGTCCGTCACCGGCTGGCTTCCGGTCTCCAGTGACGTGACGTACCTGCACACGGAGCACCGGGTTGGTTTTCATTAGAAAGTTACAAATTGGCCGACATGCAAGAGACAAACATTTTACTGCTTAAAGTGCCATGCAATAACATTCCTTTAGTGTTTTTATCTTACATGCAAAATGTATTTATATTTATTCAGCTTTAGCTTAGCTTCTGCTCTAAATATCTATATTTAAATATCTAAGTTTATAGTCACAGGCTCAGTTTGAGAAAGTAAAAAGTTCAAGTCTCATTTTGTGTCTTTCAGAAACATTAGATTGAAGGAAAATACAAAAAGTTGTACTTTTTCCTCTCCTGGTTTAAGTTAATAATGACTGCAGCGTGAAGAAGCCTTAACGCCATTTTATCGCCTACAATCTGGAATAAACAGCTCATCTCTTCTTTTCAAGAGGTTTCTTTATTAGAGCTTCTTCGGTCCTCGTCAAAACCAGAGATCATTATTATCCCTGTAAAATCTTTTGACTTTAGGATGAGAGCTTCTTGTTTTTTTGATAATGGCTGCTTTGGGTTTTTTAATAGCCTTAAAAATCAGCCTTACTCTTCAGGTAGCGCTGCTTCAGAGGCTTTTATGGGCTTCTGAAGTTGCACTGAAATCCTAATGAGATGCACTCCACGTTGTAAAAAGTATTAACTTTGAAGCTCAGAGGAGCACTTGAGAAAAAGTGGATTTAAACCATTAAAATCCGTCAGTAACTTCATCAATTTTTATGAATACTTTTCATGAATCAGTGACTGCAGCACCTGAATGTCCCTGCCTTACCTGATCCTGTGCAGGTTGACGTCCTCCTGGCTGAAGGAGGAATACTCCCTGAGCTCCTGCGGCTCCTGCTGGGAGGAAGTCCTGGTCAGGACGCCGTACATCGGCACCGACACCAGCTGGATGTGGATCTGGTCATCGAGGGACGTGTTGTCCTGATCACACCAAAACACAGTGGCTCTCAGCTCAGTGGGGTTCAGTTGGGATTTTATGTGACGGAGCTGAACAGTGACGTTCTAAGCATTAAAAACTCCTGTCTTTAAGTACAGACCCCCTAAAATGTAATATTTCCCATCTGGAAAATTCGCAAAAAAGACGATTGTCTTAGAAGCCATCCATAACCGCGCCGCTGAGGTAAAACAGGTGAATAATCAGAATGAAACCTGGAGATGCAGGTATTATCATTTCAGTGCAATGCAAAACAACAAAGGGAGAAATAATGTAGCAAGAACAACAAAAAAATTCACCTTTTTCTTGCTCTTTGTTGGCTATTATATGTTGGTGAGTGGGTCAATTTTTTTTTTAAACTGAACTGAAACTCACCTGGTTCCACAGCACATCTACCCGTTACGGTTGTCATAGTCAAGCTAGCACAGCTGACCCACTTCCCTTCTCCTCAGCACTTTGTTTGAAAGCCTGACGCGTTTGTAAGACCTTTTACCCAGCATGCATCTGTTCCCGCTCACCGTGTAGGCCAGGTGTGAGCGTCTGATGACTGTGCTGCTTTTCTCGCCCACTTCCAGTGACAGCGTCGCCGCCGGGTCGCGCCGCGGCCCGTCGCCCGCCCCGTCCAGCACCGTCACCTGCACCACCGTGGTTGCCATGGAGATGCCGTCACTGACCGAGAAGGACATGGCGTCGTCCTGGGCGGAGAGGCCGGCGTGCCGGTAGAGCAGGACTCTGTGAGTGACGTCGGCGAAGGAGAAAGTGTCGCCTGGAGAGAAAGACGAGAAACGACGTCTTGAAGGGAAAGACGAAAATCGGCTGATACCGAAAAGCTCATGCCGATGTCACCTGCAGTCATAATTAGGACAATGTTGAGTCCTTACAGTAACAAACATTTAATACAATAAAAGGAATAACTGTATACATTTAATTTCAGTACTTTTGTGTTTAAAAACTTTTAATTAGTAATTGCAATATCCCATTGTAGCATGACATTCAGCTCCATTTTAGCAAGAAACTCTTTAAATAGAGGAAAACCAGAGAGCATGCCTTATATCTGTCAACCAGGAAGACTTGATTTGTCTTAATTTACAAGAGCTTAAAGCAACTGGACCCGAGATAAACACACAGGAAGTTTCCATGGTCACTGCCTGACAACTGATCAGCAGTGTTTTTGTCAGATGAGATTCATTTTTGGCTTTTCAACAACAAAAACATCACAGTAAGATTTGCTATAAAACTCCAGGATGAATAATTGACAGATCACCTCATGGCTAACTACAGTGTAGGATCTGTGATGCTGTGGGCCTCGACAGGAAGTCGGGCAGAGAGTCTTTCAGAAAACTAAAATTGGGTTATTTGGGGATTTTCAGCTCCATTGACAGAAACCGATCTCTACACTGATGACTGAACTGAAACTCACCTGGTTCCATCAGGTGCCACAATCACACAAAGTAATTTTGCCCATTTTCTAGTGAAAGTATATTAGTTTAAATGAGACAAAACTAACTTACAAAAAAAAAAAATCTGCAACATATGGGAGCTCATTTTAAGTCAATAATGCCTTAATTGTTCCATTGGCAGATTAATTCTCATATAAGTCAAAATTTCTCCCATATTACAAGTGAAATAATCTGCCAAACTAGCAATTTCATCAATTTAAAGAAATTATTGACAATTTTTTATCAAAAAAAACAATAACTCGTGGTCGTTTTTGTTACCGTTACTCATGCGGACGTTGTCGTCCGTCCTCATCAGCTCTCCATGGATGGGAGCGTCAACCAGCTCGAACTCCAGGTCGTCTGGCGCCGTGTCGGCGTCGCTCACCGCCAGCTGCTGACCTCCTGCAAAAAAAAAAAAAAAAAAACAGACAAGAGAAAAAACGTTCAAAGAGATTCTGCTGCTGAGAGAAATCGTTCCGCTTTTCATCGTCTCTTACCGATTGCAGCTTGTCCCCCCAGTTGGACTTCCAGCAGCGGGTCCAGGACCTGAAACACCGGTGGCTGCTGGTGGTTCGGCAGCAGCAGGATCACAAAGTCCAGCTCAGGAGTGGTGTGTTCGCCGTCCGACACTGAGGCACAGAAAACCCAAAATATAACAAAGATCTGCAAAAACAAACAACAAAAAGAACCAACTAATCCTTTTAAAAAGAGTTGCAACAAAAAGTGCAATTTTAGCTGTTTTTATTGTTTAATTGCTTTGAATTTCCACAACAGGATGACATTACAAGTACCAGCTATATATTTAGATCTACTTTTCTAGTTTTTATGTTTGACAAGACTGCTTTTAATCTGTTCCTGAAAAACAATACGTCAGTGAAACAGTGCATCAAACTACAGTCTGTAGTTTGCAACCAGGCAATTTAAAGAGAAAATGAACCCAACGGCTGTTGAACTGTGGGAGGAAACCCATCCAAGGATGAACAGATAATAAATATAGAAGATACTAAAATCAGATTAAAAGGGAAAAAATACAGATACATCAAGAAAACCTGAACAGAATAAAAAAGAGAAGTGCAAGATAAAGACGAAGAGGAAATGAAAGGAGACGTCATTAAAAACATCCAAATCCAACAATACAAAAAAGGTTAAAATAGAGAGAATAAACACTGGAAATAAACAATAAGAGGAGGTGAAAGAGAAGGCGTTTGTTTGTATAAAATGAGGATAAAGTGCCTCCTTCGTGCTGCTTTCCTTCAGGTTTTAGATGGGTGAAGAATATTTACCTGTGAAATAAACGCTCAGAGACTCCGGCAGGCCTGTCGGGTTCAAACACAGCAACAAGTTACAACTGGAAGGCGATGAAAGAAAAATAAAACCCTAACTGTGCATTCAGGCGCTGTCGCAATGCACAAAAAATCCCTCAACAAACAGCAATAAGGCTTAAAACAACTGAGGAGGGAAAGAGGATGGAGGTTCTGCTCCAAAAACCAGGATTAAGAAACATTTAACTCGGACCGCTTTGATGTTGGATTATGGATTATCTTTCAGAACCAAGGTATCTTAAAATATGCTCTGAACTTTCCAAGCCGCCCTCAGACTGATTTTAAAACGAAGTTCAACTCCTATGAGTTTACAGAACGGCTGAAGCATTAAATAATGAATGACTGTAAGTGAAGTCGCACCAGTAAAGGAGTACTGGTAGAGCTCCTGCAGGTGGGACGGCGCCGGTGGCGGTCTGTAGATTATCTTTCCGTTGTTGACGTCAGCCTGCGTGAAATGTTGCACTGCCTTGTACGGCCTGTCCCGATGCTCGACGAGTCCTGGAAAACAAACACAGGCAGGAAGTTCACCAACAGACTGGGACAAAAGTTTTTTTACATTTTGATTCGCTTTCAGGTGAAACATGTTTACATTTCTCAAGTTTTAAGGGAGAGCAAAACAAAGAGACTCCAGTGAAACACAAAAGAAAGGAAAAGATCCGACATGAAGGATTTCTGCAGCTTTAAACATAAACCAGTTAAAACTGAAACGGACGGATGAATGGATGGATGGACTGATGGACGGACTAATATAAATTAGTACTTCATGTTTTCACAGGAGCCAAAGAATAAATATCCTTCAGATTTAATGTTTTTATTTTTATCCAAACGCATTAAATTCCAGACGTTTCTGGAACCTGAATCTGGAGCTGAAACGCCTCAACAGACTGATTTCTCCATAAAATCTCTCCTGCTGATGTAAAAACACTGGAGCGAAGAGCGCTGGGTGTGTTCTGGTTTAAGTGTCTTAGCTCTGAAAAATGTTCCCTCTCCTCAGAACGACTCAGACTAATTGATCTGCCCACTCGTTGATGAACGAGCGCCGTTTTAAAGCAGTTTTCCGTTTCATTAGACCGAGCTTCGGGTTACTCAGCAGACTGACAGACGCTGAAGTCAACGTGTTCAGGTCTGAGTGGTGCATTAAATGCAGCAACACAAATCCACTTTAAGAAGAGGTTTGGAGGAACCGGATGCAAAAAAATCCCGATTCAGTGCAAGAAGGAGATTAGTTGAATTATATAAACATCCTGCTCCTCAAAGGGAAGTCAAAAACATGCCTGTGCTCTGGCAGTGTTTAAAAGAAATCCATGAAATCTGCAGGGTTGACGCTTATATTTCCTCCAAACAGACACCTGTGGCTACATTTTGATGCATGAATTATTTCTGTAGAGTGAATTACGTACAGACAGTCGCGTTTTGTTTGTGGAAAAACAAACAAACAATAACAGTTGAAGAATTCCGTCTTATTGCATCGGAAAACTGAAAACGGCCAAAAATTTGCACAAAAGTAAATCGTGATTTTAGAAAAACCGTGAGAGAAATCAAAATGCTAAATCATTTAAATATAGCTCAAAATCTTGTGACTTGTATAAAAATCTAATAAAGTTTCTAGGTAGAAGTAAGAAAAGATAGTAAACTGTTAAAGAGTTTTTGTTGAAGTTTGCGGAATACTGAAAATCTTCAAATCTTAAAAAGTGAAAATGCACCCATTTTCAATTTTTCATCTCAAATTGAAAAATTATTTATTGATCCCAAAACAGAAATTAAATCAAATTAAAATGTTGTGTGTTTTATTTTTATCTGCTCAACAATAAAATGGGAGAATGTCTTGAAATATAAAAAATAGAAAGATCTTTTTGTAGAAAAGGGAACTGGTAAATAATTTTTAGATCAGAAACATAAAGAAATATCTTGATTGAAGATATTATAAAACATGCATACAACTTTTAAACTTTTTTGGGTTAACTGTTTGCTTTTTGGAGGTAGAAATCAGTCTGTTTAGTCTTAAGTCAAGACAACTAAAATGAATGAAAATCAATAGAAAGTATTGATTTTCTATGAGTAGAAATGGAAACCCGTGTCTCACCTTGTCCCGGTAAGAGAGGTTTGGTGACGTTATAGACGAGCTTTTCGCTCGGAGTCCCAGAATCGATGAAGGAGAGAGCTGAAGGCGTTATTTCTGTCACATGATCCTCCAGAGCCTCCACAAATAGACACAAATTAATAGACCAAGATAAGAACAAAAAGAAAATAACACCGCAGCTACATCTGAAACCGACACGACAAACTTCGGTTCAAGTCCAGGGATCATATTTCAAACATAAACCTCTCTCTACAGTTCGATGCAGAATAAGATCTACACACAAATGCAATAAAAGGCACAACATTAAGTCAAAATTAAGTAATTCCAAAGAACTTAGCAAGCAACTCATGAAAATAAACTCATGATTTCACTTCACTCTGCTACTTTCTCCTACTACTCTCCAGATTTAGAATAATTGTTATTTCAACTTTAAACTTTATGTTTTCAGTTTTTTACTCCTCTAGAAGTTGAATCACATAGTCACGTCATTAATGCATCTCAAGAAGTTCACATTCATTTAGAAACAACAATGCTAATGTTTTAACTCAGGAAGAGTCAGAAATCAATATTTGGTGTAAAACCCACCAGATTTTCAGTGGGATCTTATTTTTTCCAGAGCTGAATATGTGAAAAAGGCCAGCCAAAGGAAAGCTGTATGGATGGATGAAGAAATCCATCCATCCATTAATAACACACTTAATATCTCTACATATTCTAAATATTTCAAAATAAATGAATAAAATGAGTCAGTTTTATGAAAATGTACAAGTTTTGTGCACAATTACAACAATTTTCAACTGAACACTTTTTAAAAACTCATAAAATGTTGTGAAACAACGACAAAATTTTAGCAACCTGCCTGGATCCTATTTTTCTTGCCCAGTTGGGCGGTAGTGAAGCTCAGGGTCAGAGGTCAGGTGAGACTGAGTTTGGCTTTGCTTACGGTGATCTGCAGGTCGCAGTCCGGGGCCAGCTGTGGGAATCCCGGCGTCTGAGGTAAAACGCCGATGGTGAACGTCTGGGCATCGCTCTGAATGAGAGGAGAAACATCCGAGGAAACCTGCAGACACACACACACACGCACACACACACACACACACACGCACACACACACACACGCACACACGCAAACACACACACACAGAATCCATTTCATAATCAGACACTAAACATCCGGCCACAGCTCAGTAAATTAAAACATCATCAAAAAGTTAATTTATTTTAGGGATTTAATTAAAAACTGACACTCCTGTTATGTAAATTCATTACACACATCCTCTGTTTTCACTGAGAATGTTCTCCAAAGTCCAAAGTCTTATTTTCTTAGGGATTTTACAATTTATTTGGAAATAAAGAGTCTGGAGAACCACATTGCTTGAAGTCCAGTGTGACGTTTCTACAGTTAGTGATGATTTGGGGGCTATTTGGTTCTGGTCCACTGGGTTTTCCAAAGTCCAAAATCAGAACAAAATCTTTTTTTTTTTGACTCTGTTTACTGCAATTAATGCTTAATTGATTATTAAGTTAGTTGACACTTGTTTAAATAATTGATTAATTCCGATGAATCTTTTCAGCCCTAAAGTTGATAGATCTACAGAATATAAAATAATACTTTTTTATGAGTCTGCATAATTATTTCAATAATCAATTAATCACAATTAATCTGATTAATCGTTTCAGTCCTAAATCAGAAAGATGTGGGGAAACAAAGGGTCTGCTTATAAACTGGATTCCTTCAAAAATATTTTCCACTCGAATTGTTTTCGGAACAGAAAACATAAAAACCAACCAGTCTGACCTTCACAGCAATAAACTAGAAAATTGACAAATTTTCATAGGTGTGACAATTGCCTGGAAAGAAGTCTGATTGTAAGAGTTCAAATCTTCTGTCAACAACCACTGCCATTAAACTTTTCCAATCCTTCAAAAAGAGTAAAAAAGGAAAAGAGTCTGCTTTTATCCCAGCAGATGAGAGGAAGCTCTGTGAAGCTCTGAAAAGGTTGCTTTGAAAGCGGAGGGCGCGTACCGGAGTAACCGCTCACATCCCTCAGGTCCAACACGTTATCTCTGAGCGCTAATGGCCACTAATGCTGAACACGACCAGCTTCCTCTGACCTCTTAGCTTCATGTTTCCAACATTTTCAATTAGACTGTGAGAGATTATGATAACTGAAGGGTTGATAAAAAAAAAACATGCCTTATGAGGAAAGCTTCATTTTTGACCTATTTTTTGGCAAACGTGACCCTGAAGTCGATCCCACAGCAGTTCTGCCTGAATCCACGCTTTGTGTCGCATCGTTTTGGATGAAAATATAGTTTCAGAACTTGCAGAGATGAAATCAGTGCCACCAATCACCAGTAATGTGCTGTCATGAGAGTCGGAGTCGAGTCAGCGGGATTTATTGACAGCGGCATTGCTGCGGTAAATTACCGATTATACAGCAGATTCGATTCAACATAAATGCTCTGCTGCTTATATACGGTACCGTTTAAAAGTTTCTGAAAGTCTCTGCTTTTTTGTGTGGTTGCTTTTTCGCTCTACACACAAATCCAGAACGTTTCTCTGGAACACATAAAAGGGAAAACAGGAAGTGGTCAGAAAATTCTGGCGGTTTCTACAACAAACGTCTGTAACCTGTTCATATTTGTGCTGATAAAGATCAGCCTTTGTGTTCAACTGAAATATTATAACATCTCTTGATACCTTTTATCCTACTTTATATAGTGAGAAGGTTTCTGAATTTAATGTACCAAGAATTACTTTGCCTCCTTTTAAACAAGTTAGGTTAGGTCTCTGGGCTGTAAAAAGCAAGTTTATAGATTTTTATTTTTTTGCACAAAATAATTCTCGACTGACTATTTTTCAGTCTGCTCAGTTCTGCCTTTCAGAATGAGCAGTTTAAGTGCTTAAATCCACATAAGCTGCAGTTGGCCACGGCCCCCAACTCAACATTTACACTCCCGGGTGAAAATGGCTGCAAACCAGTGTGCAGTTATACAACTGTATGTCTTTGAAAAGAAGAAGTGGAGCCTCCTGCACAATCAGAAACAATGAAGCAGGTGGTTTCTGGATGGTAAGTTGACAATAAAACTATTTTCCAGCAGTCATTGTACAGCACCTACAGCAGTAAAACTAACTAAACCTCCACAAAAAATGTTTGGGTGTTTCTTTTGTGTTTGCTGGGTTGTTTTTAGAAGCAGTAGAGACCCAAATGTAATTAGAAAAATACGCAAAACGTTAATTTTGCATAATATAATCCTTTTAATTAATAATTTCTTGAGAGGGGTGATTACTTTTCCACTTTGGACAAACTTTTTTTCCTTCACGACTTTCTTATGAACAGAAACTACAGAAATTGGGTCAAGAACTGTCCAACATTTTAATAAAACTGGAAGGAAAGTGGAGAACACATACAATAAAGATCTGCTGTTGTTGTATCAACCTTCCAGACTCCTCAGGTTCTGGTTCTGGTCTGCTCTGCATCCCCAGAACCAGAACCAAACTAGGGGAAGCAGCTTTCAGCATCTATGCACCACAAATGTGGAACAAACTTCATGAAAACTGTAAAACAGCTGAAACACTGACTTTCCTTAAATCTCGACTAAAACCCACCCTTTTAGAATTGTATTCAAAACATAATCAAATAATTCAATGATGGATCTTTACTTAATGTCATGTTTTGATTGTTGATTCTATGTTGCATGACTTTGTGTTTTTGTCTTTATGATGTAAAGCACTTTGAAATGCCTTGCGGCTGAAATGTGCTATACAAATAAAATCTGATCTGATTTGGAAAAAAACCCTGAATGATTGATGGTAACTAAAACATTTGATTAAATCAATCCAAAGAAAAACAAGAGTAGAAGTCAGGGCTATTTTTAATAGTGGAAGTAACTCAGTAAACTTTATAGACTTTGTCAACACTTTGACAAGTTTCTGTGAAACTTTGCAAAGCAAAACATTTCTGGGACATTTTCTTTTCTCTTAAAAAGTTTTTGCTTCAAGCAGCGATGCGTTCAAGGATAATTAGATGGTTTGGCTGCCTCTTCTGTTTTGCTACTGAAGGTGGAAAACACTGATTAATACCCCATTACTGGGACTTTATAGGATTTTGAGCCAATTTGCAAATAGTCTGGCTGCATTACTGATGATCAGCATAAGTCTCTGTAGGATGATCAGCATCGGTTCTGAAACTTGGATTAAAGAAGTGAAAATCTTCAGCAAACAGGATGAAGATGAGGAGGATAAATTTGGCAGATTTAAACTAACTTTGAGGTGGTTAATTGTCCAAACTAAAAGAAACTTTTAAGTATTTAGCAGGATTAATACACCAGATAATCAAACGCCTTACATGACTGAACACAAAAGTTAGATATGCTAAAATACAGACGCAGAGATGTGACAAAAAAGAAAAGTTTTTTAAGCTTCTTTGAACAACACAGTTTGAGAAAGTCTTAAGAAAAAGAACAAAAACGGAGGAGGGAGGTGAAGGTGAAAAAGGATCGATTGTGAGACGGAGAAGTAAAAGAGAGATGTTAGAAAGGTCAGAGTCTCCAGGAGAGAGACGCTGGAGGTGAACTTGGTTTGAGCTTCAGAAAAACACTACAAAGAGCATAAAGTCCAAGAAAACAACAGCAGGAGTCTTTATCTGTTTCCTCTCTGGATTTATTGTTTTTACTCCCAAGTTAAATTTTTAATTTTTGGCTCATGGTCTGCATAGAGACTGAAAGAAAGTAAGCAAAGCTGAAACTAGTTGTAGAAATGTAAAGAGAAGGCTGTGGCAGAAATGTTTAGGTATTGAGTTTTAGGACACAGAATTATACGCATCTCAATTAATAAATTCAGAATGAAACCTTTGACCTCAGGTAAATACAATTTTAATAGTTGTTTTTATATCAACTGATTAATTGGACCAACTCCAATGAATCAATTATGTTCAATTAATTAATTATATACAACATTTGGCACATTTCAGCCTATTTTAAACAAAATGTTCCACCAAATTTGTTTGGTAAAAAATATTTTTTATGTTCTTTGGTAGAACATATTTACAGTTTTTGTTTTATCTTAAACGGAAAATGTTTATATTTTCTGCACAGTTTTTTTGTAAAGTTTTCACTTTTGCAAAAAGTCTAAACTTTTCTAGAAAAACACACAAAAGTTTTTAGATTAATCTCAGATAGTTTTTAGAAAACCTTGGAGTTTCAAAATCAAAAGTCCCAGATTTTAGACTTTTGTGACATCGAAAATTCATTTAGTGCATCATTAAACCCACTGTGAGCGTTAAGCCCTGACCTGGAACCGGAAGGAGTCGCTGTCGTAGCTGGAGCCGAAGTGGCGGTACCAGACGGTGCCGTCGTTCACGTCCTGCTGGGTGAAAGACGCCGTCGGCGTGAAGCGCTGGTCGTCGATTAGGGAGGGATGCCAGCCTTCTGGTGGGCTGTCAGCTGGCATGGACACAAGCACCACCTCCCCTGGACAAAGGATGAAGGTGATCAAACGTTTCTCCTCTCATTTGTGCAATAAGTCAGTGAAGAAACATAAGGAGAATAAAACAAGGGCATCAAAAAAGTCCTAAATGTACGACGGTGGAGTTGGTTTTAAGAGACTAAGCAACTTTGATAATAAATACATAATAAAAGATGCAAATAGACACATTCCTTTCTACATATTTTATTGCTTAAAATACAATAAAATGATTAATTTTGGTGTCTATTTGTTACAAAAGATGAATCTGCAGCTAAAAAATGAATGTAAAATCAAAATGTGAAAAGAAGTTTATTCAACTGTCTGCTTGACGTAACACCAACAGAGTGTAGGGCTGATCTGTTTGTTATTAATTAACTGATTAATAATTGGTCAGCAAAAGATGCTCACTTTTTAAAATAAATTTAAAACAAGCTAAAATTGTGACATTTAAGGACTTTGTGGTCGAACATGTTGACTATAATTATGATGTAACTAAATATATCATTAATTAATCAATTACTAAATTAGTGGACAGATGCACAGTTTAGAAAAACAAAACTTTCTAGAGCCTGTCTACTACAGTTAACGAATAATCAATTATTAGCTGATGATTATTTAAAAAATGTCTTAATCACGATGAATCTTCTTATCCCTAAAGGAAACATGACTCTGGATCGAGCTCTCACCATATTTGGGTTGCCCCTCTGAGGCCAGGATGGTGTAGACGATGTCGTCGGAGCCGACTCCTTTAACGTCTGTCTGCAGGTACTTCTTATCGAGCCGCACCGAGCCTCCCTCCTTCACCCAGGTCATCGGCAGGGACACCAGATGAGGAGAATCCTGAGGCTGCAAAAACAAACACACCCGAGTCAGATGGAGGATCCCGGGTTTTCTCCTTTCTGCCGATGGAGCAGCAGGATGACATTTCTGCTATTAGCTGAAATTACACATGCAGCCTGTTCTTAATCCACAGAGAAAGTGATATTTTCATATTATTTCCTGCCATTTTTTTTTTTTTTACATATGCTTTCACTTGTTGTGAGCCCCAGGAGTTTTCCATCTGTCGTCAGCTCTATGGAGCAGAAATAAGAAATATCAGCAAGTTCAGTTTCTGATCTGTGAACTGAAAACTTTACAATCAGGGTTATTTTTGTAATGCCGTATCGATCCTACTGCCTGCAAACAAAGAGCAGGGCTGGATGTAGAGCGAGCCTAGAGACTGCTGATGATTCATTGTCGCTCAAGGCTATTCAAGTAAAAGAAAAAAATTCAGAGAAATTCTGTCATGAAGGTTTGAATGGAGACCTTTTACCTCACTGTGTCACCCTGCTGTCTAAATAAAAATAGCTGATATAGAAATCCTGTGTCAAAGAGTGAGACCTGCAACATAGCACAAGAAACTTTCACAAAGACTCTATATTTTTCCTGGAGTAAAACATTAAATATCACTTAAAAGTTTAGGAAAATCAGCACTGCTTTTAAAAACAAACTCTGGGGATGGACTAAACTCCAACTTAGTTTTTCTTTATACCTCCTTCAGGTTTTGGGTAAACCAGATTATATAGTCATCTTGAATCATTTGTTCATCGCTAGAGCTACCGCACACTAACGGAAATAGAAAAATGTATCAACGACCACCTGATTTCGGTCACGGCTGCCATCTGCTCTGCCTGATTTAATCTTTGTTTTTTTTTGTGGAAAATGCTGTTTTTCTTCTGATGATTGTCTTCAAAATCTGCTCTGCAAATGTATTCACAGCTGGTTCACGCTTTATCTTTACAACAATGTTAAATGATCTTAATCAAGGTTTCAAAAGACTTCAATTCAAATTTAAGACTTTTTAAGACCATTATGAGTGGAATTTAAGATCTACATCTCCACAAAAATGTATGAACTTTGTTCAGCCGACTGGCAAATTTACACTTATTGGACAGACTACTTAGCAAGGCTGTATTAGCAGCTAGTTAGAGCCTCGACTCACAGAAAGCAATAAAGATGTCAAACATAAGCCTGACGGAAAAGTCCCACAATAAAAAATAAACTCAATAGAATATTTAAGTTTAAATAATCCTGTCAAGACAAAATTTAAGACCTGTGATTAATGTATGCAAGGCCAACTTACTGTTAAATAAACGATTCAGTTTGTCATGTTTACAATAATGATAGTGTATCTTATTCAAAATCTCTAAATGTTTTACCAACTCAAAATTAACACCAGTGGTTAAGGCCAACTTGCTGTTTTTGATATGAATTTAAGACATTTTAAGTTCTTCATTTTATGTACAGGCATTAAAGACTTTTAAGGCAGCATGGACATGTTAGATTGAGATTTGGATTATGGTGAAGTTGAAGGAAAAAAAAATTACAATGGTATAAGCTAAACCCAAATTTCTCTGCCGTTCGTCCTGCAAAGCTTTTTAAAGTACATTTGTAAATTCACCAAGTCACGTATATTTTTGTACAGCATCTCTGAAATGCAACTTGTGCAGCTGAAATACCAAGACGCAATGTTGCTTAGCACAATTTGCTCACATTTGCAAAGCGCCATTAATTTTACTGGCTGCATTACTTAAGGAAAGGAGAGAATATTAAGAATAATGTAAAATCTTAGAAATTACCACCCAAAATTAAACATATTAATACCACATTTTTTTCTCGTTAAAATACTAATTTTTATGCATTTTTTGGCTCAGTAATAACTTTATTGAGTCATTTATACTTTTCTGTATTTATTCTTAATTATGGCCGTTCCAGTCCTCCATAATGAATCCTGGGAGGATTTTAATAGAGAGTTTTCCCTGTGTTTCACTTTGAGCTAAAGATAAAAGCACAAAGGCTCAGATACCTACAGCAGTGCAAAGCATAAATACTCTGCTGTAAGAGTTGAAAAAGGTGGCAAAACATCAAAAAGATGTGAATACGACGTGTCAGACGGATAGTGTGTGGCATGCATGAGAATCTAAATTTGCAGAAAATAACCTGCAGGCCATCCGCGGCACTTCTGCCTGCTGCTGGGCTGATTCGAATCTCACTGATTCACAGAGGCCACGGCAGAAAGCAGAGAAGCACAGAAAAAGAAACCACATACATCAGCATGGCAGGCTTTTAACTCACAGAAACATGTCATCTGGGAGATAATGGCGCTCTCAGGATGAACAGCAGGAGCTCTCAAGGACATTTAGAGCCAGGAGCTCAGGGTAAAGCGGGTCAGAGGGACCTGGTTGGGTTTTTAACTAATATTTTTCCTCTGGTCTTGTTCTGACCTGTAGCTGCAGAACAATGTATTTATTCATTTTCTCTCATTCATTGCTTGGACAACCCTCAAATCTAACGAGCTCTTTCCACGCGAGATTCGAGTTGATAAACAGCCTAATCTCCGTCAAACAGGTGCGCGAGCTAATGAAAGGCTCATGCAAATGTGGAGGAAAAAAATGCTAATTTGCCTAATGTAATTTAAAATGGCCTGAACACAAAGGATAAAGAGAAAGTGAAAAACAGAAAATGAGCACAATCTGTGCTCCATCAGACGCTGTGTCTCCATTACAAATGTGAGAAAAACTTTGTCAATATTCCACTACTATCGAAAAAGCAACAACAAAATTACTGTAAACAGATGAACAATTATACAATCATGGATGTGTGAAAAGCAGAAGTGGCGCCTCCTGCACAACCAACAACTGGTTTCTGAATAGAAAGTCAACAACTAAAGTAGTCTCTTCAAGCAGCCATTAGCTGCGTTTTCATCACAAATGTGTTACAACAAAATGGCTGCAAACAGATGTGCGGTTGTGCAACCTTAGAAAAGCAGAAGTGGAGCCTCCTGCACAACCATCCAGAATACAGCACGTAGTTTCTGAATAGTAAGTCAACAATGTAAAAAAACAACACCACAATTTTGCAATTGCTGTGTTTGCATTAAATAAAAAATGCAATTAAATTGCATGTGAATAAGTTAGTTTATGTGATAAGCTGCATCATCTTCCTACCACTTCCTGTCGTCTTCTTCATGGTTTGTAATCATGAAGACCACCGGAATTTTGCAAAACAGCCCAAAAAATTATATAACAAGGATATTTTTTTTTCGTGAATGTCAAATTGCACAATCATTGGATTATTGGAAATGCCGCTGTAGTTTTCCGACAGTAAATATTAGATGTTGAGCAAAAAGTATCCAGAGGATGTTTTGCTTTTAAAATGACTAAATGTGTGGAGAAACTATTGACAAGAAGAAACTTCAGGAATGTCTAAAAGTGTTGCTTCTCTGTAATATATAAAACCACTCTGAAATAAATAAAAATATATTTGATCCTCAGCCACTGTATGCATGAAACATGTATAAGAGGAGACCTTTATAGAGCTTCCAGACAGAATGTAAACCAAGACGATGCAGAGTTTCTGGCTGCCGTCCACAAAAGCAGAAATAAATGACTCTGCAGAGATGGAGTCAGAGTCATCCATAAAACATCAGCTGGCTGCCCGCCTGGGCGGTCGTGCTGTTGTAATGACAGAGTTTCACGCTCCCACAGGGGGACGGGCGAACAGGACGATTTCACGACTTTTCAAGAAGAAATTGAAAGGCACAGAATGATGATTAAATTCTCTTTGGCAACACGTTTCAATTTAATCCGGAACGACTGAGAATGGCATCTACGACGAGAGAGGGAGGGAACTGAGAGCATGCAGGCAATGTCTTACGCTGCAGGTAAAGTAAAGTGGGCTTTTTTCTGCCCATAAAAACATTTAGCAGGGTTCCTTTAACCCAAAATAAAATGCCAACTTATGACACTGAAGAGTGACTTAAAGGTTAATATTGCCTGAACTTTGGGAAGAGCCTCAGGAATTGTATAATTAGGTAATTAGTAACTTGGTAAGAAGAAGAAAAAAACTCAATCACACAAAGTTACTACACTTTCACTTTGAAGTATTTTCAGGGTAAATTTTCAAGCTTTCCCACCACCACAGTTTGACATTAAAAGCAAATTGTGAATTAGTACCTTCATTCTTCTAGGACACAACTTTTTAACTTCTAGATATGCACTTTTGTGTTCCTAGGAAACAACCTTTTAACCTTTTACTAGAAAGTTACTTTGACATTTTTGGAAAACAATCCTTTATCTTTTAAAAAGTTATCTGTAAATAGTTAATACATACCTTTGACCTTGTAAAAGCAACTCTAACTACAAGAAAAGTCAAAGTTAAACTTAATGTTTATAAAAGTACTTCAGAAAGTTCTAGAAAAGTTCCTTAGACCTTCTACAACACAACTCCTGAACTTCTAGAAAAATACTCTCTCTTGTAGATAAGTACTTTCAAGTTTCTAGGAAGCAACTTTTTAATATTTAGAAAAAGTACTTCAGAGCATGTGGGAAACCCTTTAACAGCTAGAAAGTACTCTGCAAGTGGTAGAAAACACCGTTTACCTCACTGGGAACAACCTTTTAAGCCTTAGGAAAGTATTCTGTAAATTGTTAACAAGTACAACAATACTTTAACTTCTAGAAAATACTTTGTAGGTTCCAGAAAAGTACATTTGAACTTCTGGGAAACGATAATTTCTCATCATTGACAGGAATTAAAATATGTTACTTTTTTCTTGTCTTAGTGTTTTTCTTTTTTTTACTATTGTGAATGGAAAGGTTAAAAATGATCAAACTAAATAAAACTCTCCTATTGCAGATGCTAAAATCAGCTTGTCTACAAATCAAGAAAGAATAACGAAAAGCTCCGGCAGGAGGTCGATCTTCCTCCACCCGACATCCATCATCTCCTTCACAACGGTGCTCAAGTATTTCCTCCTTGTTTGATCGTTTATTTCTCCTCCATTTCTGGAAACAGGAAACAGATGAAGCCCCTGGTTTGTTTTTGTTTTAGGCTCAAATATTCTTTCTTTGGGACAGAAATTAAAAGCCAGCGGTTCTATTCTGCTGACGTCCCTCCATCAGGAGGAAGTCCCTCCATCAGGAGGAAGTCCCTCCATCAGGGGGTTTTTATGGTCTGATTAGCCTCCTGTGCCACACAACCGTAATCCGATTTTCCAGGAGGCCTTTTGCACGACCTGGAGCCGACATTACCAGAAAGGACTGAAGACTCACAGACTCAAGTTTGTTGCTAATGAAACCCTCAAGGTTTTATTGCAGATCATTGTGAGGGATCAGCTTTCATCTGCAGATATGGGATTCTATCTCATCTTGTTTTTATCTTTTCTGTTTGTGTGCAATCTAAAACATCCGCTCCATCTGGATGCTTTGAGCGTAAATCCACAGAAGACAGCTTGGCATTTTGGCAGGTCCACACAGGCAGGCTTTAATTAGATGCTGAATATGAAGGAGTCCCACGAGATCCGGGTAAACATCTCAAATGTTTAGCAAACAAGCTGCGGGTCGGCCATGTGTAGTTCATGCGTTTTAGGCACATCATTTAACTCGACAGGCGCGCTGAGGCGCCTTGAGGAGCGCTGATGTTTCTGACAACATCTGACAGGAAACAGATTCTGAGCTGTGATAGCACAACAACAAAGCTCTTCTCTTTCCCAGCATCGTAGCAGTAAAACCAGCTGACCAAATGTGCTGGAACTCAGCATCGGTTGCTAGGTAACAGGCTGGCCTTTGCTGGGGTTGCTAGGTAACGGCCCCTGCTTTGGTGGCCCTGATATGGGCCGTTTTTTTGAAGCAAATGAAAAAAACCAAAAGTTACACTTCCTGTCCTTCAGGCATTTGACCTGTGAAAATGTCATTTTACATGGAGCGCTGCTGCCATCTATTGGCATCTTAGGAAACTGCTTTACTTCATTTTGTAATTCCAGTTTGAGTTTCTTCAAAGCTTCTAAGTGGCAATTTATTTGTCCTAATGAGCGTTTATTTTAACATATGTGAAAAGAAGTAAATTTTTCCAAATTAATTGAAGTTTCTTTGAGTTAGTTTTGGAAATATCTGAATACTGAGAGAGCTTTGATTGTTTGCTTTGCGATAAGCTAACTAGCTAGCATGCTGCTAACTCACAAGTAACTTTTTAGCAAGAAATATGAGCCTGTTTTTAGTAAATAATTCCTTGTTTCTCTGGCAGATTATTTCACTTATAGCAAGAGACTTTCCATGTGTAAAGTTAATTTATCTGCCAATGCACTTTAAATCAATATTACGGAAATATTAACTTAAACACGCCTCTATATCCTGCTGAAAAGTTACTCTTCAGTTAGTTTGTCCAGATGTAAGCAACTGAATGTAAAACTTTTGTTAACAATGCTCAGCTCATTCTGAGTTGTTTTTGTTTTAACAGTTTCATGGCAATAAAGGAAGAAGCAATTAATCGTGACTCGTGTGAAAGGAGTTTTGATGATGGTTAGTTTTGGTACAAGGGACCATAGCAACACCATTACAGTGTAAAATGTGAATTTTGTACAGTAGGTCCCCTTTAAGATTATTATTGCGTTTAAATTAAACAAATATACTAGTGATTGAAGCCATTACTGCTGCAGAGCTCTGCTCACTCTCTGTCTTTGCTTTCTGTTCTGTAGTTTGTGCCGTGATAATCCACTTGTGTGGATCAAAACAACCAGGCAACAAGGAGGCGGCAGCAACAGTGACCACTCTGGGATCTTATCCAAAAGCCGCGGACACAAACCGAGGACGTTCCTTTAGCTTTCCATCATCCTGTCCATCCTGCTTGGCTTGAAGGCATGACAGTCTGCAGAATCAGGACATTTTACAGTAAATTAATACTGCCATGTGTGAGTGTGTGTGTGAGTGGGATGTTATTGATTTACAGAAGGGGAAGAAGACGAAGCAGAGGAGTTTAGCCTGAAGCGCTCCATCTGCACACAGTCAGACAAACAGAGCTGCCCTTCAAAATCAAAATGTTTTGACTGCGTGAGCAGAAAAACTGGAGGAAAAGTTTCTCTACAGGAGGAAAAAAAGAACAACACCAAACAAGTTTCAACACCCCAAGCTCTTAAAAAACCCACACCCATCACTCTGTGGAACAATGGCTTGCTGCAATCAACCAATAATACAAAGAAAATACATGCAAATATGACCTATTATGCAAAATGCATATTTTGCACGTTTTCATACTTCCATTTGGTTCTCGACTGTTTCTAAAAACCTAAAAAGAAACCGTATTTCTGGCAATAAGCTAAAGGCTTGAAAATGAGCCAATTCAAAAACCTCTAGAAAGTAAGTTAAGTTGCAACCCAAACTATGCTCCAGCACGTTTGGTCAGCTGGTTTTACCGCTGCATGCGCTGTACAATGACTCCTGGAAAAGACACTTTCTGCATTCTTGTTCGTTTTTATTATGTCAAGCACTTTGAACTGCTTTGCTGCTGAAATGTGCTATGCAATGAAATTTGAACATGCAGCTCGAACCAACAGTGAAAATATGACATCGTTCTGGTGGAATCTTGAGTTCTTAAAAAAATAATCGGCGCCGCTTTGCTTCCTGTCTTCGGTTCGCTTAGCAACCAGGAAGCCAAAAGGATATTTATCTTTCCAAACATCCCCTCTACCTGCAGCCTCTCCTCCTGTTTGGTCGCCGGGGTCGACGCCGGCTGCAAGATAATTGCGTCCTTGTGATGAAATGCCCACCAGAAGCGATGACAGCTGCCATTGTAATGACTCGACCTGCTTTTTCTGTTTTAGCAGTGAGGCTACGGGGATCTGTCAGCGCCTCTAGGAAACTATTTTCAGGGATAAAGTCAGCAGAGCATCTTGTGAGGACATGTCAGCTGGAAGCAGAGGGACGACTGCTCAAGTTGATGCAATTAAAGGCGTCTAGAGGAATGCACTCCGTGCTGAAATGGTTTTACTTGAAGGCGTTGCATTATAAAAGAGCAACATGTGAAAAGATTATCCCTGTCAACCTTCAAAAGTCAAATTTGTAGTGCTTCAGACAACATACGCACACAAATGTACCATTCAAAAGAATTTTGAACTGCAAATTTAAAAAATGAAAATTGTCATTGTCACGTTTATTTATTGTATTGTAGCATTTTTAAAAACACTACGGTAGATCTTACCAAGAATCTTTGTTCTTCTTTCTAATTCTTTCCTTTTTTATTTAGTTCCAACAAGCCAAAGAGAGGAATTCAAATTAGTGGTTTAGCTGCTTTATGCATGATATTTCATTGAAATGTCAGTGTATCTGTGTTTTCTGGGAGGAAGAATGTTTGGTGATTCAAAAACTTTTTAAACATTAAGTGAATTAAAATGTTTGTTTTAACTGTGATCAATAATTAGAGTATTTGTCTTGCACACTTACAAAAACACAGAATCTTACCAAATGTTTTCAGTTCTTAGGATATCTTAGGATATTTGAAATAAGACAAAACTGACTTACAAGTAACTTTTCAGCAGCATATGTTGTTTTAAGTAAATAATTCCTTAATACTGATAAAAAAAAGTTCTGCTTCTAGTTGTGGATTATTTTGTTTGTAACTCTGGCAATTTTTTTATAAGTCAAATAATCTGCCAGTGGAAAAAGTCAATATCAAGGCATTATTGAGTTGAAACAAGCTCCTATTTCTTACTAAAAAGTTACTTGTCAGTTAGTTTCATTTCAGGTGTACTGAGAAATTTGAACTAGAAACTAAAACAAAAAATACTCTGTAAGGTTCAGGTTTTCTGCAGTGCAGCGAATGGGATTATGTTTGAAAATAGAAAATGTTAGTTGAAAAACAACAAAATTAAAGGTTGAATGCAGAAACGTTGAAGTCACGTTGTCCTCCTCACCTTCTGGACTATCCGGACCTGGAGCAGGACGTTCCTGTAGCTGTGGCCGTCATTCACCTGCAGCACTGCGCCGTCCTCCGTCGCCGCCGAGCCGTCGTGGACGTACTGGATCTGCTCCCTGGAGAGCTCCTCCAGCTTGAATCTGCCGAGGGCACGCTCGCCATGGAGCCGGGTCAGCTGGCCGTGGCGGGGCGGTTCGAGGACCATGACCAGGACGTCGGCGGGGTTGTCGGGGTCGTTGATATGCAGCACCGACTTGGTGACAGCGGCCAGGCCGCCGGGCTCCTCTAAGGTCAACGGAGCGAGGGTCACCACTCTCGGGGGCTGGAAGTAAGAAATAATGAGGCAAAGAAGTAAGATTTCTGTTTTCTGGTCCACGAGCCACACAAAACATATATGTGGAACCAAATAAGTTTTTAGATAATGAGATTTTATTCTGATCAGTTTATAATAAGTTGATTTAGGGCGTCTTGTCTCTTAAATCCAAATAATCTGCTGCTGGTAAAGCCTTCTAACTCAACTTTGCACTTGTAGATAAAAATGGCTGCAAACAGATGCTCAATTATACAATCGTACATCTTTGAAAAGCAGACGTGGAGCCTCCTGCACAACCAACAAGAATGCAGCAACAGGTTTCCAGATGGCAAGTCATCAACAAAACTCTTATCTTTTCCAGAAGCCTTTTATTTACTTAATTAATGTTCCTCTGGGATTAATACAGTATTGATCCCAAAACCAGCTGACCAAACATGTTGTGGCTTCGTTGGGGTTGCTAAGAAACGGTGTAGCGTCATCATTTGAGAGGTTTTTGAAACGGATCAATTTCCAAACACAAAAAACATTAACTTATTTCTAAAAAACACACTACAAAAAAAAAAAAAATATATGATCAATGTCAATTTTATTTATGAAGCACATTTAAAAACACAAAATGTTTGGTCTGGTTTCCGGTACCCATAAAATAAGACAAACTAACAAGAGGCTGGGTGTTTTTTTAACCACTTGATTTGCTTTTAGAAGAAAGTAGGAACCAAATAGCACGAAAACATCCAAACAGTAAATTTTCCATAACAGGTCCCCTTTAAAAACATCATTCTGTTTGAAGATTTGGAAACTACTTCAGAGTTGGAGCACATCTCTTCGCCATGAAAGGCTGCTGGGAAGATCTCAAAACCTGACGGCGGTTGTGTTTTCCTCTGCATGACTGCAGCCTGGCGCTGCGGCCGCCTGCTGCAGCCGTCTGCTGCAGCGTGGAGCCGCGACGGTGAAGGCAAGAGGGAGCTGAAACAGGGCGCTTCGTTAAGCTGCTCTCTGCAGCGCCCAACGCCTCACACAGCTAACAAAGCCAGCGAGACGCAGAGGCCTCCCATTGTGAGAAACCTTCTCCATAGTTGGTCGTCACCTTTCTGCTTCTAATTACCGAATGAAGATGAGAGGTGCAGGAGGCAGATATTAGAGAAGAGAATCTGGTTCTTTTCTTCTCTAACCATAATGAGACTCTTTTAATGCAGTTTTTAAATATGACATTCAACTGATGTGCAAATTTTAGCCTTCCACCTAACTCTAACCCACTCAAAATAAAAAAAAGAGGATACTGGTGGAAAAAAAACATCTCCAGCAATACTTTTATGATCAGAAGAAGTCATATCTGCTGAAAAGATCGACGTCGTTTACAAGTAATTGGATTCTTTTCTAAGCCGTGAACGAGTCTCAATTAGTTTGGTTCTTTGTTGTTCTGACTTTGCTTGCTTATAACGCTCAGCTTGCACATCAACATCTTGTACAGATAAGTACAAATGGCAGGAATTGGTAGATAATTTCATAGAGAATTTTTGTTTATGGCTAAGCAACTCAAGTCTTTTTCTTTTATTGTGGTTCGAATTGTTATTAATACACAATCATGGCAGGAAACAATAACTTATTTTTTTGATTTCCATGTATTTTTGACATCATCGGAAAACTTAAGACGGCAAACTGTCAGAATCTGTAAATAACTTACAAAGTCGACATGTTCACATTTACAAAACAGTACTTTAGGATGACCGAAGAAAACCAGACATTTAGGATAAATGACCTTTGAGACACTAATAATTTCAATTCAGTTCGCATATTTTAAGATGTGTTACTTCAGGAAAATTTCAAGTCAAGTGTTTATTAAATTGCTTAAATGGTCCTCAGTATAAAAAAGTTTGAGAAGTGCTGCATTTAGTACTTGTTTTGGTTTTGACAGTTAAGAATCCAGGGATACGTTTCTGCATAAAACTGCTCTAAGCATGAAATATTTAAATGTGAACATTAGCTCGTATTTCTGGAAAGTTCAGTACATTTGTTTTAAATGCTTTTAAAAAAAAAAAAAGCTGATCAAAGCGCATGCTGTGAGCAGAAAAACAACCTGAAGATTCGCTTGCAGGGCAGGGAGATTGCACAGAGCTGCAGGTGGAGAAGCGAGCGGGTTTGAAGCCGTCGGGTCGGGAGCTCCGAGCGGCGCAGCGTGACGCAGAACGTGCGTCTAATGTGAATCGGTCCTTGGCTGCTGGATGAACTCCAGTGTTTTGGCTTTAGAGGAGCAGCTCCAGCCGAAGGAAACGCCTCGAACAAACTGGAGATGCCCTGATTCAAGGTGACCCAGACCCAGATTCTTTCACCAGTTAAATTTAGAAGCAGTGAAACCACAAGGGTTTAAATTTAAAACTGACATAAAAACAGCAAATTTTCTTACTCAATAACTAAAGAAAGTTAAGTATTTGTAAGTCTGTCTCACATATGTGTAATATGTGATTTTATTTGCTTAAAGGTTTAGTATTATGTGCTATGCTTCATTGGACAGGGGAGGATAGGTCTATACAAAACATGTTCATTACATTTTGTGCACAAAATGTAATGTTAGTCTGTTCAATTACACAACCATACATCTTCGAAAAGCAGAATTGGAGCCTCCTGCACAACCAACAAGAATACAGCAAGTGGTTTCTGGAATGTATGTCAACAACAAAACACTTTTGTCTTTCCCAGCAGCCACTGTACCATGCATACAGCAGTAAAACTAACTGACCAAACGTGATGGAGCTTAGCTTGGCGGACTAGGTAACGGCGCAGTGCCGTTCAAATGTAACTCAACTTTGAGGAGATTTTTGAAACAGCTAATTTTCCAGACACCAAAAACAATAAGTTATTGCCATTAACTTAGTTTTAAGCATTAGGGTTGTTTTCAGAGACAAATAGCAGAACAAAAATGTGCAAAATGTGAATTTTATTGAATGATCCCCCTTTAAACAGTGTTACAACTCTATTGCAGGCCGACTTGGTGGGCAAAAATTAATTTTAATAGTACTTATTGATTCCTTGCATCATTGGCAGGGATTTCTGATTATCATTCATGCCCGTCTTGTTAATTCTGACAATTAAACGATTCAAAAATTAATATTAAAGACAAAAAAGAAAAATCCCTGCATACTTGATTTCAGTAAAGAAATGAAAAGTTAGCCACATTCATGTCCCTGAACTTCAAGCATCTTCTTAGTTTTGATGAATTAATAAATACAAGATTCTAATATTGTGAAAAGAAACATAATTCAAATCATGGAAGAATAATGCAAAAATGTAGATGGAGGAAGCAATTCATAAATAAATGTACAAATTTAAGAAAGCATAGAGAATGTAAGAAAATTTAAGATTTTTAAGCAGTAAATGTAACATTTTGGAACCGTCCAGTAGCCCTGCTACACAGAAGGCTTCAACATGAGTAAAAAAAGAGGCTAAACTGTTCCAGGTTTCTTTTTTTTCTTGTGAGGTGGATGACGAGTCACTGGCGCCGACCGAGACTGAGGCGTCACGTCTCTGATCCACACAATAAAACTGAAGACGTGCCGGTGCTGCCAAGGAGCGGCAGCGTGTGGGGCTTTAAATCGTGCAAAGGCACGCCTGCACACCAAAGGAAACGGCTGAAATCTCCCACCTGAGGCAAATGAAAACAATCAGGAGGAAAACTCAGGTGGGAGGGCAAACCTTTTATCCTGCACAGGAGAGGTGCCCAACCTCTTTCTCCAAAAGCCACGACTCAGATTGCAGCGCTGCTGCAGAAACAAGTAGTCTGTTTTATGTCGGGGGTTAAAACTCTCTTCTCTTCTCACTGAAAGGAGCCAGTGACTTCTATCAAAGGATGCACAGCAGAGCAGAAACCAGATGATGGCTTCTCAGAGCCATCATCTGAGAAACTGTCTCTTTAAATCAAAGAACAGTCTGATGTGTGCGGCTACTTCAGCAGACATCTGCAAACAGCAGATGTCTGAAATAGAAGCAGACATCGCAGTCATGTAACAACAAAAGTGTGTCTGTTATGATCCTTGCTTGTTTTGTTTGTGTTTTGTTCATTTCTGAGTTCTCCGTTTTTGTTAGAATGATCTTGCCGTATTTAGTTCACTTCTTTAAGTTTATTTCTTATGTATTATGCATTGCAAAAAGAAAATCTTAAAGTATTTCTGTCCAGTTTCTAGTGTAAATATCTTATGTATATTTTAAAATCATACAAAACTAACTTCAAAGTAACTTTTCAGCAAGACAAAAGAGCTTATTTTTAAGTAAAAATACTAGTCCCACCTATAACATGGGATAAATGTCTTGTAATAAGTGAAATAATCTACCAGTGGAATTTTCCATTACAAATGTGTGCAAAATTTTTGTTAATATAAAACAAAAACTACAATTTTGCATTTGCAATGATTCCATTAAATAAGAAACTAAATAAAATTAAATATGAATAAGTTTGTTCAAGCTATAAAATTGCTGTGTCATTTTCTTTGCACTTCCTCAGGGCTTCTCCCAGAAAACTTGATAATTAGACATTAAATTTGAAACTATCACTAGATAATTATTTGTTATTGTGAGAATTATAAACACCAACTACAAAGCTTTAACAAAAGCATCTCTAAGGCGGCCATTTCCAAGCTGCAGAAGCAAATCAGATGAGCTGGCTCAGGGGTTGGCACAATGCTGGACTCTCTGGCAGCCGTGGCAGAGAGGAGAACATTATAGAAACTCGAGGCTGTTATGGACAACGCCTGCCACCCTCTGCACACCAGCAGCCAGGAAAGCAGGTTCAGTGGGAGGCTGCGTCTTCCAGCGCGCAGAACCAACAGACTGAGGAACTCCTTTGTCCCTCGTGCAATGAAACTCTTCAACTCCTCACTGGAGGCGAAGGAGGGATAACAGGAGTACAACAAAAAAAAGCACTGCTATTTTTTGGAATCATTAAATTGAAAGGCTTTCCAATTTTTGAACACCTTTTGTCCTGGTTTAAATCTGGTCCTTTACAAACAACCATACATTAAAAAAACTGAGATCCATTGCTTTCAGGACCTGGAGTGATCAATCAAAGTGAATGTTTACCTCTGTGGACACTGCATGAACCTGAACTGCAGCCGGCTGAGAAAACATCTGGGGGTCAGCGGCCCGTAAGGTGAACTCACCAGTCCTACACAAAGAGCAAAGGAAGAGACATCACAAACAACACAAAGGCAGCTGATTCAAACCGACAGAAAAGGTGAAATTACTCTGATTGAGCCGCTCTTTAGACCAGGATGTGTCTTGAAATGAGTCAGCTGAGGCTAAAGGTGTGAGCGATTAGACCTAATCACCTCAGAGCTGGAGAGGAAACGAGGACAGTAACCCACCACAGCTCACATCAGCAATATGTCACCATCCTGCCTCATCATTAAAGGTTTATTAGGGCCGGAACAGCCGGTCTGAGCACCAACTGGAGCAGGATAGACGTAAATCACCAGGAAGACAGTGTGTGATACAACCGGTTTAAATTATGTTAATATTTTATAATAATCATTTGAATACATTCAGGTTCCTTTGAACTATTCAAGATATTTTCATCTGATTGGCTGGAAACATTTTGATCCCCAGTACAAATTCTCACTCATCCACAAAAAGGCCAATTGACGTGATAATTCAAAATATGCACCATGTTGTATTCGATTAAAACAAAATTAAAACCAAGACGCCATCTTGGATGTTTTCTAATGCAAAATACTGTTCACAAACCTGTTCTTGATCCCTAATTAAAACACAGTTTAAAATATTCTGAGAGTTTCTACCTGAAAATTCCCTGAAATCCTGCAAAACCAGGCAACTGAGCAAAATGCGAAAATTCCACTGAATTAATTTGGGTTCAGTTTGTAGGGAAACCCAGACTTTCCTATCCAGCACCTCTGGGTGCCGGTAGAAAATAAATTAACATTTGAGAGCCTAAACCTATTTTTATTACAGGCTTCGCTCTGTGTTTATAGATGCTTCTGAAATAACCACCGAGTTTCTCAAAAAGACATAAAAAGCCAAGCTAAAGCACACAGGTCTGATCGGCAGATGATGCAGCTCGTTTTAATACAGCTGTGAGTCTGCAGGCGTTATCCAGCACTCCACATAATTTGAAAAATATGGCAGTAATATGGAGATTTAATCTTATTTGGGTGGCTTACATTCGGCTGTCTCTATTAAGCTAAAAGCCTTAAACTGGGCAGCAGATCATATTTTGCTCATTTATTGGTTTTCTGCTGTATTAGGCCACACCAGCTGCATCACGACTGACTAAACTGTTTATTAGGTTTATTGTCACTGGATAAATGGACACTGGAGTCCAACACAGAACCGAACAGACTTATTTCAGAGCAGCTGCAGTGTAAAAGGAAAACAAAAATCACTCTGATGTGTTTTCTGTGTCATCAGATTTGGGTTCAAAGCAGCAAAAAAAGAAAGAAAAAAGCAGAACATAAATTATTTACACCTCATTTTTATAGGATCCAGTATAGGATAGCTAGACAACAAACGGATACAATAAATATATGGCAATAGATAAATAGAATATTTATTATGTAGAATATTCACTGAACTCTGATCTGGAACCACACAGCATTCTGGGAGATGTAGGCAGGGGACAGATTTTAGCCAAGAGAAAAAGTAAGATAAAATCTAGATATGTTTCAGTTGTTGTTTTTTTGTCACATAAATTTACCAAATTAAGCTAATCTGATCTGATACATAAGTAAACATGGCTTTATTTTAATAAACACAACATAATAGATGAATATCCAGTCCAGAAACAACTTAGCATTTCAGAAAAACCGTTTGTCCGCCATCACAGTTGGCCATGCTAACTAGCTTGAGCATTTCTGACAGGCTATGCTGGCCTAGCAGAGAGCAACAGGGTGAGTAGTAGAGGGATGAGCAGCGGCACACTGATGGTGACTGACAGAGCTAAGACCCGCCTCCTGGCTCTGATTGGTTGTTTCGAATTAGCACTAACGAGGCAGAGTAGCTTGATTCTTTCATAGATTATCTGTCTCATACCATTCTTTTAAAAGTTGCATTCTGCAGCTGTAAACATCTGACCCAGTTACCTGGCTTTGTTTTTCAGGTGTGTGAAATGGACCCGACCACGCTTCAGCTGTGCCCACGTGAAGGTGTCGTCTTTGCGTAGCTCTCGCCTCGTTTTCCCTCCATTTTCTTCCTCCTCTGTTAACAGGACCAGACGGCCGTTGTTTGGTTCCTGAACAAGCTGGAAGATCATCCACCCAGAAGAACCGTCGGGGTCCCTGACCTCCATCAGCGAAGGCAGCAGAGGGACGGAGCCTCCGATGGGAACCAGCAGGGACCCGTTGATGTGGAGGACAGGGCTGTGGTGGTTCACTGGGGAAAACAAAAACCACAAAATCACATGTGGGGTTCTTCAAGGCTCCATCCTCAGACAACTTTTATGCAATACGCTGAGATTACATGGTGCTACAGCACGTCTTGTATTATCTATGCTGATGGCAAACAATGACCACATTGCAGATGTCAGCAGCTTTGTTTCCACATTTATTACAAAACATTTTTTACGTACTTAAGTGAAATAATTTGCCAGTAGAGCAAAGTAAATTTTCAGTAAAATTAATGCATTATTTATTATTTTTCTGAAAAGTTGATTGTAAGTTAGTTTGGTCTTATTTTAAGAGTACCAATATACCATGTACCATCAAAAGTTAAGTTTGTCATTTTAAAGTGTTGAATCCTTAATTCTGTGGATAATTTCGCAAAAACAACAAATGGCTGAATTATTAACATCCTTTGGCGCCATAACTTTTAATAACTTTATTATGTGAACAAACTTTTTCACGTGTGATTTCAATTGCATTTCTTATTTAATGGAAACACAGCAATGGCAAACTTGTGTCCTTTTGACAGCAGAATGTCAAAATATAATGGTAGATGCAGTTTTAGTGTATCTATAATTTCAGAGGCTAAAGATTGACCTCAAACTGGCACAACTGAGGCTAAAAACTAAAAGACGCCCAGCAAACCTCGGTGTTGCTGCATGCTCAGACATAAAATTTAACATCAACAAAATGTTTATTACTAAATCTGTATATTACTATCATAAATAATAAATTATTTATTGTTGCAAACCAACTAGTCAGGGTAGAAAATCCATGAGATTCTTTCAAATTTTCATGTTAAATGTGTAAATATATATATCTAGGGGTAAAAACTACAGAATGCATCGATCTAAACCACATTTCCATTATTTTTAATAAAGAGCTGAACCCTATAATCACTGTAATTAGTACATTTTAAAACCTTTCAAATGGTACAGCTTAATGGATAAAATGAGAGCCAGGCAGTGTTGTGGGTGTGAGTGGGTGCTAGGGGTGAGAAAATGCAGTGAAAGGGAAACGGGTGGGGGAGGGGCGCTTCACTTCCGAGAGAAATAGCGGCGTGAAACAACTCGGTGCTGGTGTGGCATTTTAGAAACAGGCTTTAATTGGAGCTGGCTGAACTTTACACGTGAACTTTTTAAAGATCAGCTCTTTTTTCAGATGCTTCGATGTAATCTCATTATATCACCTCTAATGATGCCAACAGTCACTCTGAAACCTCAAACTTTCAGACATGTAATTATTATTACAAATGGGAACAACTTCATAATTTAACGCACCAGTGGAGGGGGGTGTTATTTATTTATTTTTTTATTTGGTGGTGAAAATATTTTTTTTAAACTTTTCTATCCTTTTCTTTTTGATTGAGTCATGAATTAGTACAGGCCTCGAAGCTAAAACTGTTCATTATTTCAGAAGAAAGGGACATTTATCTCAAAGGGAACACAATTACATATTTTTCTCCAAGAAATAAACTTTAAAACGTTTTTTTTATAAATCGTTTCACAACTGCTGCCTTCCCGCCATAGGCCTGCGGCAATGTCACTTATAGGTTCACAGCTTCTAAAGATAAATGAAAAAAACAAGTGCAAGGCTCCTTAAATGACTAAAATTCACAGTCAAAGCTTTAATCTTTGTGATTCACAAAGACAGATTTAATCTATACGTCACACAGTTAATACTAGTTATCTATCTTAATAGATTTGTGAGTCAGTCATTGTGCTGCTGTCATAATAAAGTTTTGCAAACTGTCATCCATTCTGAAATATAAAGACATTCAGAATAAATGTGAAACAATTGAGGTGATCTAACTGCAATATAATAAGACAAACTATGTCTGTGGTTGAGCTGAACCTAATGGAAAAAAGATTTGTTGTGTTTTTGTAGCCATAAAACGAGAAAGTTTTAACCATAGCCAGAAGGGCTTCATCGTCTCTTTTTCTGTGAAATCATGCGAGTGGAAGAATATCAGCGTTCACTGAACTCCTGTATTCACTTAGATAAAAAATGGTAAACCCACATGGCTATAGGATATCTTTTCCGCCATTTTGTAAGTTGTCCAACTCTGAACAGTAGGTAGCTTAACTGCAATTAGTTGTTAGATTGATTGATTGGAAAAGATAAACGTTTATTAGCTATTCAATTGATTTGAAATAGCTGTAAGGTTGACTCAGTCCAGTAGGTGGCGCAATGCAGCTAGACGATAGTTGCTAACCACCATAAAATGTCAAAAGAAGTAGTACGGTTTACTCTGATTAGTAGCTAGCTTGACTATGATAAGCTACCCTCTTGGCTCTTAGCACTTGGCAAAGTGCTAAAAACATACATTATTTAAAATTTTTTCATTTTTTGACAACCCTAAACACTGTTTATGTAGAAGAAATTTAGCTCTTCCATACACCTGGTTGTCAATAATTAGGTAAAACGCTGCTTTGGGTGTTAGCTTACCTCTCATTAGCCGTTAGCTTGATTATGACTTCAAACACAGCTCAGATTAGGTCTCAGTTTAACACAAAGTAAAGGTTGGCCTTGAATATAGCAGATAGCTTTTTATTTATTACTACTTTTTTTTTTTATTAGTTAAATCTCAAATATCTGAACTATGATCAAAACACTGACTGCTACCGGAGATTCTTCCTGTCCAAATAACCACCATTCACATCGACTCTGGTAAGTTTTAACCACATTTAATTTTCCTTTGGGATGAATAATGTGTTTTTAAATGTGAACTTAATGTCTGATCAGACTAACTGTAGTTTTAGTAGCTGGTAGCGTGTTAATTAGCTGTTAACTTCGCTTTTACCTTTACTCTGATCTACTGCTTTGTCATTTTTCAGCCTGTTTTGAATATATTTTACCATTCAAATGGCTAAAAACACTAAGATCTAATATTTTGCTTTACTACAAGTTTTCAGGTGCCTGTAGATTTTGAAGCTGCGACTTTATTTAGTTTTAAAAGAATGCAGTAGCATTTTCTTTTAAAAACATATACTTTCTTTATAAAGATAAAGATTCTTTATCTCAATAAAGATGCTTTCATCTTTATTTTTAAAACAGAATATATTTAGTTTTTTATAGTACTACCAATGCAAAGCCTCAGTTTCTCTCCATGTGTAACTCCCAGGTTATAAATTAGTCTGTTATCCTTGACATCAAACTGTATCTGATCACTTCTCAGTCTTAGATCTGAAGAAAAACTTTAAAAAATAAAAAAACGGCAAGATAATTTCAGCTTATTATTTAGTGATCCGAACATGGTGCTATATGTGGACATTAACTTTAAAAGCTCTCTGGATTCAATCAAACAATGATGCTGTGGGATTTATAACCCTGGGAAGCTCAGGATAACTTTCCTGTTGCCTAGCAACAAGCCAGTGACGTCCCTGCATCATCTGCATCATTTATGAGCCCATCTCAGTTTTATTTGCTTGATATAACTGCACACATGCACTGAAGTTATGTAAGACACCGAATGTCAATATTTATTTAATATTAAACCTTGAGAAGTAAAAAAAAAAAACTACTATAAAATACATTTGTGGCTTATTTTATTTATTTGACCAAACAGAGTATTTCTCTGTAAAGATTCATTTGCAACTTCGACATAAACACTGGAAAACAAGCTAATTGGGGCAGGAGATCACAGCTGTAACTTTATATATTTATATTCATGCAGATTTTTGTTCATTTTTACTTGAGGTTTTCCAGCTGTCTTGAGTCTGCAGACAAGTTTACCAGCCGATGCTTAGTATGTTCAGCAGGCAGGAGACCTGGGTCGACTAGCTAAATGTTTTTTAATCACTCACAGATATATGAACAGAGCCATAATGAAAAATGGTTGAAGTTTACAAAATGTAAATAAATGCCTATTTCATTATCCCCTTCAGCACAGAAAACGTGGCACCAGTACAAACTTATACATCCAGATTAACATGAATAAATAAATAAATAAAAGCCAAAATCTGTGTATGTTCATAAGCAGCCTGGGAGTTTCTACAGTTTTTTTTAAATCATCAATTTTTTAATTAAAAGTGACCAATTAGGGGTCTTTAAACAGGTGAGGACAAGTCTATGGGATATAAAAAACACATCTAGTCTATATTTTCTTCTCATGTGAGTTAGAAAAATCTCCTGTAACCAGCAGGCCTGGACATGTTCTTGCAGTAATGTTATTACCATGGCAGGTTCTCGTCTTTTGATCGGCATAATATCCATGTCCACAGTCGGGGGTGCAGTAGCCTTCCATAAGGAACGTCTGGTCACGACACACTAAGCAGCGTCCAACACCGTCGCACTGGACGCAGTCCGAGGAGCAAGCTGAAGAAATAGGTATTTTATTTTATAATTTACTTTTTTTTCCTTGCAGAACATTCATCGCAAAAAGAAAGCTAAATATAAATATATTTTATAAATATATATATATATATAATTAAATAAAATAATTACATTTTATAAATAAAATAACACTATATTAAGAACATTTTAAAACAAAAATAAATATATTCTTTATATTTATTTTGTATATATGTACATGTACATAAATATTATTTAAAATAACATTTAAATTAAAAATATGTTTATGTTTAAAAAAATCATATTCCATATATATGTATTTATTTGTGTTACAAAAATAAATTATTTTCACTAAACTAAAGCAATTAACTAAAACCATAAAATAAAGTTATATTACATTTCAAAAACATTTTAAAGTGATGATTCTTACACTTGCAGACTTGCGATGATGAATCCAGGTAATAATTTCTGCCACACTGAAGGACACACTGTCCCTGCAGAGTGGCGTAGGGAGGCTGGCATTCCAGACATTTTCCAGGACTGTTGCACTTCACACAGTGATCGTCACAACCTGAAACAGATAGACGCACGAAAAGAGAAAAACATGTCACTGGATATCCCCAAAAATCTCAAACTGCACAAATCTACATAAACACTCCATGTGAAAAACATGCAGCAAAACAGAGCGCGCTCAACGCAACCAAGGAGAGGAGAGCAGCTTTCTGATGCAAACCTTTAAATAATCACTATCTCAGAGATTTTTTCACTCTGTAATGATTTTTCCCCGTCAAAGTGTCACAGACTCGACATTGAACATCACTGGTCAGGATTCCTTCACTATCAGAAAAACTTGTCATCCAGTGTGAAGAAGCTGTATTTCAGCCATGCTTAGAGTAAATATTCACAAGCTTCAGTTTCTCCCTTGGTAGCATAACTATGGATTCATCTATTGTATAAAACATGAATACACCGAATGGTTGTTGCTCTTTCTCAAGGATGTTGTGTGTGCAGAGTTGAATAGACATCATTGTATAACCAAAACCTCAATAGATTCTCCACTGGTTAAAGTAGACCTGTTCTCACATAAACCACTATGAAATTTCTTAGATTACAGTTGTAGTAATATAGTCATAAAGGCCAGGAATCTTGAATTTTGGGATTCACTCATTGTATAAATCTAAGCCTAATTTTTTTCAAAGGTGACCTATTATGACTCCTTAGTTAGAATAGGTCTATGGGCTATACAAAACATGTTTTTAATTTTTTTGCACAAAATTATTCTTAGATAAGGATATTTCAGTCTTCTCAGTTTTGAGTGAGTTGCTTTAGGGTCTCTGTCACTTTAAATCCAGATAAACTGCTGCTGGCCTCAATGTTTACACTCCCACATCACAATGGCTGAAAACAGATGTGCAATTAAACAACAATACATGTTTGAAAAGCAGAAGTGGAGCCTGATGCACAACCAGCAAGAAAGCTGCAAGTGGTTTCTGAATAAGTCAACAGCAAAACACTTCCAGCGGCCTTTAGATGCGTTTCCTGTACAAATGTGAGCAAAAGTTTATCAATAATCTACTAATGTAAAAAACAACAACACAATTTAAAATTTAAATAAGAAACACAATTTAAATCCTATGTGAATAATTTTCAGTCAGTAAATAAATCACTGCCTCCTAGCGCCAAAACAGAGATTTTTCAAAATTTCCGTATTTCCATTAAGCAAATTTATTGTCAAAATGTCAAATTTCGCATTGATATGGTAAATGGAAACAGTGATCAAACCAGCTAGCTTAGCATGCTGGAACTCCACCTGGCTGTGGCCTTTGAATGTGACTAGAGGTCTGGAGGATCTGGAGGTTTTTGAAACAGCTCGTTTTCCAGACACCATAAAACATTAACTTATTGTCAAAAAAGAGCTGAGTGTTTCTGGGTTGTTTCTAGAAGCAGTTGAGATAAAAATTAAAATCTAAAATGGTGGGGAAAAAAAAAATCTAATTTGTGTAAAAAAAAAAAAGATTATTTTCTGTTGGTGAGAAAAAAGGGAAAGTATGTCAGAAGAAAACAACTACCATCTGCAAACATATAAATGGGGCAGCTTGAGCCTTTACAGGTGTTAGAGATTAAAAGGAATATAATCCCAAAATGAAAACCTTTGGGTCAGAGTTCAGCTGCATATTCAATATAATTTCCATTTGTAGTTCAAGCTCCTCCTTTTTGCTGTACTGCTGCTGATTTACTGCTTTAATCATCGCCAGATCATAAAAACTTTACAGAAGATCAACCTCAGGTGATAACATGATGAAACCAGAGGCGGTTGCATCAGCTGCACATGAGGACAGAGGTGCTTATCTGCTTTCTGTGGGACTGACTGAAGCATCTGTCTCCATCCTGATAAGATCCGACGGAGCAGCCCTGGGCGCACACGCCGTCCTGCAGCACGTATCCCTCCATGCACTGCAGGCAGTCGGTTCGCAGAGGGCCTTTACAGGCGTTGCAGCTCCAGTCACACTCTGGGAACAGGAAAGGGAAATAGAAGAACATTGGGAACATTGGAAAAAAGTTGATTTAAATGCATGTCTGTTGTTTATCACAAATCAGCTGCACATCTGGAGTGTTGGTGGCGTTCTAAATAAAGCCTGGCATGAGAATCAAACCCAATAAGAGCAAAACAATCCTCCTTCTGTTAGAGTGCAGGTTTGAAATGAAGCGTCGCATCGATTTCAAAGAAGAAAGGATTTAATTTTACAGTGAATGAAATTCTAAGCCAAGACACGTAGTCAAAAATAGACCTGACTGTAGAGATCATTGCATGTAGTTTGTTTCAAACAATCACAAAACTTTAATTTTGGTCAGAAAAAAACTGGTTTGTTGAATGTGAGACAGAAAATTCAGGTATTACTAAACCATTGGACAAAAAGAAAAAAAAATATATATATATCTGTTTTTTTTATTTGGCATTTAGTTTTTCATCTTTTATTTCAAAACTAATTAAAATGAACAAATCTAACATTTAGAGAAAAAAACCAATCTGACTATTGTTAATATAAAATGTAATTTACTGCCATTTAATTGAATATATATGCAATATCTATCCTAAAAGAAATATCTCTGGGTTTGCAGATCTATGAAAACAGATGACAATCACAAAGTCCATTTGTCTACTTCATGAATTACTCAGAGATTTTCTTTCCTTTGAAAGCTCTCAGCGGTTTTCAGAGATAACATGTTTGTCTTGTTTTCTCCAACTGAAGGCTCATCACAGGTTCAAGTCGAGGCTGCAGCTGGCTGGGGGCAAAACGCATCATGACCTGGAAAACCAACTGTTTCTGCTTGCACTGCAAAAACAAGAAATCCTACCAAGTATTCCTGCTCTAGTTTCTAGTGCAGATATCTTAGTGCACGTGAAATAAGAACAAACCAGCTTATAAATTACTTTTTAGTAGATGTTTTAAGTAAAAAAAAAATCTTAATTTTAGTGAAAAAGAAAATTTGGAAAAATATCTAGTTATAAGTGAAATATTCTCCCAGTGGAAGTAGTATTTTGAAATTATTAGTGAGTTAAAACAAGCTCATATTTCTTCCCGAAAATCGAATTGTAAGCTAGTTTTGTCTTATTTAAAGTATGCTAGGATATTTCCACTAGAACTAGACCAAAACTAGTTTGTGTTTTTGCAGTTTGTTGTCTCAGAAAAATTTGACCTGGATGCCACACAAGTGTTTCCTCTTAGCTGCTAATCCTGAAACAAGCTAAAGAAGCAGCAATCTCGTCTCCATTGAGACGGTTCCTTAAGGTCCTCCTAACCAAGAAAATCTCATTAAACTGGAACCAAACCAGAGGTAAAGGGAAATACAAGAGGTGGTTTTCTATAATCTACAGGGGATATTTGGTCCCTTATATTCTTTACTTCATTTAATTATGGTTTGAGTAAAGGAAAGTAAAGCTAGAATGGATTCCAATATGCACAAGCTGCCTGGGGGGACCATAAATACTCCTCTCTAACGGGAATAAGCCATGAAAGCCATTTCATTTTCTTGCTCTACACTAAGCAATATTCCAGACTTGGTCTCGTGTCATAAAACAATTCTCCCCAGATCCCAAATAAGGGAAAATAAAATTAAAAAAGGTGAGAAACAATGGTTTAAAAGATATTTCTAAGGATTTAGGGAGTCAACTTTGCTCACAAGTGAAGAAACCATGAACCAGTGGCGATCCTTCCTACCAAAATTATTCTAAGAGAGTCTGATCCAGGCACTGACAGATGAACAATATCTAAAGCTCTGCAGGTCTGACTGCCTCAGTCAGGGTCAGAAGGATTCAACAATAACAAATCATAAGAGACTGAGAAGAAATGGCCTTAATGGGAGACATCCACACTGCAAAAACACAAAATCCTACCAAGTATTTTTGCTTTAGTTTCTGGTCCAAATACCTTCAGACACTTGAAATAAAACTAACTTACAAGAACGTGTTCATGATTATAGGAGCCTTTTTTAAGTCAATAATTCCTTAATAGTATTATTTCTATTGTACTGAAGATTCTTATGATGGCACTTGACAAAATGACCAACATATTTGATGTTTATTAATGATTTTAACATTGGCATTTGACAAAATGTAGTGTCTTGTCTGGTTTTCACAGCTGTTGGCTACATGATGTGTTTGTCATCATAAAGCTTTACATAAAACTGCTTTTATGTAAAGCACTTTGAACTTTGTCTTGTTGCAGAAACGTGCAATTCAAATAAACTTGACTTATTTCAATTATGAAATTTTTACAATGTTATAAATGAAATAATTTCCTAATGGACTTAATATTGACTTTTTCGACAGCATCAAGGAATTATTTACTTTTTTCTTGCAAAAAAGCTAATTGTAAGTTAGTTTTGTCTTATTTATTTTCACTATATAGACAAAAATAAGTTGTTAAAATGTTTTTTTTGCTGTGTAAAACCAGATCCACAGTTGATTAATCTGAGAATATACAGTAGAATATTCTTTTGTCCAAACTGAAGATATTTGATCTTTTCTTGCTTAGCCAAACAAAAAAAAAGGAACATTCAATAACATCTTAATGCTTCAATGTTGGTTTTAGATAAAGCAGAACTCTCTCGGATTAAAAAACTGTTTGTTTGTGTTTGTCATTATCTCAGTCAGTGTGGGTTTGAGAAGCACAGCAAACACACAGACCAGCGTTTAGAAAGGAAAACGTGTTTTGCACTTGATGATGATGACGCCTGATGACAAGCAGAATCAAAACAATCAGTGGCAGAAGGGCTGGGGCTTCCCTCCGGCAGATCCAATCAAACGCTAACCAATGTGACAACAAATCAATTCTCAGCTTCTTTATTTAAACTTCAAACTCAAAACAGAAAACACAAACATGCCAAGTCCTGCCACTGAACTTCTCCATATTACTTATAAATGTAGAGCTGAATACTTCCCAAGCCGGTGGTTGAAACAGCTGAATTAATTCTTGACTGAACGGAGAATTAGCCGCTAAAGCTTTATGAGAATAAAGCTCACCAAAAATGGAGCCAACTGTGGCAGAGTAATTATCAAGACACTCACCAATAATAAGTACCTTCACTCAACCTTTAGTTTATCATGTAAGAAATAAACTCGTGTTGTTACATTTGGAATGATTTTGCGTTAAACTCACCCTCAATTCAAGAATAGAACAATACTGACGGTCCAGCAGGCATTTCATTTTATTTTATTTTTGTCATAAATATTGTTAAGTACAATAAAGTTGTTCTTTTTTGTCAGGTTGTAGCCACATTTTTTCTCAAATTTAGCTTTTATTTAAAGTTATTAAAAGTGAAACCACAAACATCTAGTAACATTTAATAAAATAAAGACTTGCTATATCTATTCATTAAAGATGCCAAATTATAACTTTTTAAAGTGGCGAGTGTTTATTTTTGGGGGAGAAAATAAAAAAATTTGGGAAATGCATGCATGTTACAGGTCTATGATGATTTATAGATCACTATTCTACTAAATCTGAATCTGGCTGTTTGTTTTATAAATATATATTTTTCATTTAATGAGGAAAACCTAAAAAAATGATAAAATGATGTTAGTATTAAAAAATTGATGGTCAAATGTTTGGACATCACTGTTGGAAGTGATTCTAAATGTTGGATTTTATAAAAGCTATGAAAATATATCTTTAATATATTTAATAGGAGTTAATTATTTTAATAAAAAATGGAAAAGAAGCTAAAAATACAGCTTAAGAGGGTGGAATTAAACTCAACAAGACATCTTACTTTACTGTAAACATAATTAAAATAATTTTAAATTATTTTATTACTACAAAAAGGAACCATTAAGTCGGATAATAATTTTTCTCAAGAGTAATAAAATCACATGTTCATATTATATTTATTTTATATCAGTAATGAGAGTTATTGAAAATGTTACTTAAAAGATCAATATGTAATATAAACTGTGGCCAAAGAGTGAAATTTAAAGAAACAAATGTGTAATATTTGTCAATCTGTAGCAGCAAAAATAACATCCAATTATCATAAAGCCTAATCAGAGACGAAGCTGTTAAAAAACCTGAACCGTAACATAAATATGCAGAGTTTCCAGCAGGACTATTCCACAGTGAAATGAAGTTGTTGAATCTCAAAAAAGAGCCCAGGATTTTACATGAAGCTCATTAATCAACTTCACAAGCCAAAAGAAGATGTAAGAGAGTTAAAATGCACACACAATGGCTGGGATTTGCATTTCTGGTTCCAGAGTTTATTACGTGATTGATGGGCCCCATAAAATCGCCGTGGCCTCCTGCACTACATGCAATATGGATGGAGAGTAATTTATGAACGCCATAAAGGCCGCATACTGTATCCTCATTACTAATCAGGAGCATCCTCCGCTGCGCGTGCGGCGGCGGTTTCCGTCTTACCTCTGCAGGCGCGGGTCGTCGCGTTGAGGTAGTACTGATGGGCGCAGCTGTCGTACTGACATTCTCCGAAGAGCAGCACCTTGGTCGGGTCACGGCAGGACGTACAAACCCCAGCGGTGTCGCATGTCAGGCACTGTCTGTCACAGGCTGCCAAAAACAGAAAGAAAGGTCGATACAAAGGTCAGCGCAGACATGAGAGAGGAAAAGATCAATAAAACACCTGCAGCAACCTAACGCTGTATGGATTTACCTTTGGTCAACCTTTAGGTGTGATTTTACTGTGCTGTTGTTTTTTTTTTTTTTACTTACTTTACCTTTTTTCTTATTTTCTTATCATGGCACACTTTGTACAATTTTATGCTTCCTTTTTTTTTCTGCAGCTTCTAAAACCAACCAAGCACAACAAAATCCACCTTCACAGTGAGAAAATGTTTTTGGACTCTGAAAAACGAGTCGTTTCAAAAACCTCCCAGTTGTTAAATCACACTATGCCGTTACCTAGCAACCCCAGCAGAATTCTGCCTGTCACCTAGCAACCCAAGTAAAGCTCCAACACATGTGGTCAGCTAGTTTCACTGTTGTATGCGCCGTAAAATGTCTGCTGTTTGTACTTACCATCCAGAAACCACTTGCTGCATTCTTATTGGTTGTGCAGGAGGCTCTACTTCTGCTTTTCAAAGATGCACGATTGTATAAGTGTGCATCTGCTGGCAGCCATTTTCACATGTGAGTCTAAACAATGAGTTGGGGGGCGTGGCCAGCAGCAACTTATTTGGATTTAAAGTGACAAAGGCCAAGATTAAATCTGAATAATCTTTCCTACAGTTGGAATTTTTGTTGTTTAACCAAAAAATAAACAATTGTCTTTAACAGTATGCATAATATACTATTGTGGAAGACAATCAAATAACTTATTTATCAGGAAAACAGCAATGTCAGTGAGGCAAATGTCCTAAAAATATGTCTACAGTCAGATTCTTGTGTGTTCCATAAACAGGAGAACAGAATACCAAACTAAATCTTAAGTGTTTTATTGAAACAACCCAGACTTATCATTTTAATATTAAGTCTCATTTCTCCCACAGCTCCTCATTAAGTGTATTTTTGGGAAGAAAGCTGAAAACCCCATGAACAATAAATTCCCTTTTCCTGCCTGTGGCACCAGGTTTCTCTAAGTATGAAATGTTTTATGTAGTATAAATTACATTTTCTCAGTAAAGTTTAATATTCATGAAATCACTTAAAAGGTGAACTGTTAAAATCTTGCTAAAATCATGTCATTTTTATTTTGAAAATAAAAATGACATGATTAAAAAGAAAAACATAAAAATTAAAACAAAAATGGTGTACAAACAGCAGATAAGTGCGACCAATCAGCAGGGATGTTTCCTACCTTGACAGACCCGATGACCGTTATCATAGTAGCCAACGGGGCATCTGGCAGAGCAGAGGCCAGAGGGCAACAGGACGCTTTTGGTGGGACAGGAAGTACAGGACAAAGGCCCCGCCCCACTGCAGGACTCACATGAAGGATGGCATTCTGGGAAAAAAAAAGTGAATAAATTTAGATTAAAATGGCAGAAAACGATTAGGATAAAACAAAGAAAAGTAGAGCAAAAAGCAAAAATGTGAACATTATTATCTAAATATGTTACATACCAATAAAATCTCGCTCAGAGCTGAGTAAAAGTTCAAAAAGCAAAACTTCTGTTTTCTAAATATGAGTTCAGAAGTCCATCACTAACTGTACAAAACTTTCAGACAGATGGAAAACTTTTGATCAAAAACACTTTTCAAGATCATAAGAAAGTCCGTCTTTTTGGAAAGTAGATCTAAGAAACGTGATGAAAGGGATTTCTCTAACCTTTCATCAAATTTCAGCTTAAAAACCTTTTAAGACTGAGCTTTCAGAAATACATGATAGTTCGATAAATAGGTAGAGTAGATAAAACCTAAAGGTTTAGACAGCCAAAAACAGATTAAACATAGACAAAGGGAGACAGAAAGCTGGATAGACAAAAAAAACAAAATAGATATAGAAATGAAGACATATATTTGTATCATTTGGCCAAATGTCTCAGAGTTGCCATTTTTTCAGATTTTGGAAACAGTCCAGGTGAAATACAATAACAGCAGCACACTTTGCTTTAATCACAACTAAGCACAACTCTTCCAGCATAGGTTGAAATACTTCAATAACCTATGATGCTTTTTTAGGGTGTCTTGTCACTTTAAATCTAAATAAGCTGCTGCTGGCCATGCCTCCCAACTCAACGTTTAAATTCACACGTGACAATGGCTGCAAACAGATGCATAACTATACAACCGTACATCTTTGAAAAGCAGAAGTGGAGCCTCCTGCACAACCAACAAGAATGAAGCAAGTGGTTTCTGGATGTTAAGCCAACAACAAAACACTTTGTCTTTTCCAGCAGCCATTGTACAGCGGTAAAATCAGCTGATCAAACGTGCTGGAGCTCAGCCGTGGTTCGTTACTTTACGAAGGTTTTTTACACCCAAAACCATTAACGTTTTGCCAAAAAACGACTTGTGGTGATTTTTAGATTTCTAGAAGCAACAGAAAACCAAATCAAAGTACAAATATGTGCAAAATGTGAATGTTGCACTGGTGGTCTCCTTTAAAAATATTTAATGATTGCAGCAAACAACTGTTCCACAGAGTGATTGCTTTTAATAAAAGAAGTGTTGAAGTGTTTTTGCCCAGCGCCCATGAAACACCAAATCCCCTACAGGAGAAAATCAAGGCTGGTTTAAATCTTTGCACTGAAAGACGTATCTCCACTCCAAGCTGTTGAATTATTACATTCCTATTAGAATAAATTTGTAAATGCATGCTCTTGAGTTAAAAATACATATTTATAATAATCAGTAATCACGATCAAGTGTATAATCATTGCAAGAGCCCTTCCACTCCTCTCACTCTCCTCGCGCCCTCCTTCCATCTCTGAGCACAAAAAAAAAAAAAACTCAAGAAAATTCAGGAAATCAGCTTTTGTTCAGAAGTCTGACGCAACACCAGCAGAAGAAAAGGCTGCATAGTATAAAATATTGCCACAGATGCATTGAATCCCACGTCTGTTGTTCAGTGTCCCGTTTTATCTCTGCAGCGTTGCTTCTTTACGGTGTGTGTTGGTGTTCGGCTGCTTCGGGCTCGGATAAATGAGCCTCCAGAGGTTTTGCGGCCCAAAGCCTCCTCCTCACATTTACATTTAAAATCTGCATGAAGACGCTGCAGCTCTGCGTGGCTGCGAGGCGCCCCGTCTTCTCTGCTGCTCACCTGCTGAATCGCAGGATGAGGACAGAGGAAATGATGATGATAATGACCCTGGACGATGAAGATAACAAAGCTAATGAGATTTAGGGCCATAAGAGAAAGAAGGGGGGATGATAGTGATGATGAGGCTAATGAGGAGGAGGAATTAGGGTAACGATCAGTCCTATAAGTATAAGGAGGATGAGAACAGTGATGGTTATTATGAGGATGATGACAATATTAACGACGAGGAGAATGGAGCTGAAAGGCTGGAATGAAAAGACGATTAAGAACAAGGAACAATGCCAAAATAAAGAGGAAGACTGTTGGGAATAGTGGGGAAACCAAAAGGTTATGATGAGGATGAAAGATTGGAGAAAACTATCAAATCTAAATGGGAAAGTATATTCAGAAGGCAGGAGTTTAGGTCGTTTGGTGCTCCGGAGGATGCAGGTGCATTAGCATAATGCCAGGAATGAAAAAGCATCACAAATTAACTGGAGCAACTGTTGCTGCTCATCAATCTGGAAAGAGTTTAACCCATTTCAGTTTGCGAATGGATGTCCCAGCATGACTAAGCTCCAACTCAGAGAGCACAGGTAACATTTGTAAAGTCAAAGTTCATAAAAAGTTAAAAATGGCAGCACAGTTTGCAAAGTTATGCTGCAAAAACACAAAATTTTACCAGGCTTTTCTGGTCTTGTTTCTTGTGCAAATACAGTATCTTAGTACATTTTAAATGAGACAAACTGACTTACAAGTAACTTTTCAGCAAGATATAAGAGTTTTGTTTTGAATCAGAAATTTCTTAATATTGATTTTAAAAAGTACTTATTTAATTTTCAGATTATTAAACTTATAGCAAAACATTTTTCTGATATTATAATTGAGATAATCTGCCATAGGAACAAACACTTTTTCACAACTATTAAGTAATTATTGACTTAAACTCCTACTTCTTGCTGAAAAGCTACTTCTAAATTAGTTTTGTCTTATTTAGTGTACTATTCCACTATTTCACTATTCGGTCTAGTAAAACCACAACTAGACCAAATAGTTTTACCTCTGTCAAACAAATATGTTATGACAATTATAATCAAATAATAGTGAAGGATGAGATCTGCATCATCGAGTGACACTGCAATAAACATCAAAGAGTCGAAACCAAACATATAAACCATCAATTTTCTGCAACATCCTCTAAAAAAAGGAAAATTTAATTTCCCCTAGAGACTCTGAATTTCACTCTAAAAAGTTAAAATCTGGAAACAAATGGTGGCTTTCTAGTAATTTGTTTAATTAATTTAAGTTTTAACAAGAAAAATTAAAAAATCTGCTCTTCACTTTGGATTTTGACTCAGCTTGCATGAAAATGCTGCACACCAAGAACATTTAAAGAATGACAAAAATTAAATATTTCAACTAAAAAATGTCAAAAGAATAGACGTTGGCGTTTCTTTGAGTCTTTGTTGTGGACATTTATTGTCACTTTTCTCACAAACATTTTGGAAAAAGGTTTGTGTTAAAAACCTTTGTGTGAAAGAGGGTTTTCTTTTTCGCTTCGTTAATATTCACCATTTCTTCTGCTTCCTGTCATCGGGTCAAGACAGAAACAAAGAGGGTCGAGAACCAACTTCCACCAAGTCAGTCAGATCTTCAACCGGCCGCATGAATAAAACATTGAGGTTCTGATGAGATTTTAGCTCAGTTTTACATTCAAACGGCTGCTGTCCCACCTCTGACCTTTTTACATTTGATAATGAGACAGGAGAGTGAGAGTCCTTACTGATGCAGGCTCCGTGCCACGCATAATGATCGGAGGGGCAGAAAGAGACGCAGTGATCGCCAAGCAGCCAAGTCCTCGCCGCTTTGCACCACAGGCACACGCTGCCAACGCCGGTCTGGAGGTCCGCCGTGCAGCGCTGGCAGTCGGAGCTGCACTCTGTGCGGGGAAAACACAGGAAAGAACATTTTTATTTCCTACTGTCCTCCTTTTTTGAGTTTTTTAGGTTATTTATGTAGAAGATTTTAGGGGAATAAAACTAACAATTATATGAGTATTACATTAGATTATTCTGACTATTAGCCAAGTAAACAGATGAAAAAAGTTAGATTTTTTTGTTTTACCACTTATGCCTCTTTTCCACAGTATTAGAAATACATTGAAAGATACAAATAATTAAATTCCTCTTTTAAATTAAATGCCATAACAGAGCATTAATTCAGTGAAAGTCCAATCACTTGTAAGAAAGCATGCATCTACATATAAAAAAATATTTACAACTTTTTTTTGATTAAGGAATATTAGGGCTGGACAATAAATCAGTAACAATATATGTTGCTAAATTGAAAAACCCCATAATTTTATAATTGTGGTGTTTCTGTTTGCACGTGAATACATTTGTTCACATGATAAGGAATTAAAATCACATTGCGCCTTCATCCTTCTACCTCTTCCTGTTATCTTCTTTGTCATTTCCACCAGTAGTAGCATCCTGTTGTTGATCACATGATTTAAGTGATGCAAAAGAAACATTTCCATTGGAGTTTCAAAATATATTCAGCTTTTTTGAAACTGACATGTTTCCATTAAGTACAATTTATTTTTAAAAGGTTAATGTAAATGCAGCTAAAGAGGTGATGTAAAATGTGCTGCATGTTCACCTTACTGAGAGTATCATTAGTAAAGATGTTTGAATCCTAGATGCTCCACTCTCCTTCACTTTCTGAAACCTGAATCTCCTTGTTGTCTCCCACAGCAGATAAGAGCTGACCCACATGCTTCAGACATAAGAACCCCCCAGCCAACCAGAATACTCTGAGATTAGCTCAACAATGGCCAACAGCTCGAGGCTTTTTATCAGATGGCGTCTGGGTTGTGGGATCTTTCAGTCGTTGGCCTCTGCAGAGATAACCATCAGCAGGGAGATGCAGAAACCCCTGAAGGTGACGGCTTATCTTTGGACAACAGAACAACAAAGACTGGCCACACATGGGGGCATTGGAGAGAAAAGGAAAGATTTTACTCTGTTGTTTTACTTTTACTTGATGAATAAAGTGTCCCAACAGATTCTTAATTAACTGCTTAGACATACAGAAGAAATACTCCCATGTCTTTTTCCTGCAATTTAACCAACACGAAACCCTTGTCGACATTTCTTTTTAGTTTCTCTGCGTTTCATGTTTTATGCAGCTCCATTTCCATTACTTTTCTATCCTTACCATGCTAAATTTAGAACAGTTAGAGCATAGCTCCTCTAAAAGAAACTGACACTGCTTACACCAACACATCAGCCGAGCCCTGAGGGGCAAAATCCTGTTTGCATTTCGTGTCAAGTCTTCAAAAAGCAGCAATCTGAAATGTAATCACCACTGGTGAGCAGACGGGAATGCTATTGTCTCTCATGCTATTTGCATTTTATCCCCCTGCACATTTTCACATGAGGATTTTGGCTCAATAAACATGATGTAAATATTCAGTAAACACTCAACTAATAAAGTCAAGATTAAAGGAGAAAAAATGGGTTAAAAACTGTAAAATAAATGAGTTTTCTGGTGACATACAGACATACTGATTCTGACCAAATGTGTGTAAACATTTGAATTTGGAAAGGCACATATGTTTTCTGGCATTTAGCAAATAGAAACTATTTAGATAGTTTTCACTAAGCTAAAACAAGAAAAGTTTGGTCTCATTTAACTTCAGAGAGTGAAAAAAAAAGTTGCTCATCTTTTTATTGAATGTATGCAAATATCAGGTTTGCATGTCTAGCAAGTATGGACTAAACACACTGGCAGAGATGATGAATGTATTCTGAGTGAATGAAAAACCGCTGCGCTTTTAGCAGTAACAGCAATATTTGTCGTTGCATCATAGAGCAATAACAGATACAGCTTACAAACGAGCTTTCGTTCACACAGCAGGCGAATTCGAATCCGACTTTTCACGGCCCAGATTCAGTCTTTCCACTCTGATTTGTGTCACTTCCAAATGAGGAACTAAATTGGACGTTTAGCTTTCAGTAACGGCCATGTTGCATTTTATCCTCAAGCCCGGTGATATTAGTTGTGCTTTCTTCATGTTCTTGTTATGATGTTGTCCCAATGCTGTTAGCTCCGATTCCTCAATAACTTAAAAAATGAATCCATAAACAATAAAACATTTTGCTGCTGTGTTACATTTACTTTCTTCTTCAGCGCCTGCGGTTCGCTTTGGGCTCATAGACCGTTCACACGAAAGTCTACTTGCGGTTGCATTAAATTCAAAACAAGAAACTCTGCAACAAAACAACAACAAAAAAACACAATTGTGCATCAAGACCTGTTATGTGAATGTTGCTACTGTAGCCAAAGGTGTTTCGCAGGGAACAGTCCTAGTTCTCCTTTCTTTGTTCAACAGCTGTAATACGTATTTTGATTCATAATTGTCACAATCAATTCAATTCAATGTTGGAACAGCTATTTTTACTATTTTCTCCACTGTTTGTTCAACTAGGCAGGGGTCTCAAACGTCAGTCCTCGAGGGCCGCAGCTCTGCAACTTTTAGATGTGGCTCTGCTGCACCACACCTGCATAGAGTAATTAGGTCATTAACAAGGCTCTGAAGAGCTGATCTACACAAGGAGGAGGTAATTGTTATCAGAGTAGTACCACAATATATCAATATAAAACTTTAAGTCCATATCGAACACCCTTTCCAAACTATGCTGATGATGCTGTGATATCAGAGTCAAGGTAATATTTGGTCTTCGTGCTGCTAAAATGATTCAATACCTATTGTAAGTAAGATTTTTCAGTATATATCAATAATTTGATAATATACACCAGATGGATAAATCTTTCCATATTAGGAAAAATATTTAAAAAGTATTCAAAACACTGAAGGCATCCCTGACATGCAAGATATGCACCACTACTGAAAATTAATCTCTAGTTTACTCGCATCTTAATAACCCAAAGATTTTTTTGTAATTCTGTTCTGTGAAAAAAGTGTTTGGGTCACCGGTTTAGTGGGTCTGGATTTAATTAAAAAACAACTAGAGGGAAAAGTTTCTTTTTAAAATCTTTTTCCGAAAATTTAGCTTTTAATTATTTGCATAATTCAGTTTGTTCTAATTGATTTAATTAAATAATGCATAACATTTATACAATTTTTTCTGTTGGGGTGGGGAAGGTGGTGTAATAATAAAGATAACCTCAGAAAAAATCAAAAATAAAAATCTGCAATGCAATAAATGGTATGTCAATGATGTGGTTTGTCCAGGAGGGGCGCCAGAGAGCATTAAAGCTTGCTTTAAAACATTTTATTCCTCCAAATTTTGTAGTTTTGTTAATCACAGAGTCATTTTTAACTATTTCTCTGCAAAATCATTCCCACATTCAAAGTTGTTTCTTTTAAAGTAAAAATATTCAATTATTCAACTAACTGAATCCGATCAGAGGAGTTAATGATTCTCTGAGGTTGGGAAAACATAACACAAAAGGAAGAGGAACAAATATTTGCAATGCCATCTACCACTCAAAATTTCCATACAATATAACTTTGCAACAAACTCGAATCAGCATTCCTGCTGCCAGCGCTCCGCAGGTGATCCCTCTCCCAGCTCTGAACAAATTGCTCCACATCGGAGATAAGATAACTCAGGCATCAAGGATTATTGACTGTGCAGCCTAAAACTGAATATAAAACTAAAATGGTATTGATTTTGCCCCTCAGATCCCTGTTTATAGGATAGTTACCATTTCTGAGGCACATAAAAAAATATTCTGGAGTTATAAATGTGCCCCATGCAGGACAGAGGCTGCTTGTCTCCTGTTGGGGCCATTTTATGTGACATTACCCCTAAGTTTCCTGCATCTGCAGCATGTTTCACAGGAAGTTGCTTAATGTGTCTTTGCCGCTTAGCTAAGAGTTTGCAAAGTCGAAACAAGATCAAATTGGTTTCTTAGGGTATTTTGTTAGAGAGCAGAATGCGATCAGTAGGTTAGATGTCAGCGATTGTGGCGTGAGAATAACCGGAGCGGCAAACTGGGTGGCCCGTTCTGATGTGTGTTCAGCTTGTCTGGGCATGTCGCCCTGACTAATGGAGTTATAACCAAAGTTATTAAAGAAGTCATTCATTTCTCTTTCAGCTCAGATGTGTTTTGCTTTTGGCTCAGTCCCGTTTCATCCCTCGTTTTCAAATATCCATCGATCCAAGCAGGCAGGCTCTCCCGTAATCCCATGAAATGAACTTTAAGGCGGCTTTTAATGGTTTTCTGGAGGGATTTCAAAGTTCTGTTGTTTTCTTTTCAGCATCAACCTTTTCACATATTTTGTTTTCTTATTAGAAGCAAATTAATCCCTTCAAATTTTAGTAACTTAAAACAAGCTCCTATATCCTGCTGAAAAGTTAGATTCAAGTATGTTTTGTTTAATTTCAAGTGTATTGAGATGTTTGCATAACCAGACCAAAAATACTTGGCATGTTTTTCAGTTTTTGCAGTGTAAGATGTTTTCTGCTAACTTACAAGTAACGTTAAAGCAAAATATAGTAACTTTTTAAAGTAAAAAAAATCCTTAATATTATTGAAAATGCAAATTACTTCACTTATACTACGTGAAAATTGTCTTGTTATAGGTAAATTTATCATACAGAGGAATTAGCACATTTTCATCAAAATTAAGGAAATATTTACTTACTTATTTCCAGTAGAAACTAGACAAAAGATACTATGTAAGATTTTGTTTTTGCAGTGTTATTAATGCAAAAAATAATAGTGATTGACAGAAGATGGTATGTTTAATGCAGTAACATGAGTCCTAAAGTGCCATTCACCAAAAATTGCAACCAGAAATCAGAAGAACAAAGAAAAGGTTTTTCTGAACAGCTGGTGAACTGACTAGAAACATATCAGGTGGTTTAAAACTTTTGCACAACACTCTGCTGTAGTTTATCTGTATTTCTGAGACATTTATGTTCTTAGAGTTAAGATGGTGTTTCCCACGATTCCTTTTAAAGCAGAAACATTGACTCAGATCTATGCAGAATAATGGAAACTGAGCGTTGCTGCAGTTTAATTTTTTGCTTTTTATTTTTTCCTCTTTTTCTCTCAGTGTAAAAACTCCACAGGGTAATAAAAACACAAACAGCTCAAAAGCTCCCCTGGCAGGAGCTCACAATTAATACGATGAAGTAAAAGCTCCATCGCAGCCAAACGGAGCAATATTGATCGGTGAATTACCCGTTTTATCCTGGAGAACGCCAACGCTCCGAGTCGATACTGATACAGGTAGATAACTGCAGCAACACAGCGTTATTATAAATGGAGAGTAGAGATACTTCACAATAAAATTACTCAAGTAAATGTCATTGAGTAAATGTAACTAGTTACCACTCAACTCTGCAAAGTTTTTGATCCCAAAAAGTTCTGGTTGGAATAGTTTCTGAAACATCTGGATTGTTTCTCAGTTTTTATTTAACAAAAGAAACAAATTCAGGAAAAAAAGAGAAGAAATGGGATGAAAGAAAGCAAGATTGGATCAAATTATCCTGTAAAACACGACAATAAGGTTTAAAAACATTTAAAAAAATACAGAGGTAGTTTGTTTACGGTGATAGAAATCAACATCATGAAGGTAAATCCTTCATTTTTAAAAACAGAGGAGTTCTTGTATGGGAACCAATGATGGAAAATTTATTAAGAAACCTCAATTATTCTTTCAGCTTTAAATTTTTTATGCAGATTGGTTTTGGTTTTGACAATATCACTTAAAAGCTTTGCCAAGTTACACGCTCCAGTGCATTTGGTCTCTGCTGTCAGCGAGCTCATTAATAAAAGAACTGCGCCTTTATTCAGCACAATTATTCTTTTACAACTGGGGGAAATATGTAAATCTGAAGGAAGCGTACAGGCACCATCTCAGTTATTTGTGTAACAAAATCAAGTCAAAAGCAGGAGAGACACGTCCTTAGAATACGTCCCAACACTTTTTGAATATATTCACATTTTTATCCCTTTTCATGGGATTTAATTTCATAATTTTATAAATTTCTCTTGAAGAAAGTCAACAAAAAATGTTATTACTTTTGATTTATTTTCTTAAATTTCACCATCACAAATGATAATTTAGTTGATTAAAGAAAATCTGTCATTTACACCAATGGGTGACAATGGCGTCTAAAGCCCTATTTGCCTCAGGAAAGGTCAGAGGTCATGATTCAACAACTGGAAATGGAGTCAAAACACTGTTGACACTCAAGAATAAAAGACCCCTTTCATATTTACCATCAAATACCCAGAAAAAAAAATCATCTACAAACTAACAACTAACATTGCCAAAAATGAGTGGGATTTTTTTTTCCAAGAGCCTAAACTGTTTTTAGAAGCAATATAAACCCAAATTGAGGCATAAAAATTTACAAACGGGAAACTTTACATAAAAGGTCCTTTTAAGAACAGTTTTTTTGTTTGTTTGTTTTTTTTTTTTTGCTTTATTATTATTATTTTTATTGCATTTTTTTCATTTTTCTTATTTCCCTTTTTGGCTTGATAGACCAATGAACTCTAATAAATACAAAAGAAGGCCAAGACACCATCTGTCCTGTAAAGCTTACTGAAAGATTAAAATTAACATTTTTCACAAAATTAGAAAAATGTATGGTTAAATTAAGACATTTTAAGGAGTCAGCTCTGCCTGGTCAACACTGAAATATTTCTTTAAAGGTAAAGAAAGACTAAAGGGACCGATGATGGAGGTGGACAGGGAGAACCAGAGGGAGTGTGAGAGAATGATGCATGGAGAGATGATGAGAAGAGACGGCGAGGCATCTGCCTCTGATGGATCCCCTCATATAAGCTGATGGCAGAGTGACAGCCACAGTGACGAGGGAATAACATTATAACAAGATGCAAAGCTGAAAAAAGTCAATTTTACATCGTACTGCCCCCTTTAAAGTGCAAGTTTGTGAGAGAATTCAACAGGAAGTGTTATTGTTTTCAGATTTAGACAGAAAAAAGGTAAAGAAGTGATGACCAGAGTTCATCTTCGGCCCAGCTGAGCCTTGGAGTTGTTTCAAAAACTGATTTCAGATCAGTCTGCGTGTTTGGAAACAGCCATAAGAGTTTAACCGGCTTATCTGGCGTCGGCAGGATTAGTGGCTTAAAGAGGGAACTTCCAGTCAGTCTTAGTTTTCACAAAGTCACTTCTTCTTCTGAGTCCATCACTATGGAAACTTGTGCTGGAGTCCAAAGTTTCCACAGCAGGAAATCAATACATGTAAAAAAAAAAAAAAACCAGCAGCGCTGCACGATAAGGCAGGTCTCTCAGCTTACTCTGAGCTTCCACTGCTGGGACTTTCTCTGAGAATCACAATACATTTAATAAGGTCAGGTCTACAAACAAAATCAATGTTTGCTGACCCAAACCATCCCTGAAAGTCAGAGTTCTGCCTCGATTCACAACCAAATGCTTCAAGAAGTCATTTAGTCCCACAGCCACGATATTTAAAGGGCATATTTCAGCATATTTTGGTGACAGCACCAACATAAATAAATCAAAATTTGGCCTTTCTGCTGATTTTAAAGCAGAGAAGCAACAGGAAAGCAATGTTTGCCTATCTGCAGGCAGGCTTTTATACAGTGGGGCCCACATAGGCCAGTTCTAAACTGAAAGCAGTTTAGTTCAGTTAATTTCAACAAATTCACATTTAGCACATTGTTATGCTTCCATTTGGGTCTGAAAACGCTTAAAAAGACGGTTTTTGCCAATAAATTAATGACTTCTGGTGTCTGGAAAATGAGTTGTTTCAAAAACTTCCTGATTATCAAATCACAATGACAGGCACTGCGCCGTTACCTAGCAACCACAGAGAAGCTCGGCTGTTACTTAGCAACCCACACTTTACTCCAGTGGTCAAGTTGTTGCCGTACAATGGCTGCTGGGGAAGACAAGCGTGTAGTTGTCCACTTGCCATCCTGAAGCCACTTGCTGAATTCTGGTTGGTTGTGCAGGAGGCTCCACTTCTGCTTTTCAAAGATGAATAGCTGGGTAATTTCGCATCTGTTTGCGGCCATTTTAATGTGGGAGTGTAAAACATTGAGTTGGGGGGAATTGCTCAAGAATGATTTCATTCAGAAAATGTAATGAACATGTTTGGTAAAAACCTACTCAAACTAGTTAAAGTCAGCAAAATAAAAAATTCTTCTGCTAGTTTTTAAATCACTGAATGGTTTGGGAACAAAATGCATCACCATTTGAAACTTCCAGACCTCAATTCTTCTTCTTGTTTCTGGGCATTTCTAACCGATGAATATGATCGCAGCTCCAGTTGTGTGTAGGGAACCTTTGTCTCAGTACGCAAGTTTTCTTCCTGAATAAATCAATATTTAGCTCCATCCACCTTTGCAATCAATAAATAGTTTCTCTGCTAAAGGAATCCCTGCAGCATTTTGACATCATTATGTTAGTTTTCTAACACATAAAGTGTATTACAAGGTCGCCAAAAAGTTACATTTTAGTGTCATAAATCAATTAAACAATCCAGTTGTTCTGTTAAAAAATTTTAATTTCTCATTTGTTTTATTTGTCATTTCTGTTATTTTGTTCATTTATCTTGAATATTTAAAATGTCTTCTAGTTCCAGGGTTAAATGTTTATTAGAATTTAAAGGTTATTGATCTTTGATAACGTGTTCTTGCATTATTATGGTATTGTTACTGTTATAGTACTTGAAAATGGCCTCAATACAACAATATTATTGTTTATCACCATAACTTCTGAAACAATTTATTGTTATTGTGATACCCTAAAATAAAACCCAGCACAATAAACTGACTTTAAGTTACAGGATGTAAATTAGATGCTAAGAAGGGAAACTAAAGTCAGAGAGAAGCTGCCAGTATTTTAGTGTCATCTAAAACTCTCTGACAAAATGAGCTTTTGGTTCGTTTTTTTTTTTTTTTTTTAATGAAATGGTCGTTTAGATGGGATAAAAAAAAGTAATAGTTTGAGTTTGCTCCCTGTGGTGCATTTTCATCCAGCTTCAACACTTTGAATATCACAAAGAGCCTTGAGAGAAAACACAGCTTAGCGATAAAAACGAATGTGTCCAAATGCAACAGAAACGGGTTCAGATAAAGTTCAAGGAATAAGGAGATCAGATTAAGTTCAAATGGTTTTGTTGTGACAGAAACATTTTGTTCGGTAATTAAACCTGCAAACCCTCATAATCTATTTTCTTTTCCTTCTGACTGGTTTGGATTCGACTTCCCTTAATATTTCTTAGGTTTGCCTTTGAAAGTGAATAGAAAATGCTCATTTTAATGAGATTCCCACATTATTTACAACAGTCAGGTTTGGAGTAAGAATGTTTAATTTCTCTTGTATTGTAGATCTGATGCAAATCAGATCCTTTTAGTAGACTGTTTTAATCTAAATTGGAAAATGCTTCTAAAGTTCAATGATTAAAGATTTTGACCAAGCAAAAAGTAAATTTCATCTGAAAACATGCTCAGCAGAAAGAAAAGATACAAATTAAAATGTAACAGACTTGGTTGTTGTTGAAACCTGCAGAAGAAGCGGTATGTCTCAGTATGTCATCATGCGAAGCTGGGTGGGCAGAGGAAAACTCAACTCCTGGCAGAACTGCAGATTAATTTCCCCGTAGAGTCCAGTGCCGCAGCACAAACAAGCCCTCCTGGCTGCATATTTTATGAAATCAGCGACTTACTGAGGCACTCTGCGGTGACGGCGCTGAGGAAGCGGCCCTCCTGGCAGCCCGTGGCGCAGTAGCCGCTCTGCAGGGCGCCCCCTGGGGGACAGGAGGTGCAGTCCGCCTCAGAGGGGCCGGAGCAGGTCTGGCACGTCGGATGACATGCTGAGGGAAAATAGGACACGGATGATGGTGATGAAAACTCACAGAAATTCAACTGTTATGTAAAAAAAAACTGCTTCCTTCCTGGGAATCTGTTGGAAAAAATGTTTTTATTCATTATTTGACCTGTAAATGTCCAGGTTGTCTCACTGAGATCCAGTGGCTCATTTAAAAGAGAGGCAGATTTTGATAAAACAAGATTGCAAACACAAGTAATATTGTTTTGTTATAACTTCAGTAATGTAGAGAAAAAAAATCCAAAATCAATTTTACAGAGAATCACAATTTATAGAACTTTGTATTCTGGCTCTAAGGCTCAAAAGTTGATTTTAGTCTTCTTAATTTTTATGCAAAGTAACAATATGGAGATAAAATGGGTTCAACAGAAAAAAAAAGAAACTGAAAAATTCCTTTGAAACTGAAAGAAAACTGAAAATTTTAATTTGAAACTCAAAAATAGTTTTAAACTTTTTTGGTTTCACATCTCTTTTTCAGTTTTAATATATTTTTTCAAATTTCAAATCTTTATTTTCAGTTAATTTTTTTTTCATTTCAACAAATTTTATGACCCCAATTTAGCTCCATAGAACAATTCTTTCGCAATTTTTTTATTTAAGAAAAAGTCAGGTAAGTGAGTTAGCCCAACACCGGAAAGTTAATTTACATAATTTCATGCAAAATTCTATTTTTGTTTAAATGTTTTGACCTTATAATATTATTTAAAATAAATATTTTTATTTGTTTATACTTACTTTTCCTCTTGTTAGTTATGATTTGAACAGAAATGTCTGAACCGTTTGAATAGAAATCAGCTGTCTGGTTCTTTTGTGGTGCAAAAAAATTGGTGCCAAGTATGATATTGGGTCAAAACCAGCCTTTAAAGTACTTTTTTTTCCCGTAAACTTTTTTTGCAGCTCATTGTTTTATAAACTTTTAAATTACAGCAGAAAAGCTGATGCTGCAAAAGAAGCCAAACTCTCAGTTAAGCTGCTAAAAAATAATGAGCTTTCCTGCCATTTTACAGGGATCTGATTGGCTTTAAATGTATGAAGAATAAATTAATATATCATAGAAATCTCATTTTTTTATTTAGAAAAAGAAACTCCCAACTGCCAGAAAGTTTCTCTAAACTTCGGTCTCATCAGAAAATCCCTCTAACGAGCTAATTAACAGTGAAGCATACAAAGTAAGCAAACAGAACCCATTCATTCTGCCGTCCCAGAACCAAACATAATCACAGAACATTCTTCTTAACTGCTTCCATCTTTCCTCATTTGCACTTTTCAATTACTAACTCCAAGCTGGCCTAAAAAGCATTAAGAGAAATGTTATTCTATTGCAGAAAAGAAGCGAAATTCATCGTCTTTTAAAAGGACCGGCTGCTTAATGTGCGAAGGGGAAGGAGAGCGGGTCATCCCGCTGCAAATGAGGTCAGAGTCGGTAGAGCAGGCTGAGGTAATGGACAATAGATTAGAGCAAATGGATTTTCATTAAGGACTTGGACAAACACAATGAAGAAAAGCTGCTGAGCTCTCTCCAGTTGTTAACATGCTATTGTCCTAATCCAAGCCTAATATCGCTAAATGGGGTTTCTGATGCCCAACAGGAGTCAGTGTGACAACGAGGCTTACGAACAGCAGGGTTGTGTATAAATCAGAGCCGCCATCGTTAACATGTTAGCGATTAATCTTTAACGCATAGACAACGGCAAATTTCACTTTAAAAAAACACAGCGATGGACGTTTGGCTAAAACATTATATTTTCCACAAAATGATTTCTTTTAAACCTTCCTGCACTGCAAAAACACAAAAATAATTTTTCTATAGTTTATTGTGCAAATATCTTAGTACACTTCAAATAAGCCAAAATAACTTACAAGTCACTTTTCAACAACATATAGGAGCTTTATTAAGTCAATAATTCTTTAATTTTGATGGTTTCACTGAACTTTATCAGTATGTCAATATTAAGGAATTATTGACTCAAACAAGCTCCCATATCTTGCTGATCTATCTCCAGCTAACGTTCTGGGTGAGAGCCGGGGTCACCCTGGAAAGGTCGCCAGTCTGTCGCAGGGCATCCCATTTTTCATTCAAGCTGTTTTTATAACTCTAAGTAAAACAAGTTTCAAAGTAAACTTTTTTCCATTTCGCTGAGAAGCTTCTAACCTTGGAGATTTAAGGTCATCTGTGGAAAAAGTGGACAATCTGTCGAGTTTTCTGCTCTTCAAAATGCCCAGTCAGAGCTCAGAGTTTACAGCTGAGGCTCTAATTAAAGCCTGGGGAATGCAATGCCACAGTCAGCGTGGCGAACCGAGGCACAATTGTGTGTTTCTCACCTTGGCATTGGCCGTCCCGGGTGAAGAAGCCCTGTGGGCATGTGTGAACGCAGCGACCCTCAAACAGGCCGGACGGCGACGGACAGGAGGAGCAGTCTGCCTCCGACGGGCCGGTGCAGCGCAAACAGGACGCATGGCAATCTGCAAAAGGATGGGAGGTTTTATATTTACAACAAAAAATATAAAAATGCAGACCTTTGGCAGGGAACAAACAGAAGATGATCAATTAGTGTTTATCATCTTCACAATAATCTCCAAAGGAAGGATTTTTAAGAAAAAATCTAAATCAGTTCCACTTTGGTTAGGATTAAATTATCAGGATTAAATCAGGAAGTTATTCCAAGACAAAACGTCAAATCCATCCTAACAGAAAACGATACGAGAAGATTTAAGCGTTTAGATCCTCAGGAACAAGAGTAAAAATAAGATTGACATTTTGCTCCTGTTGATTAAAAACAAACAGCTCAACACATGGATGTGAGGAAAACAAAAATAAACTGCTGTCACATCTTCAAGTTATTCAGTGCAGAAAAACAGATTCTGTTTGACAAGTAAAAAAAAAATCAGTGCTATAATACTTTTATCCACTTGGAAGACATGGAGACTAATTTCTTTCAAATATTGTAAGTGGTATGGGAAAAGGGAAAAAAGAAAATAAACAAAACAAACAAAAAAGAAAAATGTAAAAAAAGAAAAAAAAGGCTGAAAAAAGAGAAAGACGAAAAAGAAAACAGGGTGTAAACAAGAAAAAATGGAAAAAGGGGAAAAAAGAGAAAAAAATGGAACGAAAAAGGAAAAAGTATGAGGACAAAAAGACAGAAAAAGACAAAATGTTACAAAAAATAAATGAAAATGGAAAAGAAAAAGAAAGAAAAAGAGGGAAGAGCAACAAGAAAGAAAAAATGTATTTACAGGAACAAGAAAACTAAGAAAAAGAACAAAAGAGGAAAAAATGGAGCAAAAGAGAAAAATAATCAGAAGTCAAAGAGTTTTTTCTGTTAAAGACAGAAATAATAATCAGCTCTTTGTCTGAACCTCCAAGTTCCCAGGATTTGTTTACCTGAGTTCACCTTCCAAAAACCAACATGAAGACAATTTTGCTTTGAAGAAATTTCTAAAAACCAGCTGGCAGAGAAGAAAGACACAACAGCTTCAAGGCTGAGGGTTTTCTGAAGCATATTCAAAGCGAGGGGCGTATCCAAGGACGAAACTGCTGGGAGTGCATCCTTTACGTTTATTGACCAGAAAAAAAGAAAAGAAAAGAAAGAAAGTGCAGTTAATTAGCGATGTTAAGATAAAAGGCTGTATAAATAGGTACGTTTCTCCTGTGGGAGGCTTTTATCCACTCATCATTGGCATTTTTATGGTTTTATTTGAACTCCTCCATTTTTCAGGGTAGGTTTGATTATGCAACAAACAAAGAAAAAGAAAACTAAAGAACCGTCAGTTCACGGCGAAAATACAACATTGAATCAAGTATTTTTGGTCTCGTTTCTAATGTAAATATCTCACTTGAAATATCACAAAGTTATCTGTGATATCAGATATAGGAGCTTGTTTTAAGTCAATAATTCGTTAATACTGATGAAAAAGTTCTGGTTTCACTCAAAACGTTTTCCTTCATTTTAAGTGAAACAAACATTTTCATCAAGATTAAATAATTATTTAGTTAAAAGAAGCTCCTACGTCTTGCAAGTTAGTTCTGTCTTATTTCAAGTGTAAGAAATAGACAGAAATTACTCAGGAAGGTTTTGTGTTTTTACAGTGTACGACTCTCCAGCCGTCGTTGTTGGTGGAAATGGTTCAGTTATACCCTCTAACATCTGGAGTCATTTTGCTCCTGGGATGATTCTGCACTGTTTTGGCGATGTGAGGGTCCCGATTCCCTCTGTGGTTCTTTTGGGTTCCCAGTTTTAGAAATGGCTCAGAAAACTGAGATTTCTTTCTCATCTGTTCTTTCATTTCTCTAAATCTGGGTCTAACGTCATTTGTTTTTAAATAACTTGGCTCCACAAGTCAGTAGAAAAACATTGTGCAAATTGGAAATACAAAAATAAATCTGCTTAATGGAAACATGCAAATTTTGAAAAAAACTGTTTTTCAATAAAAGTTTTAGTGTTAGGATGAGTATGACTGTCTTCCCTCGGTTTACCAAAAGTCATTTGAAAGTTTTATCTTTTATCTCTGATGATGATCTCTAGCGCCAAGGATGAATTATTAAAAAGTCTCATGTGTTTACATCTGTCACTGCAAGGATTTTTAATGATTTATCACATGAACAAGCTTATTCGCATGTGATTTTAATTGCATTTCATATTTAATGGAAACGCCGCTTATGAGTGATCAGGCCTGAAATATAACCAATAAACGTGTTAATCACAGTTTTTGTGTGATTTAAAACGGGAGAGTCTTACTTTGACAGAGATTCAGGTTTGTTTTGGTGAAATCTTTAGTCTTAATTAATAAGATAATCATTTTCAAACATATTTTTGAACATTTAGGGGTAACAAAAGAGCAAAACTAGCTTTTCACAATGTTCTGGTAAAACAAACATAAAACATCTCTGTCCTTCATTTGCGTTACGTTGTACTATAGGTTGTTACAGTGAGCAGTTGCAGATGTAACAATTTCCTGTTTATCTTCAACAAGGACATCTCCTACAGTTTTGAGAACAAAACTTTTCAGAAAACTTTGTTCAAGTTCACCTGTGCTCTCTCTGAAAGACGGCGCACTCCTGCAGCAGAACAGACATTCAGACTGAAGAAGTGCTCTGATTTAGAACAGCACAAAAACAGCATTTAGATTCAACAGGGCTGTAAAAACCCAAAGTACTGAAGGACAGAAGCTTACGGGAGAAAACAGATGATTTAGAGAAGATATGTTCTTTCTGACAACCTCCCAGCCTTACTCTCTATGCCGTCGATTTCTGCCCATCCAGGCCTAGACACCCTGCTTTTGTAAAAATCTACAGACTTATTCTGCTTTTAATCTGAAACTTTCACTCACTGTTTGTGTTTTTTATTGTTTTTAAAAGGGGAGCTACATTTTGGAAATTTTTGTGCTTCCTTTTGGGATTTTACTGCTTCTGAAAACAACCAAAGCGATTAAAAAGTAAAAACACCCAACATGTTTTTGGGAATAAGTCAATGTTTGTTGTCTAGAAAACGAGTCGTTTCATAAACCTCTGGAATGTAACGTCAAGAATCAGCAAGCACTGCACAAAACTCAAGACTCTTTTTGTTTTATTGTGCCTCTAAATTACAAATGCACACAACACAACCTGTTTTTTTTAATTTCCATGTGTTCGACATCATTAGAAAGCTGAGACTCCACTTTCAGAAACACTGACCTGTCCTGTCCAAATAAGTTCACAGGTCACCTTCACAACAAAACCAACTATTTGTACTTTAACTTCTGCTTTTAGCTGAATTTATTCAACACCCTTCACTCAACACATGAGCAGCCCTGAAACTGGCCTTTCTTCCTCGCAGCTTTTCACGTCTGCTTTGGCAGCGCAAAGACAAACAGCCGAGCCGCGCTATCAGCCCAGGCAGCCGGGCCAAGCCACAGACCGGCTGGTTGACGCTGCTGCTGCTGCTGCTGCTGCTGGCGGTGGCGGCAACAGACAAAAGGCCTGTCAACAAGCAGCTGGAAGCCCAGGGTTTGTGTGCACAGCCATGTTTCTTTTTATATTTGCCCTGAAGTATTTGTGTTTACAATCGTGCCTGGGTTCCTTCCCTTCTGTCAGCGAAAGCGCAGGCTTGTGTACAAAATGCATGATGGAACCTGGCAGGAGCAGGCGGGGAAGCTACCTGAGCCAAACCAACAATTTGAGTGTTTGAGCAAAAATATTTACCCTCTGGGAGATGATCAGAGGCAAAGCAAGGACTTTATAACACTGAAATGTTACAGTGACGTCCATTTTACTCATCAAACATGTCAGAACAAGCTCTCTGCCAGGGGTGTCCAAACTTTCCATCAAGTGGGACAAAATGGACGTTATTTATAAGCTTGTCATAAGAAATTTTGCTAAATTGTCCCAGAGGTTCTGTCCTGACAAATATTGTTGTTTTAAGACCATTTTAAAGTAACATCATTAATTTCTAATGAATATTTAACTCTGGAACTGGGAGACATTTTAAATATCCAAAGGGCAAATAATTTCACTAGAATAATTTCTTGAACGGCTACCTTTTTAGTTTTACTTGAGTAAAAACACATTGAAGTTGTGCTATTTTTATTTCGAAACCTTTTTTGGGTCGTCTGCCTGCCTCTGTCTACATTTCTACACATTTGATTATTAAACAGAGAGAGCTTCTCACTCTCTTACTGCAGCTTGGTTACCTAATTTGTTGCACAGCGATTTCTGTACATCACATCACACGTTATGCGCCGCAGCCGCTCCCAGAAGCAGATCCATTACTTTGTTTTGAGCTTATCGGGTCATAATTTGAGGTAGGCGCAGTCGATGAGGTTTTGATTTAGTTTGGGGTTGTGAGCGATCCTTAATGCTCTCCATAAATGATCGTCCCGGTTCAGTGCAAAGCTCATCATCGTACAAAAGAGATCCACTCGCCGTACGACAGAATCAGAGGCACACGGCTGGTTTCTATACACAGAAAACTTTTTAGAGGAACAAATACAAGGAAATAAAATTTGGTAAAGAAAAAAAAAGGAGAGTTGTTTCTCATGAACATTTTTTTAACCAAAAAAATGTTTCAATTTAAGGCAGAAATCAAGTTCTCTTTGTTTTTTCCAACACTTAAATCCATAATGAGAACAAAACCACATGTTTAATGCAGAAATACTTTTTTTTTTTTTTTATCAAAAAGGTAAATTAAATGTTTATTTGTTGGAATCTTCTGAGAGAGAAACTTGGTCGGTAACTGATTTTTTAAAAGGCGTTTTCACACTTCTGGTGTTTAGTTTTAAAATGAACTGTTTTAGTTGTGTGTGTGTGCGTGCGTGTGTGTGTGTGTGTGTGTGTGTGTGTGTGTGTGTGTGTGTGTGTGTGTGTGTGTGTGTGTGTGTGTGTGTGTGTGTGCGCGTGCGTGCGTGCGTGCGCGCGTGTGTGTGTGTGTGTGTGTGTGAACACTGTGCAGGCTAACACATCCTGCTCTGCTTCAGGACAGGCCTGGTTATCTAACAGAGCAACAAGGAGTTGGACAAAAGGCCGCATTGTTCCCCGGCGAACACCTGAACCCGCCGACGGGAAAGCTTTTGTTGCTGAAACGAGTCAAAGACTGGAACAACTTGTACATGTTTCCACGAATAGAGCCGTGCCGATGTTTCATTTATCAAATTCACCCACTGTGGTGACTCTGGCAAAACTTGATGGTGTTCAGACTGAAATGTTTGCGAAGTTCAACTCCCTGCTGAACATCTACATGTATTTTCGAATAGCAAAGACAAAACAATCAGGTTCAATCTCTACATTAGGGCAAAAAAAAAAGATTTCAGTGGTTATAATAAATATATCCGGAAGGCCTGAGATTTGATAGATTTTTCTCTTGCATGACAGTCCGAGTTTCACATGTTGGATGTTAGCATACATGCATCAAGGGAAGAAAGAATGGAGGTTTGATCTTTATTTTATTTATTTGTTAAAGATGCAAAACTCACAGATGAAAAAAATTAAATATAATATTTGTGTAAATAAGTAAAGAAAATTGTTGGTGTTTGGAAATTAGATTGGTTTCCATTATATCTAAGAGCCTTTTTCTTCTTTTTTAAAATGTTTATTTTGTCTTTTTATAGTACATTGACTTAATAATTTGGTCATTTGTTTCTGATCTAAATGTATGTAAATATGTAACCCATACAAACTTGGACTATGTTGTGTCTCTGTCTCTTTAAGAAGCTCGTAGTCTTTCTGAAACTCCACAGTAAGGAAGTCATTACAACATGGCTCCTCTATTAAGCCTTTATCAACGTATTTAGCAGCGTTTCACCGACAGGTAGCTCCTATAACACGCTCAACAGATGTGCAATTCTACCGGGTGTTTGCTAATTGCTGCCGGCTAGTCTGAAGGAGCAGAGTGGGGGAAGCTCAGAAGCTTGGAAACTACAGCTCAGAGGAGGAGCTTCATTTTGTTGGCAGCTGCTGATTGGTTGAAATGGAAATTAATGGATTTCTCAAACATACATAGAATCAAATTAGCACTCAAGGTTTGTTTTTGTTAATTTTTTGTTTGTATTTCCTTTTAATTCTTGTAAAGCACTTTGTATTGCTATGTTGCTGAAAATGTTGCTAAAATTACCTTAACCTTTTACGTTTTGATGAAGTAAAGCTAAAAAAAAAAATGATTTCACATGATATTGCCCCTTTAGTATAAAAAACCAGAGAGATCCCTTTTGAAGTTCACAAATATAACCTGATAAAATAAAAATAAAAAATATTTCATTTTAATTTGTTCCATCAAGGATAAGAGAAAAAAAGCCAGTACTATGTGTGTTTCTCTGATTGGTAGATTCAGCCAAAGCTGGTTTTGCAGACACAATGGCATCGGAAAGGACAGAAAAGCTCAGGGAAAAATTCACGTACTGAAATTACTTTACAGCTTCAAAGAAAAACAATCCGTCTGCAGAACAATTAGAGCCTCAGAACCCAGGAAAGAAAACAAAAACGCATGAAATCTCAAAGTGACTGTTCAAACGTACAAATGAAGTGAAGAAAACTGATTATGATCTCATTGTCTCTCCTGGAATCAAAATCGTTTTGCTGCAGAAACACGAAGGTTGTTTCAGTGTAACATGTTTTTTGTTGCTATCCCAGCAACCCTTAGAATGAGCTCTAAAATTAGCCAATTATACACACAGTTTCACAGTCGCAAATGTCCCTGCGAGTGGCCTATTCAAAGGAGCTTCCTTTCCTTAACGGCTTCACGCCCACAAAGTCTTCACATAAACAACTTCCCACATTTTTTAATTGCAACATCAGAAGCAAAACAGCTTCTCAAAGTGACTGACTGTCTTCAGCATGTTTGAAGATTGAACCAAGCGAACAATACAGAGACGATCGACAAAGAGCTGGGAGTGACGGGACTCGGACGCACTTTTCAGAAATACTCAGGCTCTACAGCTCAAGATAAAAAATACTTTTACAGCAGGTAGCAACAGGGAGAAAGAGAGAGAAAGGAAAAGATGGACACAAGGAAGGAAAGAAGGAGAGAAGAAATCAAACCAGGAAGCATGAAGGGATTAAATTAATGAAGAAACAAAAGGAATGTTATGAAAGTGAAACAGTTTTTCATTCTCCTTCATCTCCTCACAGCAGACAGACATTTTGTTTTTGGTTTCCGAGTCAAAGATCTCCTGAGATGAAGAAACAGTTATGGAAACTTTAAAAAATAAAGTTTCTTCCTCTTCCTCCATGGAGGCCTGGAGACCAGAAAGCAGCAGCAGAAAAGTTTTTTCCTCACCTCTGCACGTCTGCAGGCCGTCCAGAAAGCTGTGAGCGGGACACGCGCCTGCGCAGACGCCACGCTGGAGGAGAAAATCCTGCGGCAGGAAAACCTCCTCTGGCTTCAGGCAGCGGCGGCAGTCTGAGGCGAGCGGCCCGACACAGGACCGGCAGGACGGATGACAGTCTGAGAACAGAACAGAACCTTCTCAGCACCAGTACATCTTAATAAAACTTGTTTCAGTTTTTCAACTTAATATAGCAGCAGGCCCAGAAAAGTGGCTGCCACACCACCAGGGGGCCCCCAAGAGCACATCCAAGATATCCATACATGTATTTTCAGAGTTGGGTAGTAACTAGTTACATTTACTCAGTTACAATTAATAAGAAACTTTTTTAAAGTACTTTTAGGAGTATTTTTACTACACTGTACTTTCAGTGATTTTATAAAGAATAAATTTCTGGATTTTCCACCCACTGAATAAAAAACATGTTTTAACCAAAATTTCACCAGTTTTTGTCAATTTTTTATAATTTTTTTATTGAAAGAAACTGGAAAAAAATTCTTTTGCCTGATTTTCTCGTTTTGTCACTTATTTGAATTATTGTCATTTTGGTCATTAAAACACCAAAATTTCCACTTCACTTTATACTTTGGTCCGTCTGATGATTACGTTTAGATTTGAAATGACTGAGATCAGTTAACTCAGTACTTGAGTAAACATTTTACCAAATACTTTCTTACTGAGTCACTTCTTGGAAGGATACTTTTTACTTTTTACCTCTGTTCATATGTCTGTTTGGGTGTAAGTATCAGTAATCTAATTACTTTCTTTGCGGCTGCTTGAAAACAGTAATCAGATTACAGTAACTAGGCGTTTCAGCCCGTCTCTGATCCTCACTGTGGCAGCTGCTGTCCTGAGGGTACAGGCCGTCGCCGCAGTCCTCCACACATTGGCCCTGGTGGAGCAGAAGACCCGCTGAACAGGAAGTGCACTGCGCCACCGACGGGCCCCAGCAGGAAGCGCAGGACATGTGGCAGGCTGACAGAGGACGAGGACAAAGATGAAAAAGTTATAGGACAAAAATGTTTGGTTTTTTAAAAATTAGTTGGTTTTTTTCCCACCAATCCACTCTTTGACTGATGGAGAGCCAAATAAACAAACAAAAATAAAATATTAAAATAAGGAATGTTGAGCGTCTTGCAAAGTTATACTCTAAAATCAGTTTTATGAATAAACACTTAACCTTTTAACACATGAGCATCAGAATATTGTTAATTTATTTATTAAAAACATATATTAACTGTAGCAAAGTTCTGGACAGTATTCATAAAACCACAGATAAATACACATATTTATCTATTGTTTCTAATTTTTATTTCTTTTTTAGAAAAGAAAGCAATTATTAAATTTGTAAATTGCGTCTTGCAGGACAAAATAAAGCACTTGTTGCCCAGATCTCCTACTTTTTTCTTAGCATTATTTGTTAATACAGTTTTTGTACAAGTGTCGACAGATGCGTCACCCACCTCTGCATCTGCTGCGGCTGTCCATGTAATGCTGCGCCGGACACTGAGTAACACACTTCCCATGATGCAAAGCGGTCCCGGCGGGGCAGCTCATACATTTGGGGTTGTCAGGGAAACAGGAGGCGCAGGATGAATCGCAAGCTGTGAACCAAAGCAAGGAAATGTTAATGGCTTCATGTTGAAATAACAAAAAAGGAAAGGAAGTCCATTAAAATTAAAACAGTTTCTCAAGGAGAGAGACTGTTAAATATAGCAGTCAGAATCTGAAATGCGCTGAATTTTAAAAGCAGAGCCACAAAAACGTTCTGAATAAGACATTAGTCAGAAGATGATGCATTTGTTATTGATGGGAAAACAAGAAACAGGAAGGAAGGAACTTATTCAAATACAAATGAGCTTCTCAGTATATCAGAAATATCACAAAGTTCATTTGTTTCAGCAATTTCATAAAAAACTCGAGAAATTAATTAAGGAGAGCAACTGACCAAAAATGTACAATTATAGAGTAAAAGTAAAAAGTAGCTGACCGAAAAGTTACTCAAGTAAGAATAAAAAAGTATTTGATAAAAAGTCAAATTATCCTTTAATATTTGAAAACTACATCATCAGACAGATCAAAATATAGTTGTATAGACATTTTGGCATTTTTAAGACCAGCATGAAAATAATTCATATAAGTGACAAAAAATAACAGAATCAGACAGAAGAAAATGTTTCCAAATCAGTTTCAATAAACATTTTATGAAACTTTAATAAAACCTGCAGGTGTGTGTCTGCAGGCCTGAAATGTTGTTTGTTTTTCATTCGGTGGGTAAAAAAAAACAGAAAATTTACTTGAGTTGTAGAGGAGATACTTCCTAATAAAACTACTCAAGCAAAAGCAAAAAGTGCAGCGTAATAAAAATACTTCTAAATATACTTTTTCAAAAGAGTCACTCAAGTAAATGTAAGTAGTTATTACTCAACAACTCATTAAATCACCACATTATATATCCCAATATATGATGTTACCACAATAATACAAAATACATGATAATGTATTATGCAGTCAATTGATTTATTGATTATTGTGACAACACTAATCACCACATCTTTGTTTCAGGGAGTCTGTTGGGTTACAATCAAGAAGGTAAAGCCCCTTCAGGTCGCACAGAAAGTTACCATTTCCAACCAGATTTCAAAGCAGGAACTGGTTCAAATGGGTTTGACCTTTTCCCCCTGATTCTGACATTTTCTGAATGCAGAAACTTCACCAGGTTGAAGCCTTTCCTACAAGCAGCAGGAAAAGAAGAGCTCCTTCCGCCGTGCTCTGGGTGGTTTCGACTAGGAAAAGAGCTTAACGATGAGCCGCCAGCTTCTCAGTCACCCTCAGGGAAGACTATTCCTGCACCTATATTATCATCTCACCCATTAAAAATAGAAGTTATCCATATTCATACAGCATCTCTTTCTTCTGCATCCTCATTAGAGCATAAAGGACCTGGTAATTATTGTTTTTTTTCTACTTTGTATGCCAACTTTGGCTGACTAATCCTTTAAGCTCCACAGAGATGCTAACAAAATAAACCCAAACAAACCATCACCCAAAAGTTTAATGCTTCTACTGCCTCAAATGCTGTTTTTATTTGATTTTATTTGACACAGGCACATTGTTTGACGTCTAATTTGTCTAATAAAATATCCACTTTCACTCGCCAGAGGAAACATGAGACAAACCGAACATAAACTGCTTGTTTAATCTTTGTGAAACTCTTAAGGGATAACATTTTGAAAAATATTTATTATGCAATGAAAGTTTACCTTTAAAAGTAGGTTTGCAGTTAATGGGAGCAATTTTAATCAGGGTCCAAACTGCTGGACTGAGGAAAACAGAATTAAAGCAGAAGACTTTGTGTGCAGCTTGGTTTCCCTGGAAAACAGTTTATCTACTTAAAAATATGAGTCGATAAACTGCATTAGCATTAGCATTAAAAAAGGAATCTGAGGAAATTGGGCATGAATGATTATAAATCACCAGATAAAACCTTAAAAAAACACTAACTTATTACAAAAACATTTATTAGCAGTGGACCTCGCTTTGACAAATGCAAATATAGAGATACTTCAAAAGCTGGAAGCAAATTGAAATCCTAATGTTTGTAGATTTGCAGCTTTGTAAAAAGCTGTTTAAAATTATTTTTAGTACTAGAGGGCTTTATTCATTAGTAAGTGAACAGGAAGAAGGTTTGCGAATGGCGTTGTAATTCTTCTGTATATGAAAAATCTTAGTTCCTATAAGAGAAATAATTTATTGTTGTTACAGAAGACTTCAGTAAAAAACCTGTAATTCACACTTTTCATAAAAACTGGTAAAATGATGTTAATTCCAGTGTGTTTGGATGTAGAGGACACGGAAAGTACAGATGCAAACAAAAGAAACTGTTTGTACGGTGGTGCAGAAGGATCAATAAATCAGTGACAAAAAGGCACAACGCAAGTTATGCTAAAATAATTATTATAATTTTTTTTTCTTATGGAAGCCAGAACATTTTTATAGGTTTTTAATGCAGTCAGTGTTATTAAAGGTTAAAACTACCTTTTAAGCCAGAGCACCAACCCAGTAGTTTTGTGAAAATGGTTTTAACAAGTCGTAGCATAAAAGAGTTGGCAGAAATTCAATTTCAAATACTGCTTGATAAATCCTTTTTGCAAACTAAGAAATGCAAACCACCAAGAAATGTGGAAATGTGTTTTATATCAACACAAGTTTGCTTCAGAAGGTGAAATCTTTCTGGTTTTATCACGTTTTTAAGTGAGAAAAGTGAAGTAGGTCTTCTTGAGTTTGGGAAATGGAGGCAGGTGTGAAAAAAAGTCCCAAAAAACAAGAAAACTCCAAACAAATTTATATTTCAGCTTCTCTTATTTCCTTATGGGATGTCCTAACAACTCATGTAAATGTTCCTCTTGATCTAAACTGGCTCGAGGACCAGAGAGACTGAATTACAAAGCGGAGAACTTTTCCTGACGACATTTTGTACATTTAAATAATGCAAGCTAAGGGTGTGTTATGTTTTACCGTAACAGATTCCTTCCTGGCTGTAGTATCCTGCGCCGCATTCGGAGACACAAGCTCCGTCTTTGAGCAAATCGGCCTGATCGGAACATGACAGGCAGTCCTGCTGCGTCGGGCCGCGGCATTCAGAACACGACGCGTGGCAACCTGCGTGACGGAGAGAGACAAGCTGCTTAAGGTGGAGGAGGATGTTGGTCCAAAATGTCAGAGCAGAAAATGCACAAAAACTAAAACGACGGGGCTTCACACCAAAGTCTGGGGTTGATGTTTTCATGCAACACGGGAGAAAATCAAATCATCAGACACTCTTTATTTTGGTAAATCAACAACATTATGCTTTTATTAGTTTCATCTCAATTCCAGATTAATCAGGACCACAGCCTTCCAGATGTTTCACTCTTACCGTTTAATAATAAACATTTTTCTCAAAGTCAAAGTCAAAAAGTCAAAAGTCAATCGTTTTCTCAAAACCTCAGATTTCAGAAAAACACATGAAGTCTGAGGCGAAGAAAAGGCTCGCTGCAGACTGATGTATTTTCCATGTTCCAGATTATATGTAATAATCTCTTATTTGAAGTCACCAGCACCGGTTGCCCAGGCAATGGACTCAGGTAACCTTTGTAATACTAAAAACCTCAGAGCTTATTTAACGTCTATCCACTGATGTCAGTGTTGTATTTTTAAGACCAGCGCTGTTTGGGACATGGAGAACGAAAACTTCCACGTGGCTTTCGTAAAGTATTTCTGGGATGAACGGATGTATAATTTACCTGTTGTGTGAATGTGATGTAGCTGCCAATCTAATCTTTGTCTTAGAAATCAGGGAAAATGTGACAAAAAAAACTCAAAAAAGACACTTGAAACTTTAATTTCATCAACCTTAAGATGCATGTTTTAATCTGATGCTGGACTGCAGAGGAGATGAATCAAGACAAGTTTCCTTCTTTGGGTAAAAAAAGGGGGCTAAATTCAACCAATGGATCTCCAGGTTATATAAAAACCTTTCTAAAATGGAGATTTTGGCTGATTCTGCCACATTTGAAAGATTAAAAATCTAAGGAAATGAGGAATGAAATGATGACATTACAGGTTAAATATAGGTTAAAATATGTAAAAATAGAGTGACTGGAGCAAAGGGGAAAACCGAGGAGCAATAATAAGTGAAGCAAACTCAAAGAGACACGGGGAAACTCACCCGAGGAGGCTATAATTAATTAAATCAGAGTCATAAGTGCAGCTGATTGAAATCTTAATTAATCTGAGATTCCAGAACAGAGGCCAATATGTATCTGAGAAATGATTAGACAGGAGTGAAAAATAAATCATCCGATCCCTGCTGCTCTGCGCCAACTGTCCTCAGGAAACAAAACTCATTTTCTTCTGTGTTGCGATTTTGGAAATAACCAGCTGAAAGTGTGACTGTGGCTTTCACTGTTTGGTGGAAACTTCGGCTGCATCCCAAAAATGGAAGAGAAAAGGAGTTAGTATATAAATGAAAATGCAAGGTCATGGAAACTCCAGGTTAAAGCAAGCCTCATCGTCGTTGCTGCAGACAATATTTAATAATTGGTGACATTTGGATTCGAGCCGGATTGTCTTCAGGTCAAAAGTTTAAAGAATAGTGTCTGAGCATATCGCTTCCATCAGGAGGCCTGACCTGAAAAGGATCAAAGTTTAACAAAGATCTTGTCAATAATTAAGAAATATAAGCTGAGAGTGGAGTAAGAATCATCCTCTCCATTTTCATTAGCTTTTACAAAGTCATCCTGACAGGCTGCGTTACGTCTTGGTAAGGAAATGCAGCACAATAAGCTGCGAAGGAGACCGAGGGCTTTTGGAGTGCAGGGGGCGCTATTCTGTTCTAATGCACACAAAGACAGCGACATGTGTTGGGATGATTAAAAAACAAGCAAACTAACAAAAAAAAAAACACTTAACCTCAGAAAAATAATGTGTGCAATACCAGCGTGTTAACTTTGGGGTTTTCAGGTTTCACATTCGATAGTGATAATTTGGGACCAAAATTGCAACATTTGTTACATTTTCAGCTGCTGCGGTTCACACTGTATCAAATTGTTCCCCTCCAAGCCTCTGGGGGCGATGCACCAAGAGGAAAACAACACAAAAACCTCTGAAGAAGTTTGCTTGTTTTTCAGATTTTAGCCATTGTAGGATTTCTCCTCTGTCTTTGGTGAAATACCAACACCCATTCCTTCTGCTAATGCTAGCTTCACACATTTGTTTTGGTTGAATTTACCCAGAATGCCCTGCGCAATAGTCCTTTTTAGGAAAGATTTTTATACACCGTAATAGTTTTTAGTTTGACACTTCTATCACTTCTTTTACTATATGAAAATGTTCTTCCTCTTCAGTAAATGGAGAACAAACATGTTTTAACCAAAAATTCACCAAAGATCCACCTGAAGTTCTTGTTATTTTTTTTACAAGTTTTGTATTGAAAGAAATTGATTTGTAAATAATTTTTGCATAATTACAAAACACAATTTAGCAAATTTTGTGAGTATTTTCTCTCTGATATTTATATCACTATATCTCAGTTTATACAATAAGGTCATTTTTAAGCATTGAATGATGTGTTGACGTTTTGATCAGTTACTCAGTATTTAACTAGACTTTTTACAAAATACCTTCTTTATTCTTGAGTAATTTTATAAATGGCTAAATAATTTAAGAAGCTAAAAATACGTTTAGGTATTGCAACTCGAGAACAAATTAATGTTGCAAGTCCAACTACAGATTCTCAGTTAAAGGGATAATATTATTTAAAATATACTTTTTTAGCTTGACGTCATCTTATTTGCCAACAATGAAGACTTTATAATTCATCTCCAGATCCACAAAATAAATCGGACAACGAAATTCCCAAAACCGTTGCAGCAACTCTGCAGGTGTCCAGATCTGATCCACTTTTCCAGAAACAGCGCCGCTCCTGCAGAATCCAATGTTTGATCATCAGAACCGCTATGGATCGATCAACACACTGCAGCTTTCGGGATGTTAGGAGGAATACCTCTATGAGGATTAAAATCAAGCTCAGCTAATTGATTACCTATTGCAGTCAACTTCTGAGTCCTTGCAAGTTAATTTTCATACTGTGCTGCCATCCATACCAACAACTGGCTGGCTGGGGGATGAAAAGAAATCATTACAAGTTATAACGTTGAGAAAAAAGCAGTAATGTGAGTGGAGTACTACACACAGAAGGTCTTTGATTGGATTTATTTTATTTTATTAAATGTATTTTGGCAGAAGCTGTTGGACTGTTAATTACCAAATAGATTTAATCTTTTGTTAGAATAAAGACCCTGAATGTGTCTGTCTTGACGTCGATCTACTGGACCTGAGACAAACGCAGAAGGGGAACAATTATATTTGAATCTTACTAGTTCACTAGTAAGATTCAAATCACTTTAGTCCTCTTGATACAAGAGGACTAAAGTCCACCTTTATTTTTCATTTAGTCTATCGATGTGCAAAACATTAACTGTACATAAATATTCATATAAATCATTTTCACTGAAAGTTGAGAAAAATTGGTGTTAGACACTAAAATAATGACTGGAAATGGATGATGAAAGACGGGGAAACTTTTCTTTGTGAGGAGTTGCAGGAAAAAGAAGGAAACCTTTGCAGTGACCTAAAGATTAACAGGTGAAATGGATTCAGCTCCTGTGTTTTCCCCATTATCTCAGGACATCTCTCTGTTTTTGAACTTCTGCACCTCTTTCACTTCCTCCTCCCGTGATGATCTCCATCTTGCGCTTTACTTTCTGCCTCCTTGTTTCTCAAACGTTTTTATCTTCTTTTTTCCCTCATGTTTAATATTAATGAAACCATGAGACGTGCATGAGATAAAGAGTAGGTTTCACGATTTGCTCTCCAGTTGTTTTAAATACCATAAAAATCCTTTTAATGTCCCACTCACCCGCAGATATTATGGAAACTATTCCTCCAAAAACGGTTACAGCCAACAAGAGGATTACACGTCCTTTACCTTGCTCCTCTCAGGAAAGCAATTTATTTTTCCGGGCAGCCTGAAGCGCAAAGTTATCAGCAAATGTAATCCTGGCAGGCCAGTTGCCAAAAAAAATGTAAAAAAATATAAAAATAAAAGACTCCCCACCCCCTCGTCTGCAAGAACAGGGCCAGGTTGGGATGGATGCGCGGTCACACGGTGCAGTGGATAATCTGTGCTCTGCATCCCCGCGGAGCCAAATCGGGACACAATTACCACGCTGCAGAAGTGGTTCACATCTCCCAAACCTCCAGTGAGAAATCCAGATGAGATGAGATATTCAGCAATTAAACCAAGTGTGGAGAAAGCAGATTTGGACAGATAAAAACCCTCTGAAATTAAAAATAAGAAGAGCTGCATCTGAAAATCTGTTGTTGGAGGGATCTCAGGAGTGAAATTACATTTGTAGCTTTTTTCTGTAATTCATTCGACTTGAATTAGATTCATATATAAGGCAACAAAACAAAAAGCTCCCATAACACATATTCTTGTATTACTGACAATAATGGAACTAATTTCAGTTTAGTCAATACTGTTAGAAATGAAGTAAAGCAGATAAAACTGTCATTTCATTTATGCAAGAAAATTAGATTATGATGAAAGATTTTAAAAGTTTTTAGACTTTAACCTGAAGCGTGCTATAATTAACCATCATCTGTAATCAAAACAAGAAAAATACAAACAATTCTAAGAGAGAATCCATTTGTCCACTTGGCTATTTTTTAGATAAAGTTTTTATGCTCAAAATTTATTAATTTATTTGTTTATTGTTCGATGGCGAGGCAAAGCAGTTTATGCCAGTTTACAAGGGTTTTTTTAATGGCTTTGCAAACTGAAGAGCTGACGGGTCACTCGATTGGCCGACCGTGACATCTGCTGCGCTCTTCCTGAGCATCGCACAAAGACTGCAGGTTAAACAGTTTAATCTAGTCGAGAGTCAAGAAAACATTGTTGCTTCCCTTACCCTTGTGCAAATATCTTATTACACTTCAAATAGGTAAAAACTAACTTACAAGTATCTTTTCACCAAGATAATAGGAGCTTGTTTTATGTAAATAATTCCTTAATATTCACTACAAATGAATTATTTACTTAAAACAAGCTCCTGTAGCCTACTGATAAGTTACTTTTAAATTCGTTTTGTCTCAAGTCAAGACTAAAAATACTTGCTAAGATTGTGGGGTTTTTGCAGTGTCTTTATTATTTAGTATAACTTGTAAAGAAAAGAAGCGGATTAGACCCACTGTTTTGTGTGCCACGCACATGCAGTACATTCATGGGTCAGGTGCAGTGATAGTTTTGTGCAGAGGCCCCTGACAGCAGCTGTAAACAGTAGCAGAGAAGATTCAACACAAACCCTCCATCATTCTTTGCTGACCTCATGCAGACGAACTGAAGCTCTGGTAAACGCGCCGTGTTTAAAATGCAAGGTTTTACAGTAGCACCCTGCTTTTCCGGGTGGTCCGGGTCTGCTGTCAGGAGAAGTTACCATCTGGCGAAATACCTCAGGAGCTCATTACCACCATCAGCTCCCATCCCCTTTACCTCCATTCTCAATCCCTCCTCCCATTTTCTTCAGCAAGAAATCCACTCAGGCAGAATTGGGCCTGATGCGTTTCACTGCTGCATCTGCTGATTTGCAGTCGCGGTGATTGTTAGTCCCTCTTCTTTTTGTGTTTGTTTCATCCTCTGGAGAAATTTGTAGACGAGGAAAAAACAATGGATTTTTGTTCCTATTAAAGCCTCTTGAAGATTAAAAGGACTTGGATGGCTGACTGGCAGGATGAATCCCACGAAGGGTTTGAATTACAAAAACTGGCTCAGTGGTGCAAATTGTTATTTTTTTTTACAGTATCAAACCTGGATGATTGCAGAGCAGGTATCAGGCAGTGTTTTACAAAAACGTCTCAAGTCTTTATCCTCAAGTCACGAGTCAAATCGCAAGTGAAGACAGGCAAAGGTTGAGTCAAGTCCCACCTCTGGTAGACACATGTAGGCCTGTCACAATAACTAATATTGTTAGATGATAAACTGTACCAGAAGTTATTGTGATAAACGATAATATTGTTGTTTTCAGGTGATTTTCAAGTATTGCATAATAATGAAAGAACACACTCTCAAATATCAATAAACTTTTAATTCTAATGAACATTTAACACTGGAAGACATTCAAAGAAAATGTAAGAAACAACATAAGTAATAAATAAAATGAATTATGAAGTCTCTGTAAACAAAGCTGTCCTCCAAAATAAGGGCTAGTTAAGACCTAAGCTCCAGACTGAAGACTTTTACCATCCAGTTTTTGGTAGAAAGAGAGAAAAGAGAAATTAATAAATCATGCATGAGGAAATTATTGACTGTGTTTTAATTTATCGTGCCATCAATGGATTTATTGCAGCAGTCGTAGGTAGAAGTGTGGACAACTTGCCACAACAACCTCTTGATTTTCCCTTGCTGCAACAAACACATCGGCTGTTATTATGGGGAAGACATGATTAATGCTCTATATGTGCAACCTACAATGGATTGCACAAAAAGCAGGACGGAGGTCACTCGCCGTGTCCACTGAGATTTTACACAATGCTGCCATCCGTCTAGTTACGGAGACTTACCCAGAGTTCCTGCATTAGCTGCTGCGGTCTAGCCAATGTGAGGCTGCTTACTGAGCGTGAGCACAGGGAGGTCTGCAGTTATTAAGGAGAGAAACGGAGCTGCAAAACCGTTCAATTCACCATGTGGTTATTCTCTGCTCACACACCCACCTGGGGCCATTTTATATCTACATATCATCTGCAGGGACTCCACTAACCCGCTTCCCGCATTTCAACATGCAAACAGTGTTGTTGTTACTGGTGTGTAAACAACAATTAGCTTGATTGTCTCGACTCTCAAGCTGCATAAAAAGGCGTATCTGAAATTAAAACTGCCAGAAATTCTGGGTGAAACATTTAGCTGATGACTCATTCAGCATGTGAATTCCAGTAACACATCAGTGTTTGTATCACATCAGATGTCGATAGAAATCAAAATAAATTGAGCCACAATTAAAGCCATGGGGAAAAAACTGGAGAGATAGTTGGAATGAATTAAGAAAGGTTTGGGGAAAACAGATAGAAAGCCATGAAACCAACTGAAATCTGTCAGTGTTTAGAAAGTAGTCGTCTAAAACGACATCAGCTGGTTTAAAGGTGAACTTTTTTACTTCCTTTAAGGAAGGTAGCTCTATAGAAAACCTGTTCAATACATTTTTTTGCACAAAAACATTCTTGGATAATGAGATTTTAATCTACTCAGTTCTGAGTATATTCAACTGATTTAGGACTTCTTGTCACTTTAAATTCAAATAAGATGCACCTCACCACGCCCCCAACTCAATGTTCACACTCGCGCATGAAAATGGCTGCTAACAAATGCTGAATTACACAGCTGTACTGATTTGAAAAGCAGAAGTGGAGCCTCCTGCAACAAGTATGCATAAAGTGGCTTCTGAATAGTAAGTCAAAACAACAAAACACTTGTCTTTTCCAGCAGCCATTGTACGGCTCATACAGCGATAAAACCAACAGACCAAACATACTATATCTTAGCAAGGGTTGCTAGGTAATGACTCAGTGTGACTCAACAATAATCTTGTTTTTCTAAACCAACTTTTAAATTGCTTTCTTAGGAAACAGGAGGATCAGCCATATTTATGAAATGAAACCTTATGTAACTTTCAGAAGGGCCAAAATGCAGCAGCAACCCAGCAGACTCAGGATTAAAAAGTACAACTTCTTAAATCTGCACAATACTAAAGCAATAATACTTGGTCCTCTGAGGGAGCTTCGCCCTCCATCGCTTCCTGAAAAAATCTGAGCTATTCTAATACCCCATTCATGGCAAACAAAAGGTCTTACAAAGTTCATTTAAGGAAACAAAAATGCAAAAAAAAAAACCCCAAAAAACAGACAGAGCCACTTAGAAAGCAACAATTTGAGATGGAAGGAAATTAATATTGCATGAAATGTCAGAAGGAGAGAATAATACTTAAGACTGACTGAAACACAGTGTTTACGGCTCTCCTTATCAGGACTGAGGCCTTTAGAGGACAGGATGTTAGTGAAAGGTTAATGTGTGTCTTAATAGGGAGAAACGACTCTCTGTGATGTTGATCTCATTTAGAGGCACAGAACTGTAAAATTACCGAAATGTGCTGTGTGGAGAGGTGAATCAGTGTGTATCAATTAAATTTTAAGGGTCACAATTTGATTCAGAAACAAATTTTTCCAATCAAACGGTTTAGAAATTATGTCTAAATTATGTGACTGACAAGAGAAAAAGACTGTAAACAAAACATGCATCAAATTCTATCAGTTTATATTTAAGCAAAAATAGATTTATACAGAAAACACAAAATTTTACCAAGTATTTTTGGTTCAGTTTATATTCCTAATTTTTTAGTACACTGGAAATGAGAGGAAAGTAATTTACAAGTAACTTTTCACCAAGATATAAAAGCTTGTTTTAAGTCAATAATACAATAATATTAATGAAAACGTAGTTTTTCCATTGGTAGATTATTTCACTTATAACAAAGCATTTCTCCTGTTATGAATTCAGTAATCTGCCACTGGAACTAGTACTTTTTCACAAATATTCAGGAATTATTTACTAAAAAAAACAAGCTCCTACACATTGCTGAAAAGTTAGTTTTGTCTGACATTAAGTGAAATAAGATATTTGCATTAGAAACTAGAGAAATAATACTTAGCAGAACTTTTTCTGCATTGTAATTATGTGAATTTAACTACTTTTTCTTGCATTATGTTGGATCAGCATGAGATGTTGTGATACTTACGGCGACAGTGTGCGTTGTCGTGCTGGTAGGAACCAGCAGGACAGGAATCCAAGCACTGGTCTCTGTCTGGGCCCAGTAACGGCAACTGGGAATCACAGGATTGGCAATCCCACCGACTGGAACAGGTGGCACAGGACTCTGGGCAGGCTGAAGGGAACGAGAAAGGATGTGATCAAAAAGTTGCTCCAGAAATACATTTTCTGAGCAAACCTGAGCTCTGGAAATGGTTGCAGGACTGAAACAGAAAGCAGGTTGTAAATTTCACACGCAGAAACCCCAAGGGAGACTTTAAATCCAGAGTTTGCTGGAGGGTTGTTACATTGTTAAAGGAACATGGAAGAAAAAACTGGAGACCTCAGCACAAATCCAAGTGAACATAGTTTTCCCTTAAAGAGAAAGGAAGCAAACTGAGGTGTGATATTAATGTGAGAGAATGAAACAGGAGCAGAAGCAGATTTCTCTGCTGGGGGGCCGAAGTTTTGTGTAACTTTAACGAAGCTCTGCAGGTCATGGCTTCAAAGGTGAACAATCTGCTTAATCCAACAAAACTGTGAACTCGACAAGGAAAAGAAAGAAACTTAGAGGGGTTAGGTCCAATTCAGATATAATTTGGATCAGATGAGGTGACTGACACCAAGAGCTCTGAGGTTTTTATCATTTATTTGTTGTTTATTAACTTAGATCAGATGTTCCGACATTCTGCATGTTTTAGTTCATTCAGAGTTTTGACATGGCCCAAAATGCCTTAGATTATTATTCTTGAAGTTTTCCCCCTTTGTTTAACCTAAACCTGACAATAAAAATGCTGATTGCAGCTGTTTACTCTGGTTCAACTTGCAGCTAAAATTTAACAACCGAAAACACTTCAGTAAGATTGATTTAAAACAACTACAACTGAGACCACAGACCATGAAACACTGAGATAAAGACGTTTAACTGGGAGGTTTGTGTTTCTTTACAACAACAAACTCACAATACAACATTGAATTGAGGACATGTAGGAGGAAAAAATGCAAAGCAAAGTTTCTTTTTAAAGTAGAATACAAAACTAAATCCCCTTTAAAGCCAACAGCCACCCACACAGAGACAGATAGCAGGGGAAAAAGAGAAAGTCATGAGGCTGAAGGATCCATACAGATTAGAGCGAGGAAGGTGAGAAGAGAAACAGAAGCTGAACACCCTGAGGAAACATGGTGAGAAATTTAAAGGCAGGAAGATTTGATCTCATTAGAGATATGAAGCTCTGCCTCGTCACTGTGTGTTCACCTACATCTGCTCAGACACGAAAACATCAATATTTAGTTTCACATACTTCAATAAAAACAAAAAGGAAGCAGAAAGGCTTTTAATACTTCTAATATCTTTGTTTTCAACAAGAACACACACTGCGGTGAGCTGAACCGCTGCAACTTTTACAACGTTAGAGGGAAATTTATAACAAGGTTAGAAGCATCCAGCTTGAAAAACTCATCCCTGATGTTTGATTTTATTTAGACAGACTAAAAGAGAAGTGTACAAACTTTTTGTACCAAAGGTGAAAGTGTACAGGCGCCAAAATATTCAATAAATAAAATAAATATTAAAAATAATATATTTGCCCAAATGTTTGCTGTTATTTATGTTTTTAACTCAGAAACTTAGAACAGAAAATCTCATCCTAAAAAAAAGTTACAAAAAGTGTCGGATGGCCAAATGTGCAACATTCTTAAAATGCGTTTAGGAGCCACATAAAAAGACCACAAATGGGCCCCGCGCCGCACTTTGAACACCCGCGTCCTAAATGAAGCAGAAAGAATGTTTTCAAAGCTTTTCCAGTACACCTTAAATCTGCCTTACCTTTCTGATAAAGTTTTTATTTTCGTATTGGAAACCCGTTCAACACATCCGTTCAACTTTGTGTGAATCTTGATTCTATTTTCAAATTACAGCTCAAAACGAGTCACTGGATCCAGAGGAGAGGTTCAATTATAGTAGTGAGTTTTCAAATTGGGTGTTTAAACTCAACATTTACACTCACATGTGAAACAGATGCACAATTACACAAACGCACATCTTTGAGAAGCAGAAGTGGAGCCTCCTGCACAACCAACAAGAATACAGCAAGCAGTTTCTGGACGGTAAATTAACAACAAAACTCTTGTCTTTTCCAGCAGCCATTGTACAGCACACTGAGTGGTAAAACCTGCTGACCAAACATGTTGGAGCTCAGCTTGGGTTGCTGGGAAACAGGCTGGGATTCACTGGGGTTGCTTGGTAACGGCACAGTGTGACTCAACAATTGAGAAGTTTTTGAAACAGCTCATTTTCCAGACACCAAAACCTTTAAGTTATTGCCAAAAAATGGCTGGATGGTTTATTAAAAGCGTTTGGATTGTTTAAAAAAATGTGAAAAATATTAATTTTGCATGTTAGGTCCCTTTTAAAATTCACATTGTCGATTAGCTCAGTGTTCACATTTTTGTTTTTATTTCATGTGCAACATTTAAAAATCATAGAATCAAAAAAATTTTTCAGTCCCAGCCAACCATTTTTTTTCTTACTTTTAATAATTTTAAAGAGGAAAAACGTAAAGTCTTCAGTTTGCTAACAAGCATTAACAGCTATTGCTGCTGACGAGTGTTTTCTTTTTCACTCTTGGCTCTATTATTTCACATCTGCATGTAAAAAGCTGTGGGCGGCAAACATGTCACTCATCCAGAGAACAGATGAAAAGATTCAAAGATTATAGCAATTATTGGTAAACAACTGTAAACAGAAGCTACATCCAAACTGAGTCTTGGTTTAAACTGAAACATACTTACAGAGGCTTCAATCCTCTCTCAAAGCTATTAATCAGACAAGAAATAATCATTTTTTCTCATATGAATTTAATTCAGACCCTTACAGACATTATTTTTATCTTTTCAGCACAGAAAACTGTCGGGTTAGTCAACACATTTGTGAGTTTGTGTCTTTCGTTAAGTAATTTACGCATTTCCAGAGGTGCCATGTTGATGCTGGTGGCTGTTTGTAGTAGATAGATTTACCCAACGTTTAATTATACGATAGGTGAGATGTTGCAATTTTATCCAACGGCCGCTGCTCCTGCGATGAAATGATGGCTTCCAGCTGCCATGTTGGCATCCATATATTTACTCATTCAAGTGATTCTGGTGCAGGAGTGATAGTTTGTGATTAGCAAATTGCTCGGTGCTTATCAGTAATTGCTCTGTAACACGACGCCTGTAGCTTGAATATGGGAGTCATGGCCAAAGGTTTTGGTTGTAAAGCAACTATGATTGCAACGTCTGTCAGATGAAGCTGTAAAAGTCCGTCTGGAAACTCCTCATCCATCTTTTTAACAAACAGACATGCAAAATTCCCCTCCTGCATGTTTTTATGCTTAAATGTGGGTTTCCACTGATTCTAAAGTTCAGCCATGAATTTCCAATTAAACTTATCAATAGGCCTGTCACAATAACAAATTTTACTGGATGATAAGTCATCCCAGAAGTTATTGCGATAAATATTATTGCTTTGAGACCATTTTCAAGTCATATAATGATATTGGCTAAATAGTGCATGAAAACATTCTCAAACTTTAAATTGTAATGAATATTTAACACTGGAGCTGGAAACAAATAAAATGAATTACGGGGTCTCTGTAAACAAAAACCACATCAGATTTTGTCAATAATTTTTGATAGAAATAGAGAAAAAAAGAGAAAAACACTAAATTATCCCAGTGGAAATTGAGCTTGTTTTAATTTATCTTTTTAATTTCCACGCATTGCTGCATTTAAAAGTAATATAAATGTTACCTGCACACACTTGTCCCTCAGCGGCGTAGCCCTCCGGACAGACGGACAGACATCGACCAAGATGGAGGAAAGCTTTGGGGTCTCTGCAGCTCTCACAGCGGTCCGGAGTCCCCAAACAGGAGAGGCAGTCTCCATGGCACTGAGCTGTTAAAAACACATTTCACCAACTTTATCAGGCAGAAAATGCATATGTGGTGGCGGCCATGTCGCACTAGCTAAAACACTTCCACATGATTAGAGATATACATCCATAAAAATCACATCTTAAATCAGTTCCACCAGGTTTTGACAGACTTGGGGAAGATTTAATCGTCTGTCCAACCGGGAGTTTCAGAGAACGTCTTCTGTCATCCAGAAGATCCACCGACGCATTTTATGAACACAATAAGTGAAATTTCAGCTCACGCCATTTCCCAGACGATCCGTCATTTTGACAACAACCTATGAGCCCTCATAAGTCACCTTCTGTAATCTGGTGTTTTGGACATTTTTAAGTGTTAATGAATACATCTGTCCTCTCTTTTCGTCTATCAATTTTAGATTTGTTAAGTATTCAGATGACAAAAACGCAGTGAAGCCAACATATGCGACAAAATCCTACCATAAAACACTCTTTATCGTTGTAACTGTGGAAAACTAACAGCACAGAAAACATTTAAATTTTTTTAAGAGGCAAAGAAACTATTATGAGTCTTGCACAGATCCGTTTAAAATTTTGTTTCGCCTCTTCAGCATCCGAACGTCATGTGCAAATTAAAAAACCGCTTTGTCACTGTCATGTTCTCTGAATAAAAGAAAGGGAGGAGGCAGAGATAAGGCCCGTCCAATCTGGGTTGCAGAACAGGCAAATGAAAGCAAGGGCTTGTCAAACAATGTGCAATGCCGTTTCCACTTGATTTCACAGCGACCGTATTGAGAAAATAAAACAGCAGACTGAGAGAACCGATTAATGTGACAACTGCAGAGCGAGACAGTAGGAGGAGAGCAAGGAGGAAGAAAATGACAAGGGAAAATAAGACAAGGAGGAGAGTTATAGCAGGAGAGACTGTGAGGGCGTGAAAGTGGGAAAGGAAAGTTGAACATGAGAAAAATGAGATGCTACTTTAATCCTAACGACCAATAAGACTGTCAGCAAGCCAGAACAGACTGTTCTAAGTATCTCCATCACTCTCCTCCTTCTCCAATCTGCCGCTTTTTTTGTTCCTTCCACTTTACAGTTTCATTTCATTCCAGTGTTCATCTTCTTTTCATCTGCCTTTCATCTCACTTTTTGACCTTAAGTTTCACCCTAAGGCCAGACTTTTTATTGGAGATAAGAGAGAACTGCAGGAGCTTGTGCAGAAAACAGAGAGAGAATCTGTGAAACATGTGAGCTTTAAGATAGTTAGCAGTGTTTGCTCTGACCCACTGATAGATATTCCGGCTAATATGAACACCACTAAACTGTTTATTTCTCTGCTCAGCTGTGGCTTTTGGCAATAAACTAATTTCTTTCATGAATATAGCCTTTCAATCATGACATTTTTTTTGAAAGCATGTTATTTTATGCATATTTACCACGGAAAACAAATGAGCACATTTACATAAGACGCTCCACTTATGTAGATGCAGGATCGTTTTTGTGTTTGGCTTTGACGTTGCACAGCGCAGAGCGCTTTTGTTTTTATCACGAGTTTAATATGCCAGAATCCCTGAGGTACAAAATTGAAAAGACTGCAAAAGATAACAGCCTGTGATGACAAGTAAGGGAGGATTCTTGATTGCTACGGTAAAATGGCCATTGTTGTTTACGTGTTTGATTGCTTGGAGGGCTTTGACCTTCAACTCGTCCTCCTCTCTTCACATCTTGAAAAGAAGCCAATTTAATAACTAAGGCCAAAAAAAAAGCTGCTCCATAATGGAAATCCCCCCCTCCTGTCTGCAGACAAATTTCCAGTATAAGAGAAAGTTTAAAGAAGGATTAAATCCTTTTAGCTCCTCACTTTGTTGGTGAAAGTATCGGTGAAATGGATAAAGTCACATAACCTGGTCTCACATTACAGTCACAGAGCATAATTATCAAACATCTCAGACTCGCTGCAGGGAGTCGAAATCAAAGTCAATCAGTCCGACTTCAGAGGAGAACTTCAGACTTGTTCATTAAAGTTTCTAGACTTTTAATAAAGTTAATCTTTCCTGATAGCGGGAGGTCTGGTTTTCTGTCTTGGACGATCAGATCTATTTGGAGAACTAATGTATGACCAACACAAAATGGTCCATTACTTTAAAATAAATCATACTTTGTTGTTACATTTTAAAAAAAAACTGTGGCATGTATTAGCATTAGCATTTAGCTCCTCTGAGTCAGTCATTTTTAGATCCAGTCTCCATCTGGTAGAAGCTTTTGCGGTTTCAGCCCATAGCTATATACAACACTATATCTGTGTAACTGCATGTCTGTTTGCAGCCATTTTCACTTGTTTTACACGTTGAGTTTGGGGCGTGGCCAAAAGCAGCTTATTTGGATTCAAAGAAGATTAAAATACTCAAAATCTAATTTATCTGAGAATGATTTTGTGCAACTGAACGTGTTTGGTGTAGACCATAGATCTATCCTAAGCATGATAGGAACTTTTCCACAGATTCTTCAACAGAAGTGAAAAACACTCTTTTATTCTGGTCCATTTTCAACACATCAACATGCTTTCATCTAACGCACTGGATGCGTCTTTATAGTCTTTCTCCGGGTGGAAAGGTGAACGTATTCCCCTTTTACACCCTTTAACTGAGTCTCTTTAAGTGTTTCCTATATTTATCTCCATTCATTTTCACACCAGCTCACAGTGGGGAGGCTGCTTTCAAACCGATGTGCGATATAACATGTTCTGCCGTTGGCTGGAAAAGTTCAGAACTAATCCGACCAAAAGAACCTTCTTCAGCTTCTCTCCAAGAAAGAATATCTTTGATTCCTTTTCAACAGAGGCTTTCTTACGTTTTCACCTCGACAGATTCTTCATCTGCGTTACCACTGACCTCTTGACCTCCTTTTCAGCCCGTCAAGCTGCTTCTGCTCTATTGATTGGTTGAATCTGTTTCTTCAGGAAATTAGTTGCACTGGATTTTAATTAGATACAGTTGAGTGAAAGAGACAATATAAATACACGTCACACTTCTCAGATTCCTTTCACAATAAAGCAGGTGTGTCCAAAGTGTGGCCCAGGGGCCATTTGTAGCCCTTTGACTAATTTTCTGCGGCCCCCAACTGCAATTCAAAAGTGATACAAATTTGTCCCATGGATACAGATGGAGAGTAAAATTATTATCAACTTAATTTTCTTACAAAATATTTACCTTTTTTATGACTGAGCTTTAAGAAAAAGTAAAAGTGCATTTATCCAGTTTTTACTGAAAAGCGACTTCGCCGCACCAAAATTGATTCTTTCTTAAACCTGAGTAAATATTGTGAGCGTTTTGAAACAAATGTTGTTCTTATTACTGTAAATATTATTCAATCTTTTATTTCTATAAATACAGCAAACATGAAAAATCTACTACAGCATATCAGGACTATTGCAGAAAAAAGAGAACATAAATATCTGGGAAAAACCAGAAATTTTATTGTTTTTTCTAGAAAAATTTTGAGATTAATCATTAAATTTCAGCGTTTTCTTGGCAGAAATTTACTTCACCTCTTTTTCCTAATCTATAATATTCCTACTTGTTAAAATCCCTTTCAAGCTTTGGATCTACAATAAATACCCATCTGAAAAATTTAAAATAAAAATTGAGCTACTTTATTTGATTAATTTAAGTTTGGTGTTTTTGGCCCAATTAAAAGTTTGGACATCTCTAAAATAAAATTTTTCTTCAACTTAGCGATTCTGATGTATTTAGATTTGGTCCCAATAAAATGGGACAAAATGTGTAACAATAAAAGAATATGGCTGCTGCTGTTACTGCTTTGTCTGGAAAAGACATTCATGTTTATGCAGAATGTGTTCCACATAAAAAAAAAAAGCAGGTCGAAACCTAACAGCACAGAGCTCACATTTACATCTTTTCCCAGGAGACATGAACACAGCACAACCATCAGGTGAGAACTGACCAATAGGATAGCAGATTCCTGACCTCTGGGTCTGAAAACGGCCCTTGATTAATAGACTGAGCGGAAGATTTATGAGGAAAAGAGAAAAAGACAGAAGGAGGTTGTGAGCAAATGTCTTTTTCTATTCTTAGCCACAAAACAATAAAAAATCTTACTCAACACCACACAGACAAACTGATGGAGGACTTGTTTTCCTCTGGTTTTACACCCAACTGTGTTTCCAATGACTATTTAATTGCGTAATTTGACATTTTGAAAATAAATTTGCTGAACGGAAACAAGCCAATTGAATTTTTTTTTTTTTTTTTGGGGGGGGATAAAAAGTGTTTCTGCTGGATGATGCAAGTTTATTTTGGTTGTATCAGAAACAATTTCAGTAGAAAAACTTTTTTTTACCTCAACAACAAGATGTTGCCACTGGCAAAAACCACAAAGAAGAAGGCGACAGGAAGTGGACAGAGGATGATGGTGCGCCGTGTTTTTATGATTTATCGAATGAATAAACAAAGATATTGTACATCTTTTCACGTTGATCAGTCCCTCAGTGCTTATGCTGATGTATGAGGTTAATGTGACCTTTAGCTGCCTGCCACATCAACAATGATGAAGAGAATAATCCGTTCTTCAAGTTGCGTTCGTGATGTGTGAGGTTAAGGAAAAGTCAGTAAGCCGATTTCATAAATGTAATTTATTAAACCAAGATACAGCTGGTCCATTCTGACATGCTGCCTTTAAGAGCTAACAGTCAAATGGCATCCCACAAGGGTTTCCCACTCCCTTTGCCTCTCTGAGCCAAAGAGGGCATTAACTATTACCCCAGCTCCCATTTGCATTTCCCAACATGTGGTTTTCTTTAGGTTTAGCTTTGTTTTAGCTTAGCAGCTAGCTAAAAGGGACAAAAGGAAAACAGAGTTGATTTATTCTCAACAATGACTTGACATCAAGTTAGGCTGAAGTAAAGGTAAGAAATACTGCCACCTGCAGGTGGGAGTTGGCATCGTATTGATTTTAACGATGGAGCTTGATAAAATCTAATGAAGCCAACAGACACGCAACAGTAGATCAAACTGCTGAGGAAGGTAATGTTGGTTCTGAGGGAAAAGTGTCAGACTGCTCACCAGGTTTCCCAAAAGGCCCAGCAATGTCCCAGAAGTTATCGAATAATTTATAAGTTATCAATCAATAAAAAACCTGTTTCAGTGATTGTGAATGTTTTTTTTTTCAGCGGTCTGCAGCTGAGCTGGCACGGCTTTCCCCAATAGACACTTTCAGTCTGTTATTCATAACTATAAACTCGCTCCCTGTTTACGAGCCTCTTCAAGCTTCTTGTTTACATATTTACAGATACTTTATTATTTATAAACTATTTCTGGAAACTTTGTCTGTTGGTTTATTCACTGAAGCGTAACAGACAATATGGCGAAGGAATTTTAACATATAAAACTCAATATAATATCTCTAGAGAGACAAAGAGAGAAAAAGAGTCACATTTTTAAACCTAAAGAATCTGCTGTGAATGCATAAAACATATGACGCATTCAGGTCAAGGGTCAATTCGCCCTAAAATCACCTTTCAGGCTTCCAAAAGAGAAAAACAAGTTTAAAATAAATTACGTACCCTGCTGACACTCGGGGCAGCATCGGCCTTCCTTTTTGACAGCCAGAGTTCCTGGTGGGCAAGTGGGGCAGGAGCGCAGATAGCAAGTCACTCACTCTCACTCGCGGGTTCAAAGCTCAGGACTTCATTTCCTTAATGGACAAAAGCAGACTGCGCGATGATTTTAGAGAGGAATCTCAATCGCTTTTAGAAAACAGGACTATTCTTCAATTTTTATGAGTTTTATTTTAGAAAAAGCTTCACACTCGTGACTTTTAAGGTGTTCTGAAAACAGAATGAGGGAATCAAGGGGAGAGTTACACCAGCAGCAACTTCAGCGTCAAAACACAAAGAAAATACAAAATGCCTAAAATGTAAAACTTTTCCAACTTTACCAACTTTAAGTTGAGAAATAAGGCGTTATACATATTAAAATACAGTATTTTTTTTTCTTTCAGCTGCCTGCCTTCATTTATTACCCAGTTCACTTTCTGAGCAACACAGACAGTATGACCCTGAATGAGTAATAAAGTGAATTAAACATATACAATATTCTTTATTCCTAATAGCACACCAGATGAACTGAATAATTCAGAACCAAACATCTGACTAGATTCAAAACGGCGACATATTTCCATCGCTCAAAAACAATAACATGATGTTTTCAAAGTGTTTTAGATATGCAGTAAAGAGAAGAGAGTCTATAATAGCGCATGAGTCAAGGTTTACTTTCTGTTCTCCACTGACACCTGAAGAAGCCACATCTGCACCAAGCTTATGCAAACATCTGCTCAGACTATTTAGTTTGATATGATTAAAATTCATTAGAAATAAGAAAATAAAAAATGTCTTTTGTCTTTTATGACTAAAACTTTGTGTTTTATGTATTTATATTATAGACATAAATAGTGATTCTAATAGGCTGACAGAAATGGTAGAGTATTTTCAGTTTGGTCCACATCAAAAGATGTTCTTAAAGGTCCGGTTGTACCGGAATATATTGAAAAAACCCATTAAACTGTTGACATATCAATAAATAGCTGTTCCTGCGTGCAATCAAGATTGCACATTTTGTGGTGCCATTTTAAAAGATTTTATGGCATTTGTGCTAATGTATGATGTTAAATGTGACTTTTTGTTACTTGCCGCCAAATCAATTATAGACTATAACTTCCCATCAAGTAAAGCCGAGGCAGCAGTTACTTAAAATCAATATTTTTTAACAATTTTAAGAAAATTTTGCAGTAAAATAAGAATAAAAAAGTGATTTGTTTTGGGTGAATTTTGCAGATTTGTGGAAAAACTGGAAGGATTTATTGATGTAATGTGGAATTTAGAGGGCCGCATAAAGAGCCGTGGCGGGCCAGATGTGGCCCACAGGCCTTGAGTTTGACTACTGATCAACTAAAGCACCTTTTATTCAGGCTCAAAGCAAAAAAAAGTAAAGAAAGAGACAATATTATCTTCTCAGTCTCATTGTGATTCAACTTCAACTAAAAGGCAGGTCCTCCATAAATGTATCACATCATTCTCCCTCATTATATTTCCATGCTGTTATCTAAAGGTCCTTTGAGTTTCCAACCAGTAATCATTCCGTCACAAAAGCGTCTATTTTCTTTCGCTAATGGTGAAATACTTTCTCCAGGGAGACAAAGAACAATCCATTTGGAGATGATAACTATCATAACTGCCGTTTATGGACTCACTCTGAGCTGCAGCCGTGGGAAAATGTCTTAAGATTTCATAAATATTTTGTCCTGATTGATGCTGTAAAACATGCAAGCTGTGAAATCCAGTTTTCTAGGACTTCGTTATGAATAATAAAACTGATGAAAGTCTCCGAGATCTGGGCCAAGATGTTAAAACAAACCTCAAAGCAGCAGAACTTTGTTTTTCTGCCATTATCAATCAAGCTGCTGCAATCAATAATTGCTACTGTTTAGGGTTTGAGTTCATACATTTACTGACAAACTAACATTAATATGGGCAACACACACTAAGGACACCTACATTGTTTGGATTTTTTTCTTTTCTTTTGCCTCTCTGGTGATTTTTCTATATGCCTGGCATGTTAACTAATTTTGCTGGATGATAAATTGTCCCAGAAATTATGAAAAAAAGTAATATTATTGACATTTTGAGACTATTTTCAATTAAAAAAAATAATTACAATGAAATGTTAATGTGAGAACCCCCTCTCGATAAAACAAAAACTCTTGAATTAGAAAACATTTTAAAAATACAAAATACAAAAATAAAATGATAATAATTCAAATGGATTGTGAAGTCTCTGTAACAGAAGACAATAATTCAGTTAAGGAAGGGAAAACGGGCAAAATGGGCAGGTAGTGCAGCTGACTACGAGGTGCATCGCTTTTCGACAACATCTAACGACTCCTTTTAATTTCTTACGCAGTTAATTGATTTATTCCTTATTGCGACAGGTTTGGTTATGTCTGAGTGACTCAGAGTAATTAATACCTTGAACGATTTCCCCTCATAGAGACAGGAAGGCTTCACCGAAGAACATTCTGGGCAACATTTTCCCGGCAGATGAACAAGCTCTGCGTCCTAAAACAGAAACACAAAATGGACAAATGAAAAGTTCACTCAAATTTAGTTTAGTCAGTAAGAAAAGTGGCTACAGATGACATCATCGCCTGATTTCCATATTTGGTCATGTTGATCCAGGAAGTAGAAGAAAAAATATGTTTAAATCTATAAAAGAGCATAATTAAATTATTTAGTTCTCGTTTGATAAAAATCTTTACTTTTTCAAACAGAATAAAAACTAATAGAACAAAAGCTTTGCCACCCAAACATCTTCAATATGGTGAAAAATGTAAAAAGATGTTAAAATGCATCTTGCAATAACCTCCGAAAATGATGCAGAAAAAAACTGTGAAATCTAAATCTACATCCAGGCGATAAATTGAAGTTATTATGATAAACGATAATATTGTTGTGATATATTGGTAATCGCAAAATAAATAAACTTTAAATTAATGTTTAACACAGGTACTGGAAAACATTTTAAATAAATAAAATCACAAAAACATTAAATTATAATAAAGTCCTTCAAAATAAGGGCTGGTTGAGTCTGAAGAGTTTTAGCATCAAGTTTTTTTTTGGTACAAAGAGGGAAAGAAAGGAAAAAAAATCACACAAATGGAAATTATTAACCTCATTTTAATTTATCATGTGATTAACAGATTTATTATTTATTGCAACACAATTATCTATGTAATCCATATAAACATCAGCATTTGGAAATTATAAATAAAATCTAAAGCACTTATATTACATTTCTGGCAACAGAAATAAATTTAGTATCAGCAACCAATAACTTCATAAAATAACCTAAACAGTTTGTTCTCTTCCTTTTCTGTGGCCTTTGAAGGTTGTTCACAAGTCAAAAAAGTCTCAAACGGTATCTATTCAGTCGGTGGAGCATGGCGTTATTAGTCGAGCGACCATAAACCGAACTATAAACATTAGTTTCTCCTTCTGCCTACTGAGTCAAAAATGTCATTAAACCCATAACCTTCTCTGAACTGTAACGAACACTGAAGCACACGCACTCTGGAAACTGAAAAGCTGCGATCTTCACAGCGACGTGACCTTGTTCATTTCAGGGCTGGACAAGAGCCAGTTATGCCACTTACAGTAAATGGCACTTAACAGTTTCAATTATCACCATATAGCATGATTAATAGCGTCTTATTGCGACCCCGCAGAGAGACATTAAAGCAATATGATTCAATCTGCTTCATTCCTGCCCACCTTAAAGCAGAAATTCACAATAAATAATGAAAACTCCAGTTATTGGCCTTAAAAATCTTTGGATTTGCCTAAAAACTCTCCAATAATCCAGAATCCCACGTCACCAGCTACCTTAAGAGACCTAATTACCAGATGAAGTCTCTGTTTTAAGCTGAAGCCGATTCCACATAATAAGACCATTAGATGTGAAGCACAGAGAGAAACCCTTGCAGCTGTCAGGTTAATTCATTTCTTTGGACCGAGCAGCACATTTTAAGGCTCTTCTTCTTCTCATTAGTTCCATCTTGTCTTTCAATTTACTGCATCTTAACGAAGTGATTATCTGTGACAACCTTATAACCTTTAATGAATATTCTTTCTCCAGTTTCAGACAGTCTGCTGATATATTCTGGCTAAACGTAGAAAATGGAGGAAGAAAGTAACTAAGCCAGCCTCCGTTAACTCTATAGTTGAATTTTAAAGAGACAATAAAGGATTTTTGGTAGCAGGAGTGTCGCCTGTTAGTGAGGAGCAGTTCACATTAGCATTCATGGTTAATCCTGATTCACTGGATTTAAACTGAATGTGGCATTTAATCTGATTAAGGTTAAAGGCTCTGCTGAAACTCATGAAGTAAAGTTCGACACATTAATACTCTACAGAGAACCAAACCGGCTTCATGCATTCGCTCTGCTACCTGTTCAGCGTTTCGTGAATCCTGATCGAATCGTTGTTCATAAAACCTTCACAGAAGAAAAACTTTTCCTCTTTAACGTTTGGGGAGGAATTAGTCATTCACGCTTTAATATTTTTAAAAAGATATTTAGTGTTATTTACTCTGAAAACTATTAGGAAATAATAGATATGGAAATTTGGGTGGATATTGATAGCCAATAATAATATTGGTGCTATGATCGATAAGCAGTTTTTACCGATACAGATATCGTTAACAATATCAGTTCATATCAGTGAAGATGATGGACGGACGGACTCACCGGTGGACATCCAACATGGCCGCATTCGGCCTTCCGACAGACCACTTGACCGCGGTGACAGGCGCAGAACTCGCACCTCGTGCCGTTCCACATGTCTCCATGATAACGGACCTCGCCCTGGTACAGGCAGCTTCCTTTGGCGGGGGCACATTCGTCGCAGCACCGACCGGCGCGCCTCACTTTGGTCAGACCCTGCGCAGAAACGGAGACGCGAGAAGGAAAACTCAGAGAAATGTTTCTGCTTTCTGCTTGTTTTGAGGGAAATCGAGAGTCTGAAGGAGTTTCTTGTTGCTTCGTCACAGAAAAACACAGCTGGCTGTTCCTCCAGCTTAATGTCAGAGAGCTGAAGAGAACAGGCTTTCATGGATACTTTCATTTTTTTATATAAAAGATTCATGCTTTGGTTTCTGTCTTGTTTTTCTGTGTCACTTTCCAGTTGCTTCTCCACACACACCTGGTTTAGAAGTTATTTATTTGTATATATTTTAGGATCTTGGGTTGTTCAGAGAAATCCTGACCAGAAACTCAAACAACTCAGAGAAGCAGCATCTCTTCTCCAACAGAGCAGACAAAGCGTACCTCCTTCTCTTCCAACTCACCAAATGTTTTATAAATGCCTTTTTTCTGTTTTTACAATCCATTATTTCCACCACGTCAGTCTTTGTCACAAAATAATAAAGTGCTAGAAATAAAAACTACTAACGTTTCAGATAAGCATTAAAATTATAAACAGTGGAGACTCAGATCTGTTACCTCATCAACATTAAAGGCATCATTCTGCACTTTGCAGGCATTTAGTGTTTTGGTGTGTGCACGTGTGTGTGGGTGTGTGTGTGTGTGCGTGCGTGCCTGCCTGCCTGCCTGCCCGCCTGCGTGCGTGCGTGCGTGGGTGGGTGCGTGCGTGTGTGTTGTGTTTTACACTCCCCTGCGATTCCACCACCAACAGTTCCAGCGCACTAAAGAAGCTGCAAGATGAAATTTGCATGCAATTAAGGATAAAATGTCAGGCTGTGTGAATATTTTGTGCATGCATCGTGTGTTCAAGAGTGTGTGTGTGTGTGTGCACATTGGCGTGCATACCTGTGTGTGTGTATGTGTATGTATAAGTAATTGCACTTGTCATGCTGTGTTGCTGTAAAACTGTTACAGAGTTGCACTGTGGGAACTTGCCTCCGTTTTGGGAATATTATGCAAACCTCCCTGATGTATACATTTATATTTCAGCTTCAAGACTTTCTGTTTAAAGTTAGACTTCAAGACTCCTCGTTTTCTTCTTAAGCGTGTGTGTGTGTGCGTGCGCATGTGTGCGTGTGTGGTTGCTCACCTTGTCGCAGACAGCTGGCTGACAGGTGTCTGTGTGACATTTCGACTGACCCCGGTCGCACACACATGTGGTGCAGGCGTCCTTCTGCCACTGCTCCCCATGCTGCAGGGAGACACAGACGCACATTTAGATCGCTCCAAGCTCTGAGTGCGACACCAAAAGCCGAATGAAATCCAGGGAGCTTTCTTCCTCTGAGACAGAAAATCAGCGGCGTCCTGGGAGGGAGGACGCAGTTCCAACACACAGCCAGCACTGAAATGTCAAACAAATACTCTGTTTTAGGCTGGAAGAAGAAGAAGGGAGGCAAGAATAATAATAAATAAATGTGCAAAATGTTAATTAATGAGTTTCTGCTTTGTAAAAATGTTCACCAAATCCAGTTTAAGACTGTTTAAAACTATTATGTTAGTCACTCAAACCACAAAGCATAGAATTAGACTGAATAGATCCACTCCTATAAATTGGGCACATTGCCACCAAAACAAATCTAGATTTTCTTATGATATTGAACTGATATGGATTAATATCAGATCTGCGAATCTCTAGAGATTGATGTATTTAACTTGCATTGTTTTCTGATTACTTCAAGACATTTTAAGGCTTTAATTAGATTAGATTATCTGTCCGTCAACTCCATTAATCCAAGACGCAGATCCAGCAGGTAAACACAAACACTCGACTGAGACGATCTCCAGATCCGCCTGAGTTATTCCCAGGTCAGTGGAGATAAATATAATCCCTGCAGCGAGTTCTGGGTCTGCTGCAGGGTCTCCTCCAGGTCGGCAGCGTCTCCAGGACGAGCTGTCAGTTTACCCAGACATGGACATTTCAGCTGCTGTTTGTGCTTCCAGCTGAAACTCTGAGTTATTCCAGGACTTCTTAAAATCTTGGCTAGAAGTAAAAATATCAGACGTCAGAAAGGACTGCAAATGTTTTTATTCCTTCAACTTTTTCACATCTTAACATTTAAGCCTCAACAATAAGCCTCGGAGATTAATTGGGATTTTATTAGTCAGAAAAAGCTGAGGCTAAATATGAGATGGAAATAAAATGAGAAATGTTTTTGCTAAGATTTTCAGACATAGAAATCTCTGCTGGGTAAATTTATGGCTCCACTGTGTATAATTTAACCCAAATGCACTGCAAAAACTCACAATCTTACCAACTTGGGGTTAGTTTGTAGCGCAAATATCTCAGTACACTTGAAATAAGACAAAACTAACTTACAAGAAACTTTTCAGCAAAATATAGGAGTAGGAAAAATTATTGAGTTTGTTTTAACTCAATAATTCCTTAATATTGAAGGAAAATGTATTGCTTAGTTTTATTGACAGATCATTCACTTCTAACAAAACATTTCTCCCATGTTAAAACTGAAATAATCTGCCAATGGAACTAGAACTTTTTCATCAATATTAAGGAATTATTGACTTCTATGCACAAGTGTGAAACAAACTTCCAGAAAAATGTAAAACAGTCGAAAGAATGAGTTGCTTTAGAGCTGCTTTCCTACCATAACAAATGAAACATTGACCAACGTTTTGATGTGTAATGACAGTACTTGGAAAAATGCCATTCTTCCTATGGTTGATTTTTGTGTCTTCATGATGTAAAGCCATATTGCTGAAATGTGCCATATTGAAAAGTTACTTGCAACTTAGTTTAGTCTTATTTCAAGTATCCTAAGATATTTCCACTAGAAAATAGACCAAAAATGTTTTTGCATTTTATGAATGGATCTGCTGTTTCTGGCCTTAGAAAGTTGTCAGCAAACATTAGACCAAGAGACACAGCAAGGAGAAAGTGGTGGAGAAGCTTAAACCGGCTAGCACTGAACATCTCCAATTAAATGAATATGTAAATCAAGTAATTTGGTTTTGTGCATGTTGCCCCGAACCGGCTTCATATCTGGTGAGTTTCAGGTCTCGAATTTAAAATCCAGTTTGAATTGAGGTCACCGTCCTGCAGACTTCAGATTTAATTCCAACTTAATTTCCCTTTAAAGTTAAATGGCTGAATTAAATATCGACCCACGGCTCGGAAAATGCAAATGATTTCAGTGTTTAAGACATCAAAACACAGAGAAGCTGTTTGAACATCAATCATCTCAGAGTGATTTATGACCTTCCAGGAGGATTTAAACTCTCACCTGAACAAACGCATCAAAAGAGCTCAGAATAATCATTTATATTCAGCCTGAACATTGTTTTAACATTCAGTGACTCTTCATTTACACACGATTACTGAGAGTGAAACTGTATCTGTATTTAACAAGTTTAGATGTAAGAAAGTACTTCTTTTTTCATTTTGTGTTAACTGAAAAATTAACTTTTAAAAATCATTGTTTTGATGAAAAAGGTGAGGAATATCATTTTGTAGAAAATAGAGGCGATAAAGTAGATTATTGAAGCTAAAACATGTGAAAAAATAAAAGGACATACACTAAAATGAGGAAACTTTATGTTTCTTTTCATAAAGAAAACATACACTTTTATATTTTACATCTACCAGTGTGTCTTAATAATTTTAAATACTATGGAGAAGTTCATTTCTTTCATTAATCCTCATCAGTAAAAGTGAAATATCATATAAATTAATTAAATAATGATGTTTTCAAGCCTAATTATGTTTTTCAGTTAATAAAAATGCAACATTAGATTAGGATTTCCCACCAGATCAATAAAGAATACAGCTTCAATGCAGAAATACCTGTTTAGAAGTTATTTTCAAGTTGTCTAATCTAATTTGTGCCTGTTCAATTATTTACCCAAAGATTTGAGAAAATTAGAGCACTTTGTTTCATTTAAATATTGCATGTTTTGTTAGTAGGTGAAAATTAATTCACTGAATTATTTATGGAGATTTTATGTGGGGAAAAAAATAGAAATTACATCCAGAGAGTATTTTACTTTTCATGAGACTTGAGTCTTGGGTGTCTTCAGTCAGAGGCTTCTTCAAATTTGCTGTAATACAGACTGCTACTGGAGATCTCTCCTGCCAACAGCCTTCACTACTGAAGAATTTCAATAAATATAAGTTACAAAAATGTTTAATTTCCCTTTGGGATCAATAAATTTAATCGAATAAAACTTAAGAATTGTTTTAGGCGTTTAGTTACGTGCTTGGACATTTCAATACTTTGTCAACAAACAAGCTAGAAAATATTTTCTTTTCCAAGACTTTAATACTTAGCTGAATTTATTGGCTGATATACATGAAAAATCCTTGATTATATTATTCCTTCTGAAGTTGAGAGCTTGTGTGCATTTAAAGATCCAAGCGTGGAATAGAGAGGGACGCACGATGTGATGAAAGTGAGAGATCAGAGTCTGCACGGCGCTGAAAACAGGAAACAAACAGCGAGGAAAGAGGACGGATTAAAGCTTTTCGGAGTGCGAGGCCCACCTGGTACTGTGTTCCAGCAGAGAGACACGGGTTGGACACACACTGTGGACAGCAGTGGCCTGGCTGGATCACCAGGTTCTCATGCTGGAAGAGGAGGAAAACACGTCAGAACATCATTTGTTTTTGTTTTAAGCAGTTAGGAGGAAAAGTGGGGGAACCTGAAACTGTTGCTGCACCAGTTACTCAGCAGATTGTTGCCAAAGAATGAGTGAGCCAGGCTCTGTTTACACCACAACAATTTCTGGTGAAAACTGAAGAGTTTTGTCGTGTTTGTACTGTACATCTACATGAAACCACCGAATGTTTTCTCTGACAAAGCCACAGATTGAAAACGGGCTCCACAGAGCAACGATTCTAAAACGTAGCGGTGTCCATTGTCTTGTGAACAGAGTAAATGGATCTTGCTGTCAGGGAATCTCTACCTCATGCATAATATGACGAAAAACAGAGCTGCTTCCAACAATCCACAGAAGAAGAAGAAACTACTGACAATGCTGGTGTTACTAAAATTCATGTTTCCCTCATCGTCTCTTCACCGCTCCGCACAGCCCAGGTGGCAAAACACACCTGTGCTTGTCCAGCGGTCTCATCTAGAGAACTACGGACACAATCAAGCTCAAACAAAGTGTTTCTGCAAATTAATCCACTGAATTCAAATAACTGAGCTGAGCAGGACAGACACAAAGCCACAGAATAAAAGATGAAAGCACTCAAAGTGTGTTTGAGATGAAACTCACTGGTCTGCAGGCCACTTGCTGACACTCCACCACCGAACACTGGGCGTTCCCACTGCTGCACACACATCTGGTACACAAGCCGGGCTCCCACTCCTCTCCGTCCCTGTAGACCATCCCCTGCCAGGAGCAAGACTCTGACACGCACCAACAACAACTAAATGAGTAAACAGCAAAGATGGCCGCCGGCTGAAGAACAGGCTCTGTAAGCATTACTTTCCTGCACAATCTGTGGTTTAGAGTCAGGAAACAAAGAGAATTAGCTAATTAGCTGCTAAACGGTGAGATAAATCATTGTCGCTCCGAGACATCATTAGATCCAATATTAACGTTTCAGCATGAATCTGAAGATCTGGTGGAACGTCATATCTGCACGTGGTTAATTCGTTCAGAAATATGCCGTCCGAGGATGTGAATTTAAAATTATTCCTGTGTTTCACAAAACCAGTAAAAAAAAAAAAAAAATTCTGGAATTTCAAGATGTGTAACAAAAACAGTATCCATCTCTGAAAGAACTCCTCGGAAAAAAATACTTATTTCATCTGAATTTCACATTTTCCTGATTTTTTTTGTGCAAAAACACAAAATCTTACCAAGTAATTTTACTGGGTTTCCAAAACCAATAACTATTTTAAAATAGTTTTAAAATAGTTTTAGGGACAAACTATTTTAAAGTAATGTTTAATAATTTTTATGCTAAGTTTCAATAATCAAACTAAGAAATTTATTATATATTTTAAGAAAACTGATTGAATACAAATGTGTATTTACTTAAGATTACTTCCTGAATTTATAGAGCTGTATCATTGTTCCATGAACTCATTATAAAGGTTCCATCGTCTGAATGTCAAAGTTGTTAATATTAAGCTTAAAATATTCTGTAACTTGTAATTGTCAGAAATCAGAGGATGAAATCTGCAATTTCTCAAAACAACAATAATTCAAAATATTCAGCCTGTATAAGATCTTTGCAGAACAATAAATGCTTTATTAAAAACAATATAAAGCAAATGCAGTGGGTATTAAAATCTTTGTGTCCATCTCTCACCTCCATTACTGCCACACTTGGGGCAGCAATCCCCAGTTGGGATAAACGGGTTCTGGTCCGGTGAACAGGTGAGCTGGGGGCAGGGCCGGGCATGGCAGGACACACTCCCTTTAGAGCAAACACACACCGAACAGGGAGAGAGACTCCACTGGCTGTCGTGCTGTGGGAAGCAAACAAAGGAAAAAAGAGAATCACATGGAGAAATAAAACCTCAAGCGAAAATAAGACAGGGAGGAGAAGAAGCAGTGAGATGAAGCAAACTGAGGAGAAGAAACGCTCTAAGCCTGAGTGACAGATGAGAAAACAGACACTGAGTGGGTAGGAAGCAGAAAGAGTGGCTAAATACAATGATGTATTGGGATCGGTAATTCTAAAAATTCTAAAAATATTAATATATAAAGTCTAAGAAATGTTCTGAAAAAAAATCTTGGACATTTTTGAGGTCCAAAAGTCAATAATCTGCAAGAAAAAAAGTTTAAGCTAAGAAATTTTCTGGAATAAGCGTAGATATTTCTGGGTTTCCAAAACCAAAAATGTTTGACTTTTCAAGCTCAAATTACCAAAAGTCAAAGCTCTGCCACCCAACTTGCAGATTTTATCTCTTTAGCGATAGACAGAAATTTATAACCACAAGTTCAATTTTATATTTCTTAATTTCCACATACCAGTTGTTTCTTTTTAAAGGAGTTTGAATAATATTGCCTTTCATAATTTAGAGGTAAATGTACAACGAAGGGGAAACAATGAAGGGAGAACGACTCTGCGGGCAAGAATCTGTGAAGCTGAATTAAAATCAGAGATAACTCCCAGTCAGAGATAGAAGTGCTAAAGGCTGAAAGGAAAACATGAGACAGGATGAAAAACTAGAAAAAGACAGATTAAAGAAGTGTGAACATGGAAAGCAGATGTCTAATTTAAATTTGAGCAGTTATCGCAACTGCCTTGGGCTAAAACTAAACATGCTATAGCGAGCTAGCGAGTGGCTAACAGTAGAAATTATGACTTTTCCAGGAGTTCCTTTTAATATGAAATCTTGGCTTTATGTACCTCCACAGGCTTTACACATTCATAAATCTCAAATTTAATAATTTCTATGAATGAGAGAAGTACAGTAGATGAAATCCACAAGTTAATTTCACGTATTTCATCTGCTACTGCAATGGTTCCCAAAGATTTTCTGGGACCCCCTATGGATTGCAATAAAATAAAAAGTTTTTTTTTTCTTTTTTCATTTATCCATACCGCTTTCTGCGCCCCTGTGCAATGGCATTGCGTCCCCCTACAGGCCGCGCCCCACACTTTGGGAACCGCTCTGCTACTATATCAATATGCGAGTGAAGTACACTAGTCCTTTCCCTTTTACGTTACATAAATAAACATTAAATTAAACCATATTAAATAAAACAAACCATATAAATCTGAATTAAAGAGACACAAGAAGAGTTAAAAAAAACATTATGATTCACAACTACTAAAATCTATGGAGCTAAATTGGGGCCATAAAGTTTGTTCAACAGAAGAAATGTTGAGAAAAAAGATTTGAAACAGAGAAAGTATTTTGAATCTGAGAAAAAAAAGTTTCAAAATTGAAAATAGAAATTTGAACCTAAAAAATAAGTTTGAAGATTTGAAACTGAAAAAAAGTTTCAAAACTACTTTTCTAATGCAAGTGGTTTTCTCCAGGTTCAAAATAGTGTTTCAATTCTTTCTTTTTTTTTTTTTGAACAGACTTTCTGGCCTCAATTTAGCTCCATATAAATCACACATTTAATTATCTTATAGACAGAGTTATGTAAAACACACTGGAATGAATCTGCAAGTTTATACTGAATGCCATTCCAAGAAGCTCTGTCTTTAAATAACCAACCAAGAAACTGTCAGGTTTTTTCTTTACGACTGAACATTTACATTTTGTAAATGTGCTAAAATAAAACCAGTCAGCGACGACACTTTTGTAAACATTCAAGTTCAGTTTGAAAAATCATTTAGAGCTTAAAATACAATTAATGGAGTCAAGCCTTTTGATGTCTGCAAAATAGTTCCCAACAACCAACTGCTGTTCATGAGTTGCAGCAGTTTAAATATTTTCAGTCCTTTGGTGGAAAAAGATTAAATCCTCAAAAAAGCCGTGACTTGTGAGCACAACTCCTCCCCCAGATGCCCAGATCCGTGTGAAGCGCCACTTCACTGCGATGCCAGCAGAATCTGGAAGCCCTGCCAAGAAAAAGACTTGTTTCCCTTGAGAACTTGTACTGTCTAAATTGGCTGCCAAAAGCTGAAGGACACTTGATTGAAGATAAACAAGGGAGTGATGCTTTTGTGTGAGGAGAGAGGTGGAAAATTTTCAGGAAACAAGTTTTTTATGAAGATGAACGCCAATAATGTCAGGAAATGTATCAAAACACAATTCTGCTTCCATTGGTGAATGAATAAAAGAAGGCTCTATTAGACAGAGACCTGCAGCTTTTTTGATGTTTTGTGGTATTTTCTTGCAGAAAAGACTCCCCAGTTTTATGTTGGACAACAAACCAACACAAAATGAAATAAAAAGTGGGACAAATTATTTGGGTTTGCAACATTTTAATTTTGATCATAAATATTCTCAAATAATGTATTGATAAAGCTAATAAATCCATTTAACACATTGGGTAAAAATGCTATAGATCAATGATGTCCAAACTTTTTATGATGCAAATATATTTACAGAAAAAAAAAAGAACAAAACATTCATTCGTGGAGAACAGCACAGCTAAAAACAAAAGACAAAGACAAAGTGAGGTTCTGAAACAATTAGGCGCCAAATTATTAAGTTGAAAGCATTTTGGGGCCACAAAAGTTATTTTAAAGTGGCAGTATTATGTGTTTTTGAGCCATGAAGTAGAATTCAATAGCACAATTCAGAAATTATATTACCTTCAGTTCATGCTATAAATATCAAAATGATTTCCAGATTCAACGTCCTGAAATTGGGCCGCTGTCTCTTTAAGAAACTCCTGCTCTTTCAGTCACCGCGACAGAAATTCTGCCCCTTTAAAACAAACTTTTTGTGCCTTTTTAAAAATTTTATCTGCTCAGTAATAAACTAGAAATGTAAAGTTTGATTTAAATCAAACTTGTAGAAAATGGATCTGTAAATCATAGCAGGTTTTTGTTATTGGCAGACATTTTCAAACTGCCTCAGATTGTCTATTTTTCTTTTCTGGTCTGTAGATGATTTGCGTTTGAGTAAAACAGGGAGATGTATGTGGATACTCTAAAGCTAAGACAGAAGCAGAAACGTCGTTAATTATTGCCAATCTATCTTTATACCCCATTCTTATTAAAACTGGATGTGATTTATTTGAAAAAACTTTCCCTACAAGATGAAACAGAGTCCATCTTCAGCAACTTGTGCACCACATTTATCACATAGCCAGGAAAAAAATGTGTTAATATTTGCACAGACCACTGATATTAAAATTTGTCCATCCAGGCCAACTTTCCAATTTTAGAGTGAAATTACAGTCCATAGTACCTCTGAATAATATCTGAAATATTTTACAGACAGAGAGCACACTGAGGAAAAAGCTGAACTCCAAGAAAGCCAGAATTTAATATCCTTCAATACTTATAAGCCATAAGTTTTTCTCCTTTCAGGCTTGTTGGCGTCCAGTTTCTGCTGTTAGCGTCCCACATTTGACCTTAAAGGTCATCCCAGAAGTATTGGATAAGGTTGAGGTCAGACTTTTTGCCCCAACTAAGAAAACAATTCTTTTGGAACGGCCTTTCTGCCCAAAGGCAACATTATTTTAAAATGGGAAAAGTCAGAAATGATTTGAGCTGAACTAATAAAAACTGAACGCCATAAGCTGCAATAAAAAGCTGCTGGTAAATTGATTAATTCTTTAATAAACTTGTAGGGAGCAAAAGATTTTTTTATGTTACAGCCACAAATTCGAGGTGTTTTTAATTTATCTTTTTAATTCATCATGCAATTAACTGATTTACTGCTAATTGGAACAGGAGTAGGTGTGTTTATTAGGTCTGAACGGGTTAAAAGCAACACTTTTTGATTCTGCTCACCCCATAAGTAACTCCTTCGTACTGGCAGGAGTCCTGGGATGAGGAGACGCACTCTGGACAGCACTTGTTGGCAGGAATCCTCAGAAATTCACCCTGTGGGATAAAAACACAAAAACATGAATACAAGCAGAGCCTGTCCAAACACACACACACACACACACACACACACACACACACACACACACACACACACACACACACACACACACACACACACACACACACACACACAAACACGCACCCTTAAAAGCCTAACCAAGCCTTCCCCACCCAATTGAAAAAACGTGGGCAGCACGGTGGCGCAGCGGTTAGCGCTGCGTCTTCACAGAGACCCTCTGTGTGGAGTTTGCATGGTCTCCCCGTGTTTGCGTGGGTTTTCCCCGGTTGCTCCGGTTCCCCCCACATCTCCTAAAACATGCAGGTCAGGTCAGTTGGTCTCTGCAAATCGCCCCCGAAAGAAACTTCCTTAACACACACAGACACACACACGCATGCACACACCCACACACACACATCCCCTCCATTGGCTCTCCGTACATGAGGTCCCACCCTGGAGCCACCCTGGCCTGGGGCTGGGGCACGCTCGGGAGCCCCTGGTGGCCGGTGGTGGTATGACAATAAAAACCTTTGAATCCCTGAACTATATCAACAATATGTGCACCAAGCAATACATACACTTAGCATTCCACAGATAAATGCTTTTAATCTGGTTAAGAATAATAATTGTACTGTCAATAAATGAGGCCTAATCGATGTTCTTAGTGACCAGAGGAACAATAAGGCCTTAATCAGCCCAGAGGTTCAAACTGATGAAACATGAGGATGGAGGCTCTCTATTAAAACATTCCTCACCATCTTCCATGTTCTTTCAGCAAAAAGTTGAGACAGAGCTGGTTTTGGTTCCACCACTATTGACCTGCTGTTTTACCCGCCATTGAAAGTTTTCTTGAAAGTCTGAGTCAGGAAGGGAAAATAAATAACTCGCGCCGAATACAAAGCACATCAAATTCAGCATGTCTATTTCCATGGTTATTAACTGCCAAAAGGTTCTGATAGTAATGAATATATAAGGACTTTATCAGATACAATACATGTGCAGGCGTGCAACAAATATTACAATACACCAGGCTGGACTTTTATTTATCCTTTTTTTTTCTTTGGCTCTGCTTTCACACGGTAATTGAGGGCGGAAAGTGTGGCTGGAATCAAATGAGAAAGCAGCGACAGCCGGGCTTCGGCAGTTTAGGTGTTGTTTATCTGAATAAAAATGGTAAGGGACGGAAAAAAGTGATAGGGTAGGAATACAACTTCTGGAAGGTGAAAATAAATAAACATCCCCAAGGAGCTTCAACAGCTGTATTGTGTTAATTGAAAAGGGGGAGGAGGGATATACATGGATTGCAGCAGAAGGCATATCGTTTCTGTAGAAGCACAATAAAAATCTACTGCATGAATGAAAAAGGTCGGTAACAGATGTGCCTCACAGCTCAGCATCCATCATCCATATATTCCATCTAATACATTACCAACATTACAACGCCTAATATAAACCAAGCTTTTTTTTATATAAACTCACCCTAAAAGGCCCTAAAAAAGCTCATTCAAGACAGAACTGATCAGACTGAAATCTCATCATTTAAGAATAATTTTGCACAAAAAAAGAATAAATAAATAATGTTTTGTATAGCTAATATACCTATCTTGACCCGTTTAAAAAAAAGCACAAAATGTCACATTTAAACAGCTTCTCATCAAAACAGGCAGAGGCCACATGGGGTACCACAAGGTTCCTACTTGGGGCCCCTGTTATTTATATTTGGGCCTAAACAGGAACAATCTAGAGTCGACCCACAGCTTCAGTTATTGCAACTAAAAGCTGCCGATCTGGGTGTAGTGATGGGATCTGACCTGACCCGTCAGAAACACGTAAAGACAGTTACAAAGTCGGCTTTCTATCACCTGAAGAACATTTTAAGGGTTAAAGGACATCAGAAACTTGAGAAACTCATCAATGTGTTTATCTTTAGTTCCACTGACTAAAGATGAACAGGCCCACCTGAAACATCAACCAAACAGCTGCCATATTGAAAATGTAACATTTATCAAACTGAAAAGTAAAAAAAAAAAAAAAACATTTACCCAGTTTTATATATTTTTGTCTGGTTGTCATATTTACAGTTATATTTTTGTTAAAGTCATGACTTTGTTCTTTTGTCTGTATCATCCACAGTTTGATCATCTGGGTCTAGTGATGAACTCTGACCTGAACATTCAGGAACACATAAAGATCATTACAAAGTTGGCCTTTTATCACCTGAGGAACATTTTCAGGAATAAAGTATTGATGTCCCAGCAAGATTTAGAGAGAAATTGTTTATCTTTTTATGAATATATTAGTGCAAGGATGTTTTCACAGGCCTGCCTAAAAGGTCAACCGGGCAAAACTCTACATTTCTCTTGCACAGAAAAAAAGTTACCCAACTTTTTATTATTTTTTTTCTGATGATAAATATTGAATGTACTTTTTTCAATAAATATATGTCTCTCTTTTATTTGCAATGTCGAGAGTAAGCCCCAGGGTGTGAAAAATGCTTTTTACTTGACAGGTTGCATTCGAATAACTATTAAAGCAGCACTAAACAACCTGCAGATGCTCAACAGAAAGGTCAGTTTGCAGAGAAGAGAAAAAGTAAGATAAATGTGCACTCAAATAGCCAAGAAGGGGATTTTAAAAGAAAGGCATTTATTCTGAGTCTGGCAGATGATTCGATCTCCACAGTTTTATCGGTTTGGGTGACAGGGAGTCAGATTTAAAGAGCTTTCTTAATGGTGGGGGTACACGGGTTGCTGAGCATGATGACTAATTTTTAATTAGCGCCGCATTGCCAGACGGCAGAGTGGAATCCATCAGACATTGATTGTTGCCTTAACTCAGCATGGGGATCATATCTGAAGCCATTGCTGCAGGCTTCATGTTTAAAATCCCATTTTTGGAAAAGAGGAATAGATTGAGTTTTGAGATAACTGTTTTTAAAATATGTTTTCAGGGAGTTCCAGCAGAGATGAAACTTGATTCGATGCGACCAAATGTGACTAAAACTGCAACGTGCTGCACAAAAAAGCTCCATGCAGAGAAAAGACATAAGATGCATAAACAGGAAAGCCTTGCAAACATTTTAGGTCAGAAACTTTTTATTCCTGGAATGATTTCTTGTTTTATTGCAGATGTGATTTGATCAATATTCCCGTCCATTTTGCAGCGTATTGACCAATCGTGTTGATCAATAAGCTGCTCATCAGGAGTTTAAAAGGTCTTTTAATCAGTCTAATCCAAGGGTCTGCAACCCACAGCTGCAACTTTGGACAAACATGTTGAAGACTTAAGAAACTTCTTTAATCAAAAACATTTAAAAAAAGGAAAAAAAAAGATTTAAAGATCTATTAGCAACAAACTTGCAAATTCATTTTTCATTTTCCATTTCTGTGGAACAATTTCTTCAAGTTTAAAAAAATATCCAAAATTACAAATAAATATCAAGTTTTTCAACTGAAAATACAGCATAAGCTCATTAACCTAGACAAGAATTTAAATTATTAGGAATGAGGGAAAAAACAGCTTTTTGGTTTTTTAAAGGTTGCTGAACCCTGGTCTAATCCTTTAACTCAAAGATATTAAAGATATTTTCAAAACATGAGAATCAAATTAACTGGTGAATTACAAGAATAAATAAATAACACTATTTCTCTCAAAGAATAGCCCACTGCAAAACCACAAAATCTTACAAAGTATTTTTGGTCTATTTCCAGTCAGATTATTTCACTTATAAGGTGGAAAAAATGTTATAAGTGAAATAATCTGGCGGTAGAAGTTTTAGCCAATATCAGTGAAAAATTGGCTTGAAAGAAGCTCCTAAATCTTTCTAAAAAGGTTTTTGTAAGTTAGTTATGTCTCATTTCAGGTGCACTAAAATATTTGCACTAGAAATTGGACAAAAACTATTTAAGACATTATGGTTTTGCAGTACCTGAAATCTTGTCTTTACACACAAAGAAATCCAACAAAGACTTGAGACGTCCTCTGTCAAAGAAACGCCTTCAAAGGCCTTTTTAAAATCTGGAGAAACACTAGAAATATTACAAGATTGTCAGCTTTTATGTAAGAATGGGATGTTTGAGGACTTTTGGACAGTACTTCATGCACCAAGGCCACTAGCAGTTAAAAAAGTACAAAGTTAATCATTTGCCAGATATAAAAAGGCACTTAAAAAGATCGAAAGGGATTTCTTCAGGAATTTAGATAATGTTTGTCTTACAAATGCATCACAAAATAGAGAATTTCATAACTTCAAGACATTTCGTTTGTTCTTTTTAAAGAAACAAAAATGGAAAAGCATGTCGGTTTGAAGTGCTCACCCTTTGGAAGTCACACTGGGGGTTTGGGCAGCGGACCGGCCTGCAGATGGAAACATCGCTGTAGCAGCTACACTCCTGACACGCCTCGGGCCGCCATGATGTGTTGTTCTGCAGAGACAAACATGAAAACAACCACTGATCAACTTATTATTATTTGTGAAGGCAAGGAGCTTTTCTTCTTTAAATTGAAGCGCTTGAGGAATGCTGCAGCGAGAAAAACACTTTTTGCAGTAGTAATATTTCTAATGTGCTTCACAATATATTGAACGTTTCCTGGAAGAGTGAGTTGTTTCTCCACCATTAACACAATTAGCAGCACACTGGCGTGATTGACAGCGCTAAGACACACCTCCTGGATCTGATTGGATGTTTTTGACCTGGAGGTCCATTTTTCCAGATGAACTCTCCCAACATAGTGACAGTTTTAGCAATGTGTATTTAAAAAAAACATAATTTTTGAATTAAAAAATGAACAAAACAGTGTTGATTCCTGCTTCAAGCAGAGTAAAACTGCATTATTGCTGTTAAGTGTTGCAGTCAGTGAGACGCAGAGACAAACCAAAGAAGGAGACTATGCAGATATCTTCAACATGCCTGCTGGTCGCAGTAGCTCATCCCACCTGGCTGACAATGTCTTATGAGTAGCTTAAAGCCAAAACTAAATCAATATTCCACTGCCTGCATATGATGAAATATATCATCACTTAGACCATGAATCTGATTCAGAAGAAAGATTAATGTCCCACTCATGCCAGGAATATTCTGAGGCTCAAGCGCCGTGGCGTTCGTGTCAGTTCGTGTCGGTTCGTGGCTTTGCTCCAGTGGACTACAGCAGAACCGTTAAAGGACGTTTGGCTTTAACCTTGAGGCTTAACATTTACAAACGTTAATGTGAAAGGGTCAAAAACGGCTGCAAACAAACACCAGCAGGGAAGAGGAAACTACAAGCGGGATTATTTGTTTTCACTGGTCGACGGCAAATCCCTTAAGTCTTAAAGTGGGAGCTCAGCAGCCTGACTGCATCAGAAAACCCAACCGATAAGTTAATGAAAAACAAACAGAACCTCAACAAAATAAACCAAAAAAACTAGCTTAGATAGACACAAAGGTCGATTTGGTAGCTATACACCTAATTTCAGACTTTTAAAGTCCAATGAAAAGTTCTGCAAAGTTCCTCTCAAAAATAAAAATAACTGACAAAAAAATACAGGATTTATTTAAAGAAAGAACCGGAACCTGGTAAGAGAAATGATTTCAGAATATAAAACACCAAAACCATACAGGCACAGCCCACAGATTAAAGTTCACAGTCATATAGTTTTAACAAATAAATACTGTTCAGTTCTCCCACATTCACTTTGTCTGAGTAAATATGTTCCTTCATAGTTTTGTGTGTTGTTACCTTGTGCAGCTACAACTTGTTAAGCAATTTAATCAATTAAACTGAACTGCATTCAGTTACAGTAAATATAGCACACACAACTGAGCAGCATTGCACTGCACTAAAATTAACTAGGAGCTGAAAAGATTAAACAGATTAATTGTGATTAATCAATATTTGAACTAATTGTCAACTAATTCAGAAAGTGATTAGTTGTTAACCAAGTATATAAAAAAGGCCAAATAAAAACATACTTACAGCAATAAGTATGTTTTTATTGTACAAGCCAAACTGTACAAAAATATGTATTTAAGATATCAATGTAAATATATTAATATCTTGGTTTTAGCTGAACCTGGTTTAAAGTCAGTAAAAATAAGCTCCCATTAAGCACATTTTGCTACACTTCACTGATGCTAAGTCAAGCATAAAATGCTGAGTTTTTCACTTGTTGGTGTTAGAAATATCAAAGTATCAAATGATCAAGCGAACACTAAAGGAATGCTTTGTTTTGAATTTAGGCAATAAACTGTTTATTTCTGTATTTGAGACAGAAATTGAATCGTCTGTTTGCCTCTTTTAATGTATTTTTAATGAAAAACAAGATTGATTGGCAGCGCTAAGCCCCGCCTCCTGGCTCTGATTGGTTCTTTTTGTTCGGGAGCAGTGCATTTAACCAAAAATATGATAATAAGTTTTAACAAATATCTAAAAAACATTCTTAGACATACTAAAACTGCCAACTTCTTTCTGCTGGTATTCTCCAAAGTTATCCTGACAGGATATTAAATAACAGATGCTATTGTTTATTAACTTGATTAGCATGTTTACCTGAAAAAAAAGTCATAATTATTTTGTTTGGACTGTGTGTCCCACACAGCTGTGATGAGTGTGCATCCATCCATCTACATGAAGCATGGATGGATGCTTTATGATAGCTGCATGCTGTTTTATTGGGTTATTTTGAGCTTACACGTCCAGAGTCAGCAGTTTGCCCCACATAACCAGCACATGGGGGTCTTAGTCATTATTAGGGGAAGATATGCAGCCCTGAATCACAACAGGAGGCTTTTTTTGGCAGCACAGCTGGCTAGTTGAGGTAATAAACTATGACAGAAACCAACAAAGCAGCATCACATAACAGTTTGGGGCCATTAGGAGGTCTTAGATAAGCAATGCATCAGCCGCAACATGAAAACAACTTGCTTAATACTGTGACAGTCCCCACTAAACAAGGAGCTCTAAATGCTACAGAGTTTTTACACAAACTGCAAGGTAAATGTTATTTTTCCGCTGAGCTCACTCTAAAAACAACAGAATCAGACCTTTCTCCTCTTCACTGTGAAATGAATTCAATTACACCAAAATTTAACTGTTTTATCCTGGAGATAACGCCAACAATCATTCCTGAAAAACTGTCACTTAAAGGGACAGTGTTATTTAAAATCAAAGTCTTTTTTTTTAGTTTTTCATCACGTTATAATGTTGCCGCCATTCTTTCATTCATGTCAGAGAAATCCTTTAATCTACATGGCAACCATTCAGCTGTACAAAACGAATGGGTGGATCAAGCCCCGCCTTCAAGACACAGTTCCTCGCTCCTTCAGACTAGCCAGCAGCAAATAGCAAGCATCTCCTGAGCAATGCTAGTATAAATGTTGTTAAAGGGTTAATATAGGAGCCATGTTGTGATGACTTCCTGAAGGCGGAGTTTCAGAATGAGCAGGAGCTTCTTAAAGAGACAGAGGCCCAATTTCAAGGTCTTAAATTAAAAAGTAACATTTCTTTTTAAGTTATGTTTGATATATGCATCAATTTTATAACAAATGAAGTCAACATACTTACTTGATTGTGCTATAAAATGGCACAATGTGCATGAGAAATACATAATACTCCCCCTCTAACATTCTTTTGAAACTTTACATGATTTTCCTGAGCCAAACTTTCTGATCTCCCTGCAGCAGCTTGAATATTTGGAAAAAATATGGCACTAGGCTGCCAAAACGTATAAAATAAACTAATTATCCCATTTCCCTTCAGGAGGTTCAGCTACAGTGTTTTGCAATTTGAAGGCAAAATTGGCTCATGATAAAATATTTGCATCACCTCATCCTAAATTAGGTAGTGGTGTCACTGGGGTTAATAATAAGCCAGAGAACATGTTGATATGTGGTCAGAAATAATGTTTCCTGTTATGGCTCCCTGACGGTCTTTCATGTCTCCCTTAATAGAGGCGAGTAAAATTAGCAGAGCTGCAAACGTATGTAACTGACTGGACAGTCGACCAGCTTACAGTGGATTTCAGTTCAGTTTTCAGCAAGAAAACATTTCAATTCTGACCTGAGTTTAGTCAAAATTTTGACTTTTCATTCCAAAATTGGCTTTTAACCTCTGTCCACATTAAGATGAGTAGCAGCCAACTCAAACTTCAGCTTTGATTGAGGAAGCAGCTCCTACTGAACTGTACCATCTGTTTTTGGCTCAGAAAATCGGAGCCGTGTTTCTGCATCAGATCTAAATCAGATCAGAAAGAAATAAAGAAAGATCTTGGTGAATAATTGTTTTAATTAAAACATTTTAAAGATGACTTCAGAGGAAGCCAAGTGCACTAAACGTTTTCCAATATTTTATGGTTTTGGTTGTTTGTTTAGTTTTGTTGTTTATGGTTGTCTTGTTTCATTTGCGGTATCTAAAATGTCTGCCAGTGTTGTGTTCTTTACAAAATGAAACTTTATTTATATTTCAGATGGTGAACTTGCTTTATTTGACCATTATCAACATATTATTTCGAAAAAGTCAAGTAATATCGGAACACGGGAATGATTTCTGGATACTTCAATGTCTATCAAAATTTGTTATTGTGACATTATTTGTCAAAATTAAAAATTGGGAAGGTAGATTTAAAAAAATAATTAAATTCTTTGTGGAAACTTGTGCAAAAACTGTTCCTACAAAAAGGTTTTATACCTGTAATCTACAGAAAACATTAAAACATGACAGCGAAGCGCTAACACTGTTTGTTTTTCTCAACATCCTTAAACTGCAGACGAAATGGAAAGCTCCCAGTTAACACAGCGCCTCCATGAATGAACTGCAAACAGCAGAAACGGCCGGCATCCTCAGGTCGATTCTGTCCGGATTAACACAGAAAGAGGAGAGGACTCAGTCAGCGCGACACAGATTCAATTAAAATCCAATCAGGAAGAAAACGGCAGAGCCAAACACTAACCGGCCTCTGTTTTGTTTCGCTGTCAGGTACAATGGTCGGACTTTCTCATTTAGAGCAGGGAAGTGTGAAGGAAAGCAGCACGCCAAGCGAGCGAAACAGAATTTGGTCACAATTGGACGAGGCGCTGATAAAAACCGAAGCTATTACTGAGGCAAACTCAATCTGGAGACACAAAGTGACTAAAGAGCTCTGCAGCCGGCCGAGACGCTTCAGAAAGCAGGAATAACACTCTCCTCTGGGGGAAACGTCTGTCAATACAGCCTTCCACACGGAGCAGAGCCCAATGAAGCCTCGCTTTATAACAGCAGGAATAATTCATGTTATTATGTCAGCAGTTATTTTCAACCTTTCACTTCTTTTTTGACAGCGAAACAAGACAGTGTGACGCTCAGAGTCATGGAAATAAAGATTGGAAATTGACTCCTAGTGACCTTTCATTGGCTTTTAAAATTAAATTTAATCCTTTAAGGTTTACCAGCAATGAACTCACTAGCGCTC